GAGCACAGGAGAACTCGCATTATTTTGCCCGGCGTGTCCTCAGCCAGGGATTAATGTGCTGTTGTCAGAGGATGAATCGCTTGATGAGTGAGTCCTATTCTCAACCAATGTGGCCTCCATAATAATACTAGTGATCCAAGCTGGAAATACACCCAGTCATTTGTGATGGACGGAAATTTCAAAGCCGAACATCTGCATCCCATTAAGCCATTCGATGAAGTTTGGCTTTCTGATGGGCTTGGATTCATGGTAGGAAAGGACAGGTATAAAATGCATCTGGCAGAGGCTGCTGACACGGTGGAAAAATCAAGCTGCAACAACCACCGGGCAGTAAATCAAGCTAATGCTGCTCGGCACAAGCTGGAGTCCACCGGTATCGGGGGAGTTGCCTGTGCCAGACACGGTTGCTTTGTCCCTCACTCCATGGTGGATTTTTCAGAAAGGCGAAAGGCAAGCCACATCCACCATTCCTCATTCACGAGTTAACCATGGGTCACTTACAGACAAATGAACATGGACTACGCCCTTTGCGAGGCTTCCCGGCACAACATGGAAGGCATCACCAGGGCTGTCACCTTCTATGATATTAATTGTCAATACAACAAACACTTTCGGGTTCGGGTGGATCGAAGTCGATTTCTAGACATGGCACCACAACTAACCATCATTCCCGGAATTGGGTTGTGGCACATTCATGGCCATCAGGACAGCTGCTATGTCCGATATGCTTCTAACTTTATTGAAGGCATTGGTCGGATCGATGGAGAGATCATGGAGACGCTATGGGCACGGCTCAATCTGATTTCCCCTGCTGCTCGGGGAATGTCATCTCCCCACCGAAAGGAATGCCTTGATTATCAGATGAATGACTCCAATTTCTGCAAGATGATTCGCATGAAAAGGACTCTATGCCGGAAATACAACTGGCGAGGAATGGCATCTCGGAAAGTGGAAAGGCATTCGACAGACTCGATGAAGCAGCACCCTCACATTTGAAGACAGAATGGTTAGCCAGGGAGAGGATAGCTCAGTCAAGCAGATTGAATGATCCTGCGGCGATGGATGAATATGAGATCAATATAAAAAAGGGTACATTGAGTTCCATTGTCTCCATCGAGGTCGGAATTAATATTGCACTCAGCACCAAGCAAAAAGGAGATCGAGCTTAGATTATTAGAGGAGGGTAACGCCCGCAATGCAGCACCCTCTCGCAGATCTGTGGCGACGTGGATATCAACAGGGTTAGCAATTGAAGAGGCTCAGATTGCATTGCTCATCGAGGTCCGAAGGATCGGAAGAAGATCCACTGAGACACAGAGATTAGACATTGCCCGTCAACGCGATCGGCTCCAAGGCCAGATAGATGGATTTGCTCGGTCTGCTCTAACACATCTCGGGGAGGGATTTGATGCAGATGATGAACCTGAGGACTTGAACGTAGACATTCTAGATGATCTCGATGATGACCCGGCGGATTTCACAGAGACATCTCATACATGGACAAACTCTCCCGAGCTCACTGTAATCCCGTTGCCATCAAACCTGGGTGTTGATAGATGCAGACGATGCATGGCAGAGGATCTGATTCCCCTGGAGATGTCTCTTCGTGAAGGGCAGGCCAATGATGCCCTTCACAATCTCCGCATTTACCTTTGCAACAAGGCCATCCTGTTCCGAACAACCGTTTGGCAGGCCAAATCCCAGGCCCTGAAAACTCGAGCTTGGTCCCAGGTGACGTCGGTGCAGCAGGCAGTCTCCCTCCATGCCAGCATATATACAAAGACCAGGAAGCAAATGATGAAACTTGAGCCGGGGCAAGACCAGCTTCAGAAATACAAACCCCTGCTTCGCGAGCAACTCAAAATCAGCACTGCAGTGGGCGACCCAAATGCCCGAGGTCAACGAAATGAATCTTTGGCTTGGTTTTGGTCTGTTGAAGTCGACCTCAGGGGTCCTGATCAATCGTGGAATGAGGAATGTGAGTTCCTGCTTGCATGTCATATCCCATGGTTACCTGACTGGACCCATGCCAAGTTTACCGAGTCCATTGGCTGCGGGCAAAGGCACTACGAGATCGATGGAGGGAAGAAATGATATTGGTCAAATTGGAGATGGATTGGACATGTAAGTTCTTTTTGTGGAAAGCAACCCAATGGGGCGACCACATGCAGGAATCATTGGAGAAACGCCTTCCGGGTCACGGATGCTATGCCGGAAGGCAATCACGAATGTATTCATTGCTCGCACAGGATGCGCAGGCAGCTTTTCAAGACCTACAAAACGTGTTGATAGAGGCTGGAGATGAATGAACATTGTTTTCTCATGAAGTCCCTTTTTCCACATACATAATTGAGGCCCGGGAATTGTCCGGGTCAGCCCATGTCGGAGTTTGAATTTCGTATCCATCCATCAGTGATTCTTATCTTCACATCTTCACCATCTTTCACTTGCATTGCCAGCGCCATAGTCCTGTATTAGCCATGCCTGCAACTCCTGCATCCACTTCTGGCACTCTGAATGCCGGAAGCCATTACCGACCCCTGAAGCTGAGCCTTGGAACTATCTCCTGCACATTGGCAATGGCTGGATCGCGGGTCCGTGCATGCATCTCTCAATATCAGACGGAAGCTGCCAACAATGGTCTATCTTCTGACCGGATAAAGTATTTTAAAGCCGGGCTGCAATGGGAGATGAATGTATGTTACCACTGCCCTGATGACTTTGTTGGTCAATGCTAAAAATTTGAGCAGACTTTTGTCACACCACTCCTGCAGTACTCAGCTTCACAGAATATCGTGTCGGTTCTTCCGGTCCCTGTCGCTTATATCCTTAAGTTGTATCCCATGCTAACCTGGAACACGGTTCCAGATGACGTCTTTTCATTCCACCTCCTTTCATTTGATGATGAGGCAATTGCAGGACATCCGTCCCGGATTGTGTTTGCATATACATGTCCATGGTGGATGGGAAACACCACAATCCCGGATCAACCATGGCAGTGGGATGAAATAATGGCTTCCTGCGTCTCTCACTACCAGTATTGGGCGGTAAGATGTTAGCTGAATTGCCTTGATTGATGACTTATCTGTTCTAGCTTAATGTTGAGGATGATGCTTTGGTTCTTCCAGAGAAGTTGAGAAACACTTCGACTCCACCACTTATGGGACTGAGGTGGATTAAAGAACGCATGGAAGCATTGATGGAGGAGCAAGATGAGGGCATCAAGCCAAGATGGCAGAGGTGAAGATGTACACTGACATGTTAGAGAAATTGAGGAAAGGCAAAGGAGTGTAGTCCCATTCAGTGTTCATTGTATACAAGATGTAAAATATTCTATGCATTCAAAAATCTTGCACCCGAGTCCCGGAAGCCCAGGTCCCGAGTCCCGAATTTCGGAGTTCGGGGTTCGGCGACCCGGAGCTCGGCAACTGTGTTGGGTGTCAGGGTATGCGGAGCATTGGAGATAGCATGTGTCAGTATTTTGCGTTTCATGGTTCATGTTTGGCTGACACATGCGATCTCCAATGTTCCGGATACCCTGACACCCAACACAGTTGCCGAGCTCCGGGTTGCCGAACCCCGAACTCCGAAATTCGGGACTCGGACTCGGGTTTCGGGACTCGGGTTTCGGGACTCGGGACTCGGGTTTCGGGACTCGGGACTCGGAGTTCGTGACCTGGGACTCGACAGTGTTCTGAATACCGAGTCCCTGACGCCCGATTCTATAATCACGAAAGATGAACCATGAAACGCAGAATACTGACACATGCTATCTCCAATGCTCCGGATACCCTGACACCCAACACAGTTGCCGAGCTCCGGGTCACCGAGTCCCGAGTCCCGAGTCCCGAGTCCCGAGTCCCGAATTTCGGAGTTCGGGGTTCGGTGACCCGGAGCTCGGCAACTGTGTTGGGTGTCAGGGTATCCGGAGCATTGGAGATCGCATGTGTCAGCCAAACATGAACCATGAAACGCAAAATACTGACACATGCTATCTCCAATGCTCCGGATACCCTGACACCCAACACAGTTGCCGAGCTCCGGGTCACCGAACCCCGAACTCTGAAATTCGGGACTCGGGACTCGGGCTTCGGGACTCGGTGACCCGGAGCTCGGCAACTGTGTTGGGTGTCAGGGTATCCGGAGCATTGGAGATAGCATGTGTCAGTATTCTGCGTTTCATGGTTCATCTTTCGTGATTATGGAATCTTTTGTGATTATAGAATCGGGCGTCAGGGACTCGGTATTTAGAACACTGTCGAGTCCCAGGTCACGAGCTCCGAGTCCCGAGTCCCGAAACCCAGGTCCCGAGTCCCGAATTTCGGAGTTCGGGGTTCGGCAACCCGGAGCTCGGCAACTGTGTTGGGTGTCAGGGTATCCGGAACATTGGAGATCGCATGTGTCAGCCAAACATGAACCATGAAATGCAAAATACTGACACATGCTATCTCCAATGCTCCACATACCCTGACACCCAACACAGTTGCCGAGCTCCGGGTTGCCGAACCCCGAACTCTGAAATTTGGGACTCGGGACCTGGGCTTCCGGGACTCGGTATTCAGAACAGTGTCGAGTCCCGAGTTCACAATGTCGGGGTTCAGGGTTTTGTCAAATGTGTACGGCAATAAAAAATGTTAATTTGAGCATATTGATACATCTTCCCCCAGTCTCAAATATCAAGTGCTGAGGTCCGGGTGTCGGGACTCAGTACCCCGGCACTCGGGACTCCCATATGTCAAGTCCCGAGTTCCGATTATCGAATACCGAGGCTCGCATCCAAATTATTCAGTCCCATATATCACTTCGCAAATGCTCACAATTGAGTATTGAGGTCCAGATAACTATTGGTACATGGTATTCATTTGTTGGAATGTATATAGGTCACAATGCATGCTCTTTGTTTGATCTTTCACACACTGTATGGACCATCCACACTAGCCCATCCACATGATGGAACACCAGCGTAAATGTGAACAGAATCCCTCATATACCATGCCCAAGCAATCCGATCCCCTTCCACATCATAAACTCCATGTCTCACAATCCTTCCGGAAAACGCAATCATACAGCCGGAATTGTACTTGAACTCCAGCTGAAGGCTTGGCATTGTCATCCGAGCATTAGAATAGTTCCCCACGGTGGTGAGAATGTCGAAGCATTCAGCAATGGACAAATGGTCTCGATGATTTGGGGTTTCCCGATTGGAAATGATGGAGAGGGTGTTAAACACCGATGCCCAGTACTGCAGGGCCTCCGGCATCTGTGGCAGATCCTTGCTTACTGCTATATGTCCGAGGTTTGACAAGGTTCGCAACCCTGCCCAGTACTGCTCAGGATGCATGACTCTGAGTGCCGCGGACGCGATGGCTGCTGGCCTTGAAATGGCTTTGAGGATATTCTCACAGGAAGGTCCCTTCAATGATGCAGATACCTCCGGATCGGACACATTCTTTGGGATTGGTGAGTATGACTGCCGGAATCACCATCTCATCAGATTCTACCTCGTGTCCCTGTTGAAACCATGCCGGAGATAAATTGATGCATCCGGGAGTTGCCCCAACATCTTCCGAGCCCCGGTTGAACCACTTTTGATTAGTTCGCCAATTGCCATCAGCCCTTACACTTTTTTCGAGGCTTGGAGCGAGCAAATTGGTGGCTTCCCTGATTTCCTTCTGTAGGTTCCATTTGATATTCAATATCCATTGAGTAACAATGTATATTACACACCTGGGTGGTGTCGGTCAGGGCGTCTGGGAGGTACCATGCGATGATGGCACCGGATGCATCGAGAATTGTGGCAGGTTTGTCGACCAACCTTTTGCCTTCATGGCCAGGAGGACACCTCTCAAGCAACCTAGCCTCTCTCTGTTCATTATGCCCGGTGTCCTTCGGGGAGATCAATTTGCTATATCTTGCAATATCCACCTGCATCTGAACTGTCATGCAGGAATTTGAATGATAAAACGAATTTTCCGAATCTGCAGGAAGACCCACTGGGATTTTTATATGCCTTTATGAGTACATCAGCCAAGCGATCGCACGCCATCACCAGATCAGTGTCTAGGTTGGGGGAAGGTATGACTGGGCCTCCTCCAGTCTTCTCTGCCTTGAATTTCTGTTCGGTATATTCCCCTGCTTCATAAGTCACAGTCAGGGCCCAAGTGCGCCAGATGTTTATACTATCAGGAGTGGAAGGGGAAGAACCGTTCATGCTGGATGTTAATCTTGGGAAATCAGACACTGAATGCTGAATGTCCGGACTTTGGTGTTAAAGGGGGTGGAGATAGAGAGGATCAGATAAGGGAGCCTGAGATAATTTTGGCTGTCAAAGATGTATTATTATCCATTGCTCAATGAAATACTACCTGATTGGAAGTGTGCTGGTCATCAGATATTCATTTGTCGACTCCCGGGTCCCGGAACTCGGAAGTCGGTACGGTTGACCCAAATTTGGGTGGTCGGAACTTGGCTTCTTGTAGGGAAACACAAGCCTCGCACCCCGGATTCCAAATTCTGCAAGACAACCTGTGCACCATCAAAGGCCATGTCAGGAGATCACCTGCTGCTCCGGGAACTCGGTAACTTTGATTTATTACCTCCTCTGAGTACGGTTGACTCACATTTTGGTGGTCGGAACTTGGCTTCTCGTAGGGCAACACAAGCTTCGCACCCCGGATTCCACATTCTGCAAGACAACCTACGCACCATCAAAGGCCATGTCAAGAGAGCACCTGCTGTTCTCTTCAGAAACATCTCAACTTCGGTTGGCCATTTAACACGGAAAGTATTAACTAAATTATGTGTTGAGTTCCGGGTCCCGGAACTCGGAGCTCGGTACAGTTGACTCAAATTCTGGTGGTCGGAACTTGGCTTCTCGTAGGGCAACACAAGCTTCGCACCCCGGATTCCACATTCTGCAAGACAACCTGTGCACCATCAAAGGCCATGTCAGGAGATCACCTGCTGCTCCGGGAACTTGGTAACTTTGATTTATTACCTCCTCTGATTTGGTTGATGTACAACTACCTCAGCTCCATCATGTCTACAATTATGATACACATGGGCCCACCCATCTATATTTTATACCACCCTCGGCCCACCCGTCTAATACAACATCCCATACAACACCCTCGGCCCACCCGTCTAATTAATATGTGTCTGGGCCCACCCATCTAATACAATATTTTATAATACCCTCGGCCCACCCGTCTAATTTAATATGTGTCTGGGCCCACCCGTGAATGTGATAACAAGTACCTACCCATCTATCTCATACACATCTACCTTAATACACCCATCTGCATAATATCCAACTACCTCGGCCCACCCGTCTACCTAATATTCATGTACATCGGCCCACTCATCTACTCTATATATTCCCTGCATGGGCCCACCCGTCTCCATCGGGAATAATTTGCCTCCCGGCCCATCCGTCATAGTCGAGGATATTTTTATCATGGGCCCATGGTCCGCTGGCCCGTATCATACGGGATATTATGCATGTCCGTTCCCTCGTATTATACGGAGATAGGTCACTGTAATATGTGAATGTCAAATGATCAAAAGTCCGAGTGCAGGAAACAAAGTCCAAAGGTATAACCACGAGTCCGACGCCAAAGCGTCGGGTCCGATGTTTTCGGGTTAGCGGACTAGCGGGTTTCGGGTGAGTCTTCAGCGGATTACGGAGAATGGCGATAGCGAGTGTCGGAAAAGCGAGCGGTATGCGGAATATCGATAATGACTGGTGTTTTCGGATAGAAAGAGTGGTAATATTTGTAATGTCAACTAAGAACTACGAAATATCGGGTTTGACCACAAAGCGTCGGAGAACAGCTCTCCTCTACTTGGATAATGAATAATGCTCGAGGTCAGTCCAATATATATGTAAGTATGTAGAAATGTGGAACCCGTAGGCGAAAGTAGCGGCGGAGTATTTCGGATCCGAAGTACATGTAAATAAACATGAGGCGCTGCGGACTATGGGAAAACATGTAACAGCGCTGGCTACGACGTGAGTAATGTGCGAAATAATGAACTACACACCTAGTGGGGCTAGCAAGACAGGACGGGACACGGATAGGACAAGTGCGCAGGAAAAACATCGGGTCCGATGCGCGGGAAATGTCAGGTCCGCCAGTCAAAGCGTCGGGTCCGATGTCAAAGTGTCGGATTGAATGGGAAGTGATTATCGTGCAACGGGCATTAGACATGAATCGTGAATCAGCTGAATACGAGCCTAGCGCGAGCTCGAGTGCTACACCGCATTGGCGGAACACTTGAATACCTCCTACGGAACGTCCCATTCGACATAGTAAAGGTCAAGGGCAGATGGGCAAGCGACACTTTCATAGTGTATCTTCACAGACACGCGCAAGTTCTAGCGCCATACATGCAGGATGCACCCGCGATACACAAAGAGTTCCTTCGATATACCCTACCATCGGTTCGATAAACTTAGTAAGTTTCGTCGTCATCCTCCTAAGTTTTGGGATGTCCTCGATGTTCGCTGCATGCGTCGTCAGACTCCTAACATACAGGATAGCAGCTCACCTTTTGTCCCCTAGGACAAAGTCTATTCGGAGCCGGGAGGCGCTGCACGCCTTCGCCCGTAATCTCTCTCCAAACATCTACCCTTAAACTTGTACACACCATGTCGTAGTTCTCATCATTCAAGTTTAACCTTTTGTTTCTTCACCACCGCGCAAATGAGACGCTAGAGTGAACCTCAAAGATAGTAACTTGGCACTGGTACATAAAGTAGCACTGGGCGCTAGCTACGCGCCTAATTAGTAATCTCCGATTCCATTTTCGCACAACGTGCTCGCTCACTTTTTCCATTAGCAGGCTCAAGACCGAGTAGACCAACACATATGTAAGTTAAACAGGCGAAATAGGCAGATCATTCTGATGATGTTCCAATACAAGTCTCTGCCTCAACCCAGTTTAGCGTTCCCGCTGCGGGCTGCGGCTTAATGAGACCAGGAATATTTGATCTGTCGGGACAATTCCAAGTCAATGATATCCAATGGTTCATTCAAGATACTCACCATTTGATTAGAAAATATGGATTGAAGTAGCTTTTCCGTTCAGATATCATATTGCATGCCTATCTGGATCTTGTCGAGCGTTGTTGGACTAGATAGCTGTAGAATATGCAGGAGATAGGTGCGTTTTTATTGGGTACATCGTGCGCATACATACTATTTGATCTTCAACTGGCAGCCCGTCTATATTACACTATGAGGGACCGTATTGGACAAAACGATAAAGTAAATAAACCGATGTTATAACTAAAACTCGAATTGATTTCACAAAAGTCATCCATGTGGCTTCTCAAAACTCTAAATCATTTCACAAAAGTCGTCCACGTGGGTACCAAATCAGGATGTTATGCATGAAAGTCATCCATGTGGCTTCTCAAAACTCTATTCATGGCACAAACATCATCCACCTGCTGGCTCAAGTCATCCCATGCTCACCGTTATCAATGGCAAGCTCAAGGCAGGCACTGCCCTTTGCGCGTCGGGTCACAGTATGGCGGGTGTGTGACGCTTGTACCAGCACTTGGTATAGTAATTAATCACCAGTTACAGCCACTCGGCTATGGCTCCGCACAACGTCCAGATGGTAAGTATGCTGAAATTTGAGACACGTCTCGTCCCACTCTCTCCATGCTTTTCGCTATCACTGCCAATCCCAAACTTACCCTTGCTCAACCTGACCAGATATAATATCTCACGCGCATCAGCAATGCCTAGACATGGCCCGTACCACTACATCCCTACAGAGTGGATATGTATCCTTGTGAGTTGAGTTATTTGTGCGGTTTGCATCTATTTCACATTCTTCCCTAGTTTCTGGTGTTGTACATTATCTCAACTGGTATGAATTTCGACTGTTGACGATGCACAGTCATGGCTTCGATGGTATGCACATCATCCCATATTTTGTCTGACATTCACATCATTGAGACAGGGCGCGAACATCATGCTAGGAGGAATTGCTGCTCAACTTTATGCGTGATGAGTGCTCCTGTATGCTCCTCTCACTGAAATTCACGACCTTCGTTTTCCAGTTGCAATAGTCACGGGATTTGCTAGTGAAGGCTACCTGTCTCCGTTAAGTCCAATGCTAACAGCTTGTTCAGATTTCAATAGGCGCAGGCGGTTGGGTAGCCTATGGCACACTGATCGTCCTTTGCCTTGTTTATCTTATGTTGTTTTTGATTCTTGTTATCAAGGTCACCGAAGCTGTTGCGCGCATTCTTGGTCGGGTCAGCTTTGATCACTCCAGACGGCCAGTCGATAGCGGATTGATTGGTGTACTTTCTCTTCTCGGGTGTTGTGGGCCATGGAGAGGTGGTCGCGAACGAAGACACTACAAAGCCACGGAAGTACGACATTCACCCATGGCTCGAGACTCTTTCGCTGCACATGATTCATCTCCCTATGTGCCACCCAACGCATCTTTTGCGCAGAAAGACAAAGGTTCCAGCTCCTCTCATCATTCTGGTGGGCCCCCACCATCAGTATTGCAACCCGAGCATGCTTTGCAGCCTTACAGAGAGGACAGCGATGATGATGCAGAAAGTGGTTCCATGATGGGCGCGTGGCAGCCATTCTCAGGTCCAGGTCCCTGCAGCTCATATGACCGCATATCCATTAGTCACCTCCCCAACACTCCAATTCAGGTTTCTCCCGCATCTGTGGCGGTCGTGCCATACACGCCTTTTATGCTTTGTTCTTACCTTGTCCTACTTTGCATTTATGATGTACCGCCTCGTGATTCTTACGGTACGCATCATCTTGCATATGTAATATTTACTGCACTCGTGTATCTGAACCACACTCTGGAACGAGCAGGCCGGAATCAGGAATCGGGGACTGGTGCACAAGCACCGTTACGATATGGTAATATATATCACATTATTCCACCTCGACGACTCGTGCACAAGATACCTGTGAGACCTTGCAAAGTTAGTGAGCCAAATGGGCAGATGTTTCATCATGGTATCTATGAAGACCAGGATCCTCACAATGGGTTACGGTTGATGAGTACACTCGTTTTTAGAATTTGGTTTGCCTCCAAGAGGTGTTGCCATGATCTCATGTACCTTTGTACCATATGGTTCGCTTGCTTCTCATCTTCTTTGCTTGGTTCCACCACATGTTAATCATCCTCCGGCATGTCTCCCGATCACCTTGGTACTGTTCTTGCAACTCTACTGAGGTGCATACTACATCCATCATATCTTGTACCATTTTGTACTGACTCGTACCCTAGCCTCTGCCAGGTGCTTGATAATATAGTATTGTTCATGCAAGTCTACTAAGCTTCTGCTAGTGTACTACACAAATGGGCGCCTGAAGCATTATCACATTCACATGGTGTATTAAGGAACTTGTCAGTTTTGTAAAGAACTAAGAAGGTGACGCCAATATGGTACCAACCCGAAGTTCCGATCGCTCACTGGCACTAGAAACTGGTGGGCAGGTGAGCAGCATCTCTCATCTCTTTTTCCTCCACCTCCGAATTGTCCAGTCGCTCCCTCCATAGCCTGGCGCACTGATCCAGTATCTTTACACTTATTCTGCTTTATGTTACTTGTCAATAAGTTTCTAACCATCCAGCTTTCTTTCGCTCAATAATCTTTTGCCAATTTCTCCTGATTCTCTGTCTTCTGGTGCGTGTTCATCTGTAATTTTCACTGTTACACATCTAATCCACTGTCTCTCGTCAGAGCTGAAACCATAATCAAGATCCTAATCCCAGTCTACTAATTGCTGCTTTCTGGTGCGCATAGATTTAGAATTTTCACCACAAGATTGTATTTAATCTCCCCTCTTGTTTGTCAGTCAAACCATGTCAGTCCGCTACCAGTGTAATCAGTGTCTTTCCCCTGGCTGTTCGTCATTCTTCCCCCAGCCTGCAGATCCATCTATGGTATGTTCTTTTTGGTATCACATTCCAAGTTAAGCCTAACTATAATCAGTGCTATTGCGGTCATTCATCAACATCTCATGACCAAAGTCCACCCCCAGCAGAACCTATACATTGTCCTTGTTAAGAACGTGCTCAAGGGTCGGATCCGAAGGGCTTGGCTTCAGCTCGTGCGCTGCGCCCCTTACCCGAGTACGTGCCCCTAACTTCCGAGGGTTGTTGAACGATGTCCGAAGGTTACCGGACGATGTCCGGAGTCCGATGTCCGATGCGCGGGAATTCTGGCGGACGTTCGGAAACAAGAGATAAGACTAATCCGGACGAAGTCCGAACTAGAAGGGAAACAGCGGAGGACTACCAGAGGTAGAGGCGGAGGTGTCAAGTCTATAGGAGTCGATCCTAAGATGAGCGGAGGTCGACGAGAGAGAAACTCAAGTCAGACGGAGGAGAGAATGAGCAGAGTCTAATATGATATTCGAACTGAGGAAACTACAGAGATTGTACAGGGGTTTATATACTACTGAGGACATAACGGAGAACAGTAAGTGCAGTGCGAAGCTATGTAAAGCTATGAAGAAAACATATGGGACGACTATCACTAGTCTATCGGAACTTAGTAAAATGAAGACGGAAATGAATAAGGAACGGAAAATAAAGTGTACTAACTGATAAGGGAAATACCAAAGGGATAAGGCGCGGAAGTTAGACGCGGGTCGGATCCGGACGATACATAGAAGTCGGCCGGATCCGGAAATCCGGAAATGATGAGTGTGATAGGTCCGGGTCCGGAACGCGGGATATGACAGTCCTTCATTCCCACCCCAAGGAGGGATAGGTTCATGCTCTGAATTTCGAAGTGTGGGTAACATCCAGGTATATAGCACAGCGCCAGCTTTTCAACATCTAACTTATACATTTAATTCTTTAGATTGAAGACTATTTTCAAGCATGCATGTGTGGCCAGCGCTATAGTGCACATACGCCATCTGTTGCTCCTTCATCCAATGCTGGTGCATCGAGCATGAACCTTCCCATGCCACTACAACTGAGCTTACTTGCAGGCAATGTTGCAACCACACCCTCGCAAGCTTCACGTTTACTCAATGCACCTATTGAAGCTACACACTCTTCTGATTTCTTCAACTCCTTACCACGGCATTCTATTCCATTCTATTCCATGCCAGCATCCAGGTCTGACACGGTCCTACCATTGGCAGGTGGTACGCAGTCTTTGGTATCCTCATATGCACCACATGCTGCACAATCACCCATCTCACGAGGGCACATGGCGTTCAGTGTACCCATGACAGGCATTACAATGGGAACCTTTGGTGCACGAGGGCGTGGGCGTGGTCGTGGTCGAGTTCACCCTGTCATGCAATCAGCACGAACATTGAAGATACAGCTGATCATTTTGCCAAAAGATGTAAGTCGTACAACTGGTCAATGTTATCAAGCTGAGCTGACATGCTAACTTACATAGCTTCTGAATCTATACGATGTCGATGATCCATCAGTGTCTGACGATGACACTGTAGTTACTACACGTATGCGTGCTGGAGAAGCATTAGCTGCAGACTTGCGCTTTCTTGCCAAACATGGCTTGAATAGGCAAGTCACATTAATCGTGCAAAGACCTCAAGACTATTTACTTGATCAGATTGCTGATGCGGTCAGAGATATGGCTGTTGACGCAAAACTTGCCTTTCCAGCATGGCAGCCAGAAGCCCTTGACCTCGATGGTGATAACACGAACCGCGAGATGCGCATCCAGTTCCATGAACTTCCTTTCCGTTTTGTTCTACCAGGCAATGCCAATGCCTCCCTCGGCCAACGCTACATTCGCATCGACCATTCATTTTCTTTCCAAAGTCTGCAATTCAGCATTTTTCAGAAGTGGTGCTCACGAGTTACAAATCCTGCAGACCCGACTGTTGGGTTATTATACATCTGTGCATCAATTAATACCTGTTGTTCAATTGTTATTCATGTGTCTATTACTCTAGGTCCCAAGGGAGGGCCAATTGTAGGTCCGGTCAACCCTGGCTCCCCCGTCCAACATTATTGCTTCGCCAATAGAATCATGGCCCATCTTGTACAAGGCATCAATGACCCTCTTGGAACACCTGACCATTTTCAAACTGTAACTTGCAAGGCATCTTGTCCTGAAGATGATGTGCCTCAATCACCTGTAGCTGTGTCCTACGTTCCATCCACACCTAGCACAAGTGTGTCAGCCACTACTACATCGTCTTCCAACTTTTCCACTGGCAGCAATATTTCATCCTCAAACCTTACCCGATACCACAATCGTGATCGTTCAGCCTCGCCAGGACGCACATCAGCTGGCAATATGTTTCACACCCAGTCTCAATCTTGTGGACGTACAGCTGAACGCCTGACCCCTTACATTCAACGCCACTCAGTTTCCTCATCTCCAGATAATCTCGTGCTAGATTCACCGGAACTAGCTGCATCATCCGAGCCATTACACTCCACCACGTCCAATGGTGCTGCTCCATCTGTACAGCTAGTTGAAGACATAGTCATGGATCTGCGTCCTGTAATCCAATATCGTCGTCATCAAAATAGACACACATTATCTCCACTACGTCCTTTCCCTGCCCAGCCTGGGCGTAATTCTACTATGCCTCTACCTGATCAGGTTCCATCGACATCTTCTTCATCCGAAGATCGATCCAGGAGCTCCATCCGAGTCAATCCAAACCCAGGCACTATCCTTCGTCGTTCAACCAGATCTAGACGTGGATCTCATACTCCACTAGGTTCATATGATGACACCGGGTCACCAATCATACCCTTCGATACTGCAGCATTTGTTTCAATAGATCAGCTGCGTCGGAGCATTGATGCATCAGTAGATGTGGGTCATTCAACCAGCATCCTTCGCATTGAAGCGGAATCTATTATCCATGCTGCGAATGGACTTGTTGGCTGGCTTGGGCACCAGCGCCTTCACATGGACAACTCCCATCCATACAAGGCACCAAATAACGCTATAAGCTTTGTCGTTAGTCCAGATGCCCCCGAGGATCGCCTAAACATCTTTTCCAAAATATGGCAGGTGCAGGCGTAAGTATAATCTTTTCCTTTATGAATGTTGCCTAGGCTGACCATCGTGACCAGTGGACATCCAGATGCTACCGACAGCATCGGAGATGGCGTATTGCGCCAAGTTATTGAGAGTGCCCTCACTAAGTGCATATCATGGAAGCCCAGCTGCACTTCCGCAGACAGTGGTGATGGAGGGGAAGATGGTGATGGTGATACTTGTGAGACGCTTGATGATGGATATGTCACCCTGAAGATTTCAAGTTTTCCTTCTGACGAGAAGCTTGATATTGTGTTTGCTCTGGGACGACTTGCAGCGATCTATATGATCAAAGTTGGCAATGGGCCTGATCCGATCTCACCAGCTCTTCTGGAGTGCATTATCAATGGTGTTGATGTCATTATAAACCTTCCCTGGCTTTGTCAATTTCATCCATCTCTGATGCAGACACTTGTACTTTTTCCAATAGAGCACGGTGGAGAAATGCCAAGTGATGTGCAGGATTGTCTTAGACTAGTGCGTATCTTTCAAACACATATGGGTTCCACGGTGAGTTGCATCACTACAACAGCTCTTTAACTTTTGACACTAACTTGAATATTAAACATACTTCTAGTACGGCGAGATTGTCCAAGCCTCGAAAGATCAATGGCCGCAAATCAAACGTGATTTCTTCAGCAGCGCACTACTGGGACATCCTGCAGCGAAGATAATCAACTCTAAGGAATTCCATGCATTCAAAGATGGTTTTGATATGTTTCTGACAACATCATTGGGATCTCTGTGTCATGTAAGGGATATCATTCATTTTGAAGCCTCTGACAACGACTTGCACTCCAGTCATTGGCGCCAGTATCAAAGAAGATATTTCAAGATATATTCAACCGGCGTGTGACGGTGGATGCACTAATCCCACTATTACGATTTGAAATAGATGGTGATGCAGTTTTCCGCGCACACATGTCTCCGATGGTCCAGTCTTTCCAAGATGCATTCTATCGCTATCTTAGGGGCAGTGGACATTCTAATGACCCTTTATTTTCTGCTTTCACTGTTCGGGAAGGTGCCACCACTGATCCTAATTATCGTGCTCGCCGCTTTGTCAAAGTATTGAGTGGGATTCACCTTCTGCCACCCACTACACTCCGAGTATTCAAGGTATGTAATGTATACACTGCCTGTGTATACAGCACTCAATGATACAATGCTAGATCAACCTCGTACAACACATTCCAGATAGTGTTACGTTTAATGGTCAATATAATATAGGTTATCTTTTTGTGTATAGTGATGTGCACGGCCCGGCTTGAGGCCCTGGGCCGGCCCAAGCCGGGCCCAAATAGGCCGGGCCCAGCCCAGGCCTACGTCACGGCCTGAGGAAGGCTTGGGCCTGGGCTTGGATTTCGAGAAGCCTGAGCCATGGCTTTGGCATGTTTAGTGGCACTGCCATAGAAGCCTTGCCGGAGGTACGTTTCCCGACTCTATTTTTGTCTTTCTTTGACTTCCATCAACTCTATCAGCTTCGACTCGGATGGTCCACATGTTGCAGTCAAAAAGCCTGCATTGGCCAACATATCCAGCAATTTCAATGCCTTATATCTTGTCTGTTGCTACGGAAAAGTCACGGTGAGTGCCAGCGCCATGTCCTCTGCTTCGCGAGCTCGACATAACTCACTCCGCTGTCGGAAAACCAGATCTCAGTTTCACAGATCAATATTTTTCGTAAATCTGAAGCCTTTTTTGCTTCACCTTCGCAAGTGTGACGGCGCACCCAATATCTTTCAATTGATTCATGTCGGTACGTGTTCCTCTAACATCCCTACTTACTACCCACCCATGACAAGCACAGATGCCGAGCACCGTGTTGCACGTCCTGTGCGCAAAACAAAGCCAACAGCCGCCCTCCTTCAGCATGCCGAGAAGGCAGCGTTGCCATCCCAAACCAAGGCAATCAACGAGTTCCACGCTGCAGAGGCTGCTAAGCGCGCTGCTGAACGGACACGATCTTCTGTTCCGGGAGCCCGAACCATCGTCTCTCGTCGAGTTGGAGTACCTGGACAACAATGACGAAGAAGCGGAAGCGGGAGCAGAGACTGGTGATGCTGTGGATGAAGAAGAAGGTTGGGACGTTTTACTTTTGGGTGATGATGCTGAGGACGTGTCAGATGTTGAGATGGACATTTAGACACATTGTAATTAGACTACCACTAATGCTTGATCTGTCCGTTGGCTTCGCAAAGCTGCTCTGTCCGTTGGCTCCCCCAAGCCGCGGCCTGGCTGGGCCCAAGCCCCGGCTTTGGGCTGGCTTGGGCTCACGGCCTAGGCTCTGAATTTTTGTGAGCCTAAGCCGGGGCTTTGAGCCTAAGCAGGGCCGGAACATCACTATTTGTGTATGCCATGGACCGTTCACACTATCTAACTTACTGCAGATCGATGAGGATGTCATTCCGCCACTACCTCATACATACCTCTACACATTGGACGTTTTCATCAACCCACCGTTAATCAAATACCTGCAAAATCCATGATCCCCAAGAACTGACTGTCTTAGATCGCTGCTTACATTATGCTTTTTTGGAGGCCGGTGATGATAGCTTCAATGCCAGAATGCCTATTACTGTCTAATGATGTGCTGGCACCAATATGTGCCCTGTATCGATGTACCATCACCTGTATAGTACGTTTCTTCCTCAAGTATACATGCATCATCACTTGCAGTTTAATCCACTTTCTCCAATATTCGCACATTACAATTTGCACCAGTATTCACGCACTATGACTAGAATTTGCAGCATGTATTCCGATCCCAGTAGTCATGTGTTACACTTTGCTGTATGTCGCCTGTACAAATTGACTTCACTTCATCAGCATGACCTATTTACCGGATGTAAGGTCAACTACGACACGATAGAAGAACGGGTGATTGGAGTACCCGATGAGTAGCGCTGCCGTCGTCTGCGAGTGACGACAAACCCACAGCACAGTTGGCTGAGGTTTGGGTATGAATATATCTTGGGGAGATGACTAGACACCAGTGATTTGTTGAGTCAAGTCTCCACGGGCGACAGCAGTCTGACGACAAGCTCAACATAAGGACTGGGTCAGGGTAAGCAATGCTCACGGTCACGACAGCAATGGTTCAGACTTGTAAGGTCAACTACAATGCCGAACAATCAGTGTAAGGGGCATCAAAGATGCAACGGACCTACGTTAGCAGCCATGACACGCAAGTACGGAAACACCAGTTTCAGCCACCGGCCCACCATAGGTGCATCTACCGGGATTACGATGGGAGGAAGTGAGTGATCCTCCAGAATTGGTGCAGGAGATAGATTGAGTGTCCTCGGGTCAATAGGAGGAGGAGAGTGCGACGTGTCTCCGAACTTTTCTGCGGCTTGAGGTGGAGGTGTGATGGGCACACCTGGATGACCAGTGTTTGCTTCAGGGTTGGATGCGAGACTGTCCAGTTCCGAAGTGTGACTCTCCCCAAATGATTGGGTGTTAGCCTGCAAAAGATTTGCACCGGGGTGTGTGGCAAAGTATGTACTCCCAGGAGTATAATTATCCTGTGCGTTCTGAAGCGCAGTGCGAGCAGTGGCTGTTTCCTGAGTTCCTGTATAAGGACTTGAAGGGGGAATTGGTGGCAAGGCAGCAATAATAGGCTTGGAAGCCTGCGACAATATGACTAGTTTTTCTCCAAACTGCAAAAAATCGTGTCAGGACACCTTCATAGCAGCACAAAGTAATTTACCTCGCGTATAGCGTCCCACTTCTGCGATTCGCTCTCATGAACTGCCTGCAATCCAGCACGGAAGCTGCACTTTGGACCCAGGACAGCCTCAGCATCGCGAAGAGCTTTGAACGGCGCTCGTGCATTGTTGAGCTTGATGTCCACAAACTCGAGGAACAACTTCCCAGATGGATCATCAAGAGTAATAGTGATCGCACGTGCAATGCTCCATGACCCCGAGCGAGGCAAAGGCGAGGTCGGCCTGTACTGATGATGTATCAATGAAGAAGTCGTGGCTCCGCGAGCTGTTGATGAGGAAGTCATAGAAGGATGCATGAAGGGGACGAATGGGAGCATGAAAATCTGTAGTCCCAGTTAAAAGCGAGTCAGCGTCGTATTTGGATAGAGAGCCTAGCTGGAATAACGGGACTATGGTGAGTCTTCATAGCCGAACGATTTTAAAAACACGACTCACATTTCTTGGGCTCTCGTAATGCGAAATGACATTTTTGTGGTAACTACCGACGGGATGTGTGAGACAATACGAGAAGAGATAGACATTCATTAGTCGGCTGTGCTTTCAGCAAGGAATCAAGCTAAAGTAAGAACCTGCCTGGTGAGAGGACGAGAGGAGGTCAGAAAGAGGTCAAGCATCATGATAGCGACCTCAGAATGACTGGTGTCAATTGAAATCGAAGAGCAAGAGGGAGACGAGATGAGAGCCAGCGGAATACATGAAGTTGAACAAAGAGCAAATGACAAAGTCAATATTAATGTGTAGTACAGACTTCTGCGGGATCACAGAGGACGCACGGAGACCTCCAGCCATAGCAGGGCTCTCCCCCGCAGAAGTGAAATCAAATGAGGCACGAGTTGCTCTGGGCGGTTGGCCAGCTGAGGTGGAAGTTTCCGAACCTGTGGGAATGGGTGTAGCTATTTTGACGCGGTCCTGCCACGCCTGCCGCGGTCGTGACGCGGCCGTGACGCGGCGTAACGCGCATGTGACGCGGCACTGACGAGCCTTGACGCTAGGGTATAGCACGGGTATGGGCCACACCACGGGTATGGGGGTCACGGGTATGGCAGGTACGGGTACGGTGTCGAGATGTGGTACCCGTGGTCATACCATACCCGTTAGCACGGTATACGGGTATGTTTACGGGTTTCTCCAATAGAACCGAGAGTGGAAAGGATGAGACGGCCGAACAACAGGCACAAGGGGAGATGAGAAGGCAAGCGCATCCCAAACGGGCACGGCGAGCGACCTGTCGACGTCGGCTCGCGCCCTGTAATGTTTCAGTCCATTTTATCTTATATCACAGTACCTGACATACACACCTTATAATCTAGGTATAGAATTTGTGAGTAGTAGAGAGCCATTCACTCCATCATTATGGTTAATCAGACAGCCTCGATTGCCGAGTCTACCCCAACACGTTCAGAAACCTCCGACGTATCATCATCGAGTCCGCAGTCCATAGCGGCAGACAATGTTGCAAAACGTGTTAAGCTTATCGTTCCACAGGTCGAAGCAACCCCCTCCAAGTTGCACTCTCCTGCTCTGGAAGTAATTGATATCGATGAAAATGATGGACCTCCTGTTGCTGAACAGGATGACGCGGCCGATCTAAGTATGTGAACTTGTTGCTCGTGTCTGCGTGGATCTTGATTAATTTTCACTCACAGATGCACTCAAAAAAACTTGGCGTTCAACAGTCTATTCGTTTTTTAAGCTTGATGCTGTGACTGTCCAGTATCTCGATGGACATCTAGTTCATTTCTTCCCTTGCGGGGCACGCAAGTGCAAACTCCCTGCTGGAGGTGTCCGCTGCTTCCAGGACTCCAAGGATAAGTCCTCGACTACGAATCTAAGGCACCACGCCAATGGCTGCTGGGGCAAAGAGGCAGTCGATCGTGCATTCAGTGGTGGAAAGGTAGTACAGGCCACGAGTGGATCAGTTTTCTCGGCTTTTGCTCGAAAAGGACAACAACCTGTCCATCATACTTATCGAATGCACACGAGCAATGAAGTTCGGTAAGTCGACATTTTGGGCTTTAATAACATCTGACATTATCCACACTGGATTTAGGGCAAATCTCGTGCAGTGGATCACAGAGAATAATCGACCTGTGAATATAATTAATGATCGTGCACTTCGTGACCTCCTGCTTTCTGGACGCCCTAATATTGAACTGCCATCATATTTTACAATCTCTCGTGATATTCGGGCATCATTTGAAAAGTGCCAAGAATTGTCATTTGCAATTATCCATTCAACTACCAAGGCACTCCCTATCTGGCGTTCTCGCTGCAACAAGGCTGATCTCAAAGCAAACCTAATCCCACGAGATGTCGTCACACGGTGGAACTCCACACATGACATGCTGCATTTTGCAGTCAAGTACCGGAAGCCCATCAAGAAGATTACTGGCGACAAGAAACTGCCCAATTTCCGCAAATATCGATTGGAAGATGATGAATGGACTGTCGTCGAGGAACTTGTCACTGTACTGGAGGTAGCTCACTTAGCCTCTGATCGAGTTATTTTCAGGACTTATTCAATTCAACACTAGCGTTACAAGCAGGCTACACTCTTTTTTTCGCGCAACTCGGCCAGTGTCTTTGCAGTCATACCTGCGATGGACAAACTTGATAGCCACATGAGCAATGTCGAGACGAAAGAGGAGTTCCAACCAGCCATCCGAGCCGCAATGAAACTTGCTCGCAAGAAAATGGATAGATACTGGAAAATGACTGATGACTCAAACACGTATCGCATTGCAACAGGTGAGCATAAGTTGTCAATTGTTTTGATATGAGGTGGTTCGTGCTGACCCATGTCTCGCTAGTTCTCCACCCTGGTCTGAAGCTTGAATATTTCCGACTACAAAAATGGGAAGATGAATGGATCGAGGCTGCTGAAAATCTCATCCGAGAAGAGTACATAGATCGTTACAAAGACCAGGTCTCACCTTCGACTCCAGCTGCACATGTCTTGGCAGAAGACAAGGTACGACAATGTGCTGATGACTTTGGTGACATATCTCTTGGCATAGCGGCATGTCTAGTAGATGAGCTTGACGACTATTTGCGGCAACCAGTGGAGAATACCAAAGTCCCACTGCGATGGTGGGTCCATAATCGAAAGACATATCCAAATTTGCACCGGATGGCACTTGATTACCTTAGTATTCCTGGTAGGTTGTGTACCATTGCTCTCGTTAGCATCACAGCTTACGTGTCACACACCATAGCTACCTCAACTGCAGTCGAATGTGTATTTTCACAAGGCCGGCACCTTCTGCACTTTACTCGAAACCGCTTGTCTCCATCATCAACCCGTGCATTCCTCTGTCTTGGCTCGTGGCTCCGCTGTGATCTGGTAGCGCCGGAGGACCTTACTAAGATTATGAAGTCTCTGAAGAAAAGAAAACGAGAGGACGAGAGTGTTGAGTGAGGTTATTCTACGTAGTTTCACTATTTTTTGTATGTGTACCCGCGGGTAAATGCAACACCGCGGGTAGACTGTCATACCGCGGGTTAGCACGGGTAATACTGTACCCGTACTCGTACGGGTACGGTGTTGACGGGTACGGGTACGGTGTTGATCTTCCGACCCGCGGGTGTACCCGTGCTATACCCTACTTGACGCGGCACTAATGAGCCTTGACGCGGCCACTGACGCGCCATTCCTATATTCTATATTCCACTTCCAGGTCAAGTTGGATGAGTTCACGACCATTACTTTGTTACTTTATTTGCCTCAGAGCCATGTACAACTAGGTATACATAAGTCAATGACTATTTTCTTTTCCTTCCTCTCTGGACCCTTCGAGCCTGTGGAGCACATCGATGTTTAACGGGCGGACATTCTTCAGCCGGCAGAGAAGGAACTACAGTTTCGGATAGCTCGTCTGCGGACTCCAAAGATGTAGCATCAGAGTTATCACTGAATAAGGGGCCACGCTGTCAATCACATGGTAAGTTAGATATCTATCGAACGGAGCAGGTAATGTCTTCCTCACTTGAAGTTCACTCTCGCTATAATCTCTTACAGAAACCCATTCATCAGGAATTCCGAGATACACATTCCATCGCCTGTGATGTTGGCCAGCATCCAAACCCCACTGCTGGTTGCCTGCAGGTCCTGCTTCTTCCGAATCCTCGAACATCCTTGCTTCTAGTGCAGTCAGACACTCGAGGTCGACGTCAGCCACGAAGCTATTGGTAGGATAGCTTATCATGAGATCAGCCCAAGCCATCTTCAACAGCATGCTATCGTTCCATTCTTCGTTTCGAGCTTCAATGCGTTTTTCGAAATCACTGGCCTTTCAATGAGCAACCACGAGAGTGAAAGCATGCACCAAAGGCATGCCACCAAGCCATTTTTCGACTTGGCCGGAAGCACCAGGAACATTCTCCGAGAACCAATGTGCAATTTTGGCATACTCGTGAGATGAGATGTCACCACAAAATGGTATGCTGTATGCACCCACACCATCTGGCTTCTTCTTCGATCGCAAGATGTAGTCTATCACAGGGTATGCCTCCGCATCATATTGGTTCAAGTCTGGACTGTCAAGGAGCTTCTGAAGCGAAGCAATATGTGGTAGTAGAATGTCGTCCAGTTCTTTTGATACTTCCGCTGACATGAAGTTTTGAATCAAGTCTTCTTCGCGAGGGGTATCCCAAGAGTGGATCCATTCTCCGAGCTACACAATACTTCGTGTCAAGAGGACTGCGAGTATAACCAGTCACTGTCACTCACGCGAATCTCACGCCTCTTAGCTTGGTCCTGCCAAAGTTCATCCACGAGATCTCCTTGCTCAACATCACCAGGAGGTGATCCCAAAGTTAATGGGAATCTGCAACCGCGCCACCAGACCACCCGCCAACGTACTCGGTTGCATGCACTAGTAGGGAGGCTAACAGTGTCAATGTGTCATAGGACTGAATCAGCCGCACAGGATACTGACAATATACAACATACCACTTCGGCCAGCTGCACGTAGTTGAAAACTTTCCATAAAAACCTGCAAGCAAAGCAGCCCCTCCATCAAGTTGTAGCGCTTGCCAACTGTGGCATATAGCTTTGCATGCATCGCTTCTTCTGCATTAGTAGAGTTTGGCATTGCCTGGAATAGACCCGTTTTCATCTTCTGAAACGGAGGAAACAGCATCTGGGCATGGCTGTCACGAAGCCACCACTCTAGCCATGGCTTTGTCTTGGGATAGTCTCGTAAAAGGGATGCAACCTTTTGCTTGAAAGTGTCCATATCCAAGACCAACAGCAGGGCCAGGGCACGACTCTGAAAGTTGTCCGCTTTGGCAGGGTCAATAACTCCACTGATTTTTTTGACATCTCTTTTTACCTGGGCTGGCCAGGGCAGTCCGAAGTTGCTTCGAACCCTGAGCTGATCCCAGTGTAAATGCAGACCCGGCCAGGACGTACAGAGTTGCTCTGAACCCTGAACTGGCGAAGCAATTTAACTGCATTTTTGTTTTTGTCCCTTTCCTTGTTCCTATTCATACCTTCACGCATGTGTCTCTAGGACAATTGTGCTATAATGATCAAGGACCTTGCGGAAACAGGCAATAGTGCTAGAATAATACATCAGATGTGGCTTATAAGCCCAAAAATGCGATACATCATGTGGCTTACTGACCCATTGTCCAGTTGATGTATCAATGATACATCGCCCCATCCACTTGCTTAGAACCGCTACCTGGCTTCTTTTAGATGACAAATCATGGTGCTCCAGCTACATTCGGTTCTCGTCCGGGCCTCACCTTCTTCCCTCCGGCGTGTGCTTTTGTCATTGATCCCAGTGCTTCTTCGTTCCTTGGCTCGTCTTCTCCTTCTTTTCGAACACAAGTGTGCCTTTGTCATTGATCCCAGTGCTTCTTCGTTCCTTGGTTTGTTTTCTCCTTCTTTTTGAACATAACGCAGTTATTTATGCTACAGACTGACAGTCACTCCGCTCAACGCCAGGTACTGATTACTGGGTTTCCGGTCGCTTTGTCTCTTGTTCTAATATTTCAGCTGATCAGTACTTGTACTCCCGAACCGAACCGAACCTGCACAATGAAGAGTGCTACATTGCCGCAACGCCTACTACTTATCGTCACTAGTGACGTATTTTCTCTCTCTCAATAGCACACGGTGCGCCCCCCATCAGCTGCTTGGAGAGCGAAAACCCAAATCTTCATGTACGCCAAACTTTATCTGGACCCCCAGTGGTCATGACTACAGCCCCCACACCCTCACAAACCACCACAATCTCTCCGACTTACCACAATCTCCATCAATACTGTTGATCGCCTCGACACCACTCACCACCACCACCACCACCACCACCACCACTATCATCATCATCATCATCATACCGCTAAACCACGGCTACGCCACTGCCGATCACTTCGGAGAGCACTTGCTCACCCACCTCAACCAGGCACTCCACTCAATGCCACGTACTGATTATTGAGTTTCGGGTTGCTTCATCTCTTCTGCTCGTTTCTCCACCCTTCCTTCCAAGTCTGGTCGCACCTCATCTGCGCTGCTCAATTCACACGATTACAGCTTTACAATGCGAGATCAATTTGGTACTCATAGCTCAGTCTATTCCCTCCACACCCCATGTACATAACTGAGGTTACTTTATCTAAGTGTCTTTGCTTACTTCTATGTCGCAGTCTGTTCTAGTATCCATCATGATGTATCAGCTAAATATAGATCTGGCTAAGAATTCTTACCAAGTCTGAGCGCTTGAGTTATACACTAAGTCCAACATGAAGCGCGAGTTATAGACGCGAGATGTATCAGCTAAATATAGATCTGGCTAAGAATTCTTACCAAGTCCGAGCGCTTGAGTTATACACTAAGTCCAACATGAAGTGCGAGTTATAGATACGAGATGTATGACCGCTTGAGGCCAACTCAAAGAGAGCGAAGATCAAGACATTATTATATAATTAGGTGGTTGCTAATGGACATGAAAACAGAACCAAAACGGCACACAATATAAGAGCTATAAAAATGACGCGTGCATGACAATATCTCAACACAACCCATAGCAGAATCAAGCCCTGGTCCTTCTACGTGCGAGCGTTAGTTTTGAACACTGGAGATCATGCTGCTGGCAACATACTTTGCTTTCCGGGTACTATTACCTTCATCGCGGCCGCACTTTGCAGAATGAGCATGTTCGTCATGGTTACCACCAATGGCGTTAGCCACCATGTTGCGAGTGGAGGGTCTGTGCACTCGACCAGTGCGACGAAGGCATGATTCGTTCTCCACATGAGCAACATGTCCATGTGAAGTGTCGATGGAGGGGAGTTCTACTTGCCCAGGTGGACCGTCAATGGAGGGGAGTACCTGCCCATGTGGCCCAGGACCATTGATGGAGGGGAGTTCTTGCCCATGTGGACCGTTGATGGAGGGGAGTATTTGCTCATGCGTATCGATAGAGGGGAGCTGTTCTTGCCCATGTGAAGTATTGATGGAGGGGAGCACTGCGTAGTCGTGTTCCATTCCTGCAGAACTAAGAAAATTGTCGGGCAGGGTGAGTCCGATAGAATCAGGAGACAAACTGACCCGCGCTTGCGATGTCCATGAGGGAAAAGCAGGTGCTTCCCAATCTGAAGGGACATTCGGTGGGGGATTGGAAAACATGCCCATTGACATTGATGGGGCACTTTGTGCAATTGTCTTGTCAAACTCCCAAAAGCTGGGTTCGTCAGACACACCATTGCTGAAATACGCTTGAGAGGTTTCAACCTGGGGAGGTGCATCGTCAGCGGAAGGCATTGGGCTCGGCCATGCAGGGTGCAAAGAAGATGAGAGAAGCGATGAAGGTACGTGGGATGTGTCATGGTCTGCAATACTTCCGAAATTCGGAGATCCATTTTTGACGGACTGCATCAGCACAGCTGCTTCAGCTAGTTCGGGAGGTGAGTGTTCTTGAACTTGAAAGATACCGTTTACACTCACGATAGACTCGGTAGAGGTGATCACGGAAAGGTACCATCACTCCATCATCAAAAAGTGGGTAGGCAGTGCTGAAGTCATTGCCAAGCTTTGTCCGACCGATGTGGAAACTGCATTTGGTGAGTATTACAACGTTCTCTCGTTACTCATCTCAATTTTGGTAACTAACCTCCATACATCGATAAGCCCATTCAATTCAGGCGAGGGTCCACCGGCAAGAACAGTAAATGAAAGACCTGTTGCGTCTTGCAAGCCCTTCAGGAATTTGTTCACTATCGCCGCCAATCTTGTTAGGTTCCTACAATTGATAGCGGTCAGCTGACGCCACATCACACATGAGAGTAATTACCTTTCATGATCCTCTTTACTCCAACTCATTTCCTCGTCCTTGTTCTTATCCTTTTCTGTCTTCTTATCATCCATATACTTTCTCACCTCATCTTTCACAGCTCCAGACTCCATCTCATAAAGTGCAGCCGTCTCCTTCTTCACCAGTGCTATCCGTTGCCCATTTGTGAGTGGCTCCGTCACATTTTCAAGCGCTTCCTTGACAGCTGACTTGATACGAGATGTGTAGTATAGCTTCGAATAAGCTTCGGTTTCTTGGAGATTGCGAGTGGGTTTGGAACCAGACTGCACGACGCTCTTCAGAACAGCGTTGAACACGTCAGTAGCATCTGATTTAGCTTGGCGACCGGCCTTGGTGCTGCCAAAGCAATTTCGGAAGCGATTGTAGAGCTTCTAGGTATAAAACTCGTAAGGCCAATGTCATCGTAACGGCAATGGAATCCAGTTACTCACATCTTTACGTGCATCTTTAGCCTTGTCCATCACTTTACAGTCGTTTTCATTCAGTGGACCGGTGGTAGGAAGTCCTTCTGGCCTAGGCTCTTCCCATGACTCAAACCATTGCTCATAGAGGTCAGCGAAATTTTTTTGGTGATTTTTGTTTTTTTGCGAGAGTCTTTCCTTATAACTGTCGTACCATGGCTTCAACCATTCTTCTTGCTCGGGGCTAGTCCATTTGCGGGGAGCCATTTTAATATCTGGTGCTTATATTTTCATGTCAGTAAACCTTTTACTCTCGCGGCCCACGGGTCAACAATTGTTCACGTACATTTTAGGCGAGTTTTAATGGTTTGGGGTGGTGTGCCTGTTCAGTTGAGTCAAACAGTAGCCCTTTTTCACAATACCAGTCCCACGCACAGACCTTCTAGAGTGTCCTTTGAATAATGGACCGGTCTGCATGCCTTAGAGATATGTTTCATGACGTGTGTTTTTGTTGTGGGAGCCTAATTTGCAATAAGAACGGGACGTTGTCTGGTGACATGTCAATTTTAACTTTATGATATGTGCAACGCATCATTAGACATTTATAGGACATTTACTAATCCCTTGAGCTCATCATCTAGATATGGACAGGATCCTTTCTGACGTTGCACCGAGTTCTCAACAGGATGTTTTCTGATGTCGTACCGAGTTGAGAGCATACCGTTTGAAGTATATGATGTTTCCATTGAACGGTGATTAACATTTACACTTGCAGTCAGTCCCGAAGTATTGGCTTCGTTGGACCAAAATCGATTACCATCACGCACACAATATTGTAGTGCTGCTGACTCGGAAAGCACACCTCATCACCTACCTGACATCTTGGATCTCCCTACCGACTGATCATTCTTTGCAGCAAAATATCTCTCTGACTGTTTCGAAGGTATATAATGTTTCTATTGAACTGTGATTAACATTTACAGTTGCAGTCCTGAAGTATTCGCTACGCTGGACCGAAATCAATTACCATCATGCACGTTACCATCATGCACGCAATATTGTAGCGCTGCTGACAGCACACCTCGTCACCTACCTGACATCTTGGAACTCCTCAGTCTGAAGTTCCGATGAGTCAAACTGCAAATATTCCTTGGTATAAGGGTTTGAATAGATGGCTGATTTAATTGCTGCATTGTAGGGATCTATTCGCGTTGAATCGCCGTTGGACCGTAATCAAACTAAAGGAGGTTGTATTGCTTTTATTGGCCTTACAACTTCTCCCCCAATTCACACAGGTTGAAAAGTTTGCTCACATTACCTATGGCAGGTCGTCCAGCTACACACACAACTCCAGAGGCAAGGCTGCAGGCTGCACGACAAAAACGCAAAAAGTATTATCATAGGTGAGTTTCTCCTATTATCCTACCCCAACGATCAACTAAGCATCGGGACAGACACAAAGACACCATCAACACCAAACGGCGCCTTTCTTATACTCCGACAAAGCACAAAAAATACTCTATCCCCCCAAAAAGTGAAATGTCGGGGACGGACACTCCTCCGACTTCCTCAGCTCGCGAAAGTTTATCTCCTGCACCGTAAGTTTTTCTACCTTTTGAGACATGTGGCAGCTGAATGCAAATAATAGCACGACACTGTCAGGTTGTTTGGAACTCGTTAAAGACGCCAAAGATGAGCTAGTCGGTCTCGCCATACTACCTGGTCCTTATGCGTACGTCGAACATATTCTTGGGAGATATGTTGCAACAGTACCTCGCGAATGCTTCGACATTGAGACTGTTGACCGCGAGGAACCTGGTGATATTTCCATCATCGATGATGCGATCTGCACGGTCAGAAAAATCTATGAGAACGCCTATCGTGGTCAAGACACAATTTTCGACATGTGTGGAGTATGTGACGAGTGGAGGGCTGCAGATGAAGTATGCCGAGCGATTCATCATGTAATTGGGTACTTGGAGGATGTGTTGTGGCATGTCAGGCGGGGTACAACTGAACTTGCAATCGCGCATGTACATCAAAAACTGAAGTATCAATCAGACAGGCTGGACAATATGTAGCACCATACTTATGGCTCATTACGAGGTGGAAATATAATGTTTTGGTCATGGACATCTTGAAGTGTGCAACCCGCCAATCATGTGAATGATGAATGGAACCGGTAGCAATGAATCGGCAGGATCCTCCGATCTTAGGCTGTCACCACGTACCTGCCGCCATGTTATTCTCTACCGTTTTCTACATACCACACAACACACCAGTATTTCCACCATTATATCTCGAGAGCTCAGCACCCAGAGTGTGCCACAGACTCCGGGATCGTCAAAGCAAATACCTTTGAGTGTGCAGCTGGCTCTACAGTTCTCAACGGGCGGGCGCGTGATGTTGTGGAGGATCCGCAATGAGAATCTTCAAGTTGCTTAGGTACTGCCATAGTTTCTTGTCTGTTCTCGTCCTTTTGACACCAAGGTATTGCTTTTCTGAATAGCTTATGTATGTCCCTCTTCTCTTGGGCGACTGTGTTATATATCGCAAGTCTTCAAGTTGTCTAATACACAATTGTCTCATCGCAATGGCTAGTGGCAGAGGGCGGCCAAGTAAGAAGCCCAAACTTACCAATCACGTACTTCCTGCTACCAGCCTTGGTAGCTTGGGTCGCTTTGAGTCTGCATCACAGGTGCACCGTCACCGAGTCTTTTCACTCAGTGATGCAGGCCATTTTGACTTTCGAACTTCTTACATACAAGCTGCCACTCCATCGCAAACACACCCAGCAGAACATGATCACGACCATATAGATCCCTGGAATGAGACCATATATTCGGAGTCTCTACCGTCACCCGACAATCTTCAAGAAAAATGCAAGGACACAGCTAGAGTAAGTATTTTTTTCGCATTATATTCACTGAATTTCTCACAAGATATCGAGCAGGATAACACCATCCTCTCCTGGCTGTTGGAACGCCAAACATTTGTGGATGAATTCATCCGCTTGGAGGGTAGGGGGAAGGCTGCAGATTGTCTCTGTGACTGCGGAATGGCTGCTTCATTCAGGTGTAATGACTGTTTGTCAGTGAACCTTTCCTGCCAAGAGTGTATTGTACGTCGGCATGCGGAGACTCCGTTTCATCGCATTAAGGTATGTTATTGTTGTTTTCTTGCACACTTCGCACACAAGCTCACTGTTGAATAGGAATGGCGCTTTGATTTTTTTTCAAGTGTAACCCTCAAATCTCTTGGCCTACGTATCCAACTTGGTCACGATCCCGGTCAGCGCTGTTGAAATCCAAAGTCTGCCCGTAACGATGATTTTGTGGTCATTGATGCCCACAGGATTCATGAAGTTGGTTTAGATTTTTGCGGATGAGAGACAGCGGCATCACATTATAAACAACTGCTTCGTGCACGTTGGTTTCCAGCCACAAGCACAGATCCCAGGACAGCTGCCACCTTTTCCGTTCTCAAATTTTTCCACCTCCTCTCTTTTGAATCTAAAGTGTCCGCGTATGAATTTTATCACACGCTCGCACGCGTCACAGACAATACTGGGATCCAACCCATTAGGGTGTGTTCAATTTATGTTCGAAGATCTGTGTACTAATGCTTTTGTCAGGATCGCTATTCAACATTTTTAAAGATGGTTGTTATGTGGCGTAATATCAAGATGCTAATACGCGCTGGCCGAGGGAACGATCCCGGCGGTGTCGAAGCAACCCAACAAGGCCAGTTGGCGGTGCTTTGCCCTGCATGCCCTCATCCTGGGAAGAATCTCCCCGACAATTGGGATAATGAGCCTGTTGCGATGAGGTATGTGTCTCTACCAGTACACCAGTCGAGCGACATCGCTAATTCCTATATAGATGGCTTTATTCGTTTTTCCTGGCAATTGACGCAAATTTCAGACTCAAACGCCGTCTGGTCTCCACTGATGCAAAAGACCCTGGCCTTACTCGTGGGTGGGCATACTTCGTGGAAGAATGCGGGTATAAGTCATATCTCAAAGAAAATTCTGCAGTCACCCAATGTTACAATAACATGTAACCGAGAACCCCTCCTACGGAGGTCATCATGACCTTAGCCCCTATCCCGCCTATACACCGTCATTGGAAGACCTACCGACTCAACGGAGACTCGTAGAGACACCTAGAACGGCCTGGATGCCGTTAGATGACCTAGACCAGCCTAGGCTACATCTGGACGGACCTAGATGGTCCTCGACCCGGATCATGAGGAAGCTCTGCCTCATGGTCAGAAGAGAAGCCGCATACCGCAGCATGCGCAGTTAGACTCCAAGGCATGCTTCGCCTTGAGGACAGATAAGAGAGGCATGGTAAGCCTCATGTATAGATAATCGCCCGCATGGCATCAGATAAGATGCCCTTGTATAGACACACTCATACCTACCTACCGAACGTAGTATTGGTCTGTGCACACGGACGACAGTATATAGAGCAGACAGAATCATGTATATTCCCTACTTGATTCTACTAGGTTTTATCCAGAACTTCCTCTGAAAGACAGTCCCAGTCCTTCAGTCTAAGCCGCACCTTAAGGAAAGCCGACGCTACCTTAAGTGGAACCCCCGAACCTCTCATTCAAGAGAAGATCCCCGTCTCTCCAGTAGCGAGCCCGCTATCAGATTAGGCAATCCGCCTAGGGAGAGCTCGAACTATCCTAGTCCGTAACACCCAAGAGGTATGTTTTCTTTTCATTGTCTGCTGAGTTACCATCTCATAGGCATCAGCGCAGTGTGTGTGTAAGTCATGATGCCGTCAACTTGGCAGATACCAAGTCTTCGAAAGGTCTAGCAGCAACTGGAGTCGGGGCGGTAGACTGCGCTCGACACGAGTTCAAGCTTCCGAATGGCGTTGGTGATCTCCAGAAAAAAGAAAAGTGCTATGTTCCGCATGTTCACTTTGATCATACACTCACGCTATCAATAGATACCTCAATATGGATTATCTCATCTTTTCTTCGCTCACTCATTTCTCGACGCTCTCCGCCGTCAACTTCTCTTATGATGTCGCGTGTCAATGGCACAAGAAGCTATGGACTCATGTATCCTCTCTACCCGAACACCTTCATTTTAGCCACGTCAACAAGATCATCCGTTTCTTTGTCCCTAAGTTTCATCTTGCAGCTCATATTCCTGCCTGCCAGACGGCATTTTCATTCAACTGGACACCTCATGTTGGTCGCACGGATGGCGAAGCACCTGAACGTGGATGGGCTAACATCAACCGTGTTGCTAGTAGCACCAAAGAAATGGGACCCGGGTCACGCCGAGACACGCTGGACGACCATTTCGGAGACTGGAATTGGAAGAAAGTTACTGCGTTTGGTATGTGTTTTACATATTGTACTGCTATGCTGTATCTGACGGATCATAACAATGCCTCCAGGCCGAATTCTTTTTCACAGAATTACTGAGGCTGTTGAGGCGGAGCGGGAGCATCGCACGGCATTAAAGGAACTTCAGGAGTCGGTGGCCTCATCTGAGTTAGGCCGAACATCACTCGCTATATGGGAAAAAGAGATTACCACCTGGGAGAACGATCACACTCAGCAGAACCCTTTCGAAAGTCAATGCAATGGTATGCGTGATTGGTGTTCAATCATTCATTTTTATTTACATGATAGACAGAGATGACACAGGCAGCGGTTCGCCTCGAACTTGCACGGCAAGACACCAAGGACATAGAGGATGGCCTTTCAGTGTCCCTTCATGTGGAAGTCACACCGAGCATTTTGATCAGTACAGGTATTGACCTTGAGCATGTGCAGTAAGTATCCTTCGTCCAACTCACTCAATCTTTCCGCTAATGATCATCATGATGTTCAGACGTCGTCTTCGCGCAGACATCGCAAGCCTTGGCCAACATTCGACAGATAATCAACGCACCAAGATCTTAACACGTAGGAATGCCCTTCAACGCCGTATAGATATGTGGATTGACGTACAGGCGCTCTATATGCCCACCACTCCCTATCTGCGCTTAACTGGCTTCGTCACGCCCTCACGGGATGATGACAGCGGCTGCCCAAAGTCTAATCCTACCTCTGAGAATGCAGAAGATTTTCCACTCCTACTACCGTCCGAAGTTTGCGAACATTCTACATGTGATCCCAAGCTGTTAGATATCGAGTGGTCTCTCCGTCATGCCCAGGCAAACGACGCACTAGATGAGTGCCGCTCCAACATTCGCCTTCGACACCAGCTCATTCAGTTCAAAGGACAACACATCCGTGGTCAAGGTGCCACCACTCGAGCACGCCAAACAATCCAAACAGTCGAAAATCACCTGATCCTCAGTCACGCCAAGTACACTCGTGCTTATTGGGCTTTAACGGCTCTCTCTCACCAACTCAGCCGTCCTGGATGGGATATCAACTTGCAACTGTTGAAAAAGGCCCACCTTCGACCAATGGGTGATTTTGGAGGACAATCTCAAGGAACAGCCATAATGTCGTGGATTTGGCGGAATCGTGGAATCACCACTAGTGATAACGAGAGCCTGCAAGAATGTACGTGTTGTAGCGCTACCTCCTCGTCCAAAATCTTACTTGAATATTTCAGCACTTCGAATTGAATGGTGCAAAGCTTGTGCACGTCACCACAGGTGGGCGGAGGAAATCCAGTTGTTATTGGAAGAAATGCGCCGTGTACTAGCATATTTAGCCTGGCACGCGGTATGGTGGGAGACGCAGGGACCCTTGCGCGCCGTAGACAGGCCTGAAGATGCTGAGGGTTTGCTTGCATACGCAAAACGGCAAGCGGCGATTCGCCGTGGTCTGCATGCGAAGTTCGCAGAGAAGTGGAAGAATGTTGGGGATATTGTTGAAGCAGGCATGGGAGACGGCACAACTCCTGATGAAGGTCCAACTCTCGATGCTCCTCCATGTGATTTCGATGACGTAGATTGATGTACCTAGTTAGAAGTTTCCCCACAATGAATATATGCCCCGCTCTGCTCAGATCAAGATCGGCGGACATTTTCCGGTCATAGCCACAGCAAGGAAGATCCTTGTTCAGATTTGTAGTGGCTTGGAAGACATTAGTAAGTGTTTGACGGGCTCACATAATCCTGTTCCGGTGGATGGCGCTGAAAACAGAATGATGCGCACCATTACAATTAGCCAATATTGATATATCACTGAATGGTTAAGCTGGCCACTGGATGTATCGGATTTTTGGGCTTATGAGCCAGTATGATATATCCACCCTACATAATGAAGTGGCGGAAATGACTCTAAACTTCGGCCTCGTGTGTCAGAAGTATGCTCTCCTTTCCTCTTTTCAACCTACTCACATGATATGACGATGGTCCTGCTTGCTGCACCTTCGCATTCTACAAACTACATGCCTTGACATCACGCTCTATTCATCGTGAAATAGGGCCCCAGTCTCCAAGCATGCTTAACATCCGAAACTCTTTCCGAGGCATTACTGCTCGCAGATGAGCATCCCACGCCAAGGGCACGACGCTTGTTGAGAGGCTCCTCAACTCGACTTCTTCTGGTGTTGGTTCCGACTGCAGTTCGGAATCACGGGAAGGCGACCTCAAGCGTGCGCTCGAGACTGCTCTCGGCAGTCTCTGTGCCCTTCGCTCAATATACGACCACCGCGTCACGCGCTGGGAGCACGAGATGAGGCGCATCAACGACAAGCAGGACCGTGTTGAAATGCTACTCCGCCAGACCCTGGGTGTCGGTTTGCAGAACGGTAATGGCCTTCCTGACGCGTAACTTATTCAAGACAAGTTCTCCCAAACATCTTCGCATTCTCTGTACTAATATCAACATTCACACTCTATGCCGCGTCAAGGTCTACTATCAGTGCCGTGTCAAACAACCTGTGCCACGTCAAACCTCATTTATGCTGCGTCAAACTTCATTCATGCTGCATCACAACTGCCACACGCCGCGTCAAACCTCACCACTTCAACTGTCATGCTGTCCATATAACTTAGTAGGTATATTTTATGTTATAATTGTCATAATAATTGATATTCTAACAGTGTTCCTTTTCATCGCCCTTATGCGCCCCTCATGATCCTCGCTATGAACTCGACAGTCCGCAACACATGCATAATTGGGGACCGGCGTACTGCTGAAAAGATGCTGAATACAGATATTGACACTGACACTGACGATCACACCGCCTATGCCAATCGCAAGCCGGTCAAAGTTGTGTTGTCCATGGGCGAACAATCGAAGAGCTTTTCCTTGAACCATCTTGTGGATATGTCATTCGCGGGATCGGCCATGCATATGACAGAAGGGGTTTGGATGATGGCATCTATAATTTCGTGGCCCATGTTGACTTTGGCAATGCATACATAAGCTACTGAACCAAATCCTTCGTCGCAACGTTACGATGAAGCCATCGAGGCCTTCAAAATCATGTTGTGTTAGACAAATGTAGTTACTCTGTCGAAGACATTAAGTGAATACACATCGCCAAAGCTTGCTCCCAAAAATGCCTCCTGCTGTGAATGGTCCTGTCATCGATAAACTGTGCCAAGTGAGCATGTAGGTGAGCAAGTTGTTCAGGAGACAATGGACAGTCGGGCTCGTCCACTTCAATAAGATTGAGGGTCTCTGGAACATAGGCCACAAAGGGGTTGTTGCCAAGAGGGTCTGGTTGGTTGACCATGTCATGATGTGAGCGAATACCATGGTTGTCTACACCATCCCAATTGATCCCATACTCAGCAACAGCTTCGTCACTTTGAAGGGTGTCCTCTGGAGGATGAAATGTAGGTGCCACCTCAAATCCATGCGCACCATGCTGCAGCATACTGAGGAAACACATTTCGTGGGGGCTTGACATGCCATGGTCATAGGTACTCATCCTATGATGGTTCCATGCCTCAGCCCAGCCATGAATCTCGCGTCCCAGGACATCAAGGAATAAATGATGAAGCAGCCATATGTGGTGCACATTGTCGACATTGAGCCCACTGCTGACTTCCAGATCTTGAAAAAAAAGTTTCCACTTGGAGCCGATTCCGTTGGTCAAATCCACCCATAGACGCTCAATACGTATATTATGGACACTTCTAAGGGGTGCATTAGGAGCGCTCAGACAAGTGTTCTAAAAAGAGCAAGCATACCGCCCCCATATATATGATCCTCGTCCAGGCCCTCGTGAAGCCTCCATAAATCTAGCAACTTCTACATTTTCAACTCCATGGTCTCCACGAACACGACTAGGAAGGCCGTGGGTCTGAACAATCTCTTGAAAAAGTTCCAAGACAGTTTGCGCACGATTATTGTTGTGTGCACGAAGTCCAGTGATGTATCGTGAGTAGCCGTCAATGAATCCATGGATTACAATCTTCCACCGAATAAGGCCTGTCGATTGTGTAAAACGTATTCAAGAACAACAGGTGAATAAAGTAGTACTTGCCATGCTGGCCATCATGATGAGTCAGGGAATTATAACCCTTGACATTGTATACTCGCCGAGTGATACGGCGCACACCAAATGCAGCCACAGGAGGGCCATGGACCCGGGAATATGATGCTTGAATACGAGAGCGAGGTACACTGACTCCCATGTAACGAAGTTGGCCATCAATCATGCGGCGGCCTAGACGTGGGTAATGGGTGAGAATTTGCAACATGGCACTATCCAGCTCATCATCAGAGAGTACTGATTGAGCTCCGGTGGAGGATGTATAGTATCTACACGTGACACCACCTTCATCAGTGAATTCAATATATACTGGGTGTCCTGGTTCTACAAGCTCATTCTCTAGCGCCCGGCGTCGAACAGTGCGTGAGGATACACCAAAAACACCTGCAAGACGTGTGGGTCCAGCAAATTGCAAGGCTGTCTCTAGAACGTCGGGGTTGATTTCAATACGAGGGCGTCCACAAGATCGGTTCTGGATGGTAGTAACAGCTTCTATAGGTGGGGCATCAGGGTAATCCGCTGATCGGCCCTTTGCTTCGTCAAGATCGGCTACCATTAAATCCAGACTGGACTCCATAGTAGCCAATGTGACTTCTGGTACAATCGCACGATGCTGAAATCATTATAAGATAGGCAGGAAGCTGATATTGGGGTGACTTACCTGTGTTATATCAGCTCTCAACTGTTGGCACGCTTGAACATGTAGCTGAAGGCGAGCAGCATCACCCAGCTGAGTAAGAAGGGCAACACGGACATCATCTTTCAATTGGTTGAAAGAACAGATAATGTTCTGTAATGGAAGAGGGAGGCGAGTGAGGTCAACACTGTCGTCACTCATGAGAATAGCACAGTCAGTGATAGAGACCACCTTTCAGACGTTAGGGTTGGAACTTGGTGGGCGCTAAGATAGGCTGCACGACCAGTATAGCAATTGTCCAACTTGATATTCAATAGCGTGAAGCTCATGGGACTTCTCTGTATGGGAGACATAGTTATAAAATTAATGCTGCAAAATTTTACAATTGTCTGCGCCAGTCTGACGGTCTCCAAGGATAACAAATACAAGTAAGACCTGCATAACCCAGCCCTCCTAAACCTAAGATGGGTGAGTCCGGCACCTGAGAGTTGGAAAAAGAGGTGAAAGAAATACTGGATTGAGAGACATGCGGACTTTACTTGTGCAGAAACAATATGTCAGTATATGCAAGGCGAGGGACATGCGAGACATACCTTTGACAATTGGAAAACAAGAAAGACGGGTCAGAAGCGAAGCAGTAGGCTGCACAGAAACTTTCTTGACCGACAATAGCTGCGTCAGGATACCCTCTGCTGCAGCAAAATTCGGCAGCCTCGAACAGATTCCCGTCGCCACCTCCTGGATCCAAGCACATGTCACAACAGCTTGCAAGGGTCAATGTGGACGATCTCCACAAGGAGGGCAGACATAGAGGCGCCGATGAGGAAATGGGAGTGCCCAAAGTGGAATTCGAATTTGAGGAAGCAGTGGACTATTGTTCTGAGAGGCCACGAGCGTTAATGCCAGGCTGGATGTCGAGGGAGTAAGAGAATGTTACGAACGATGCAAGTGAGCAGAATGCAGGTACGGGTGGTAGACAGTGTGCTCGCGTCGTCGCAGACATCTAAAAATGTGGGTCCGTTGAAAAGTCGCTTGCGAGTGCTTGCGAGCATTTTGAAAATAGTTAGCTCAGGTCTCGCATTCGTAAACATTCGTTTTTGGTTATGTTGCACCCTGAGTGCTCATTTTTAGGTTAGTTAAAAGATCTCGTTGTATCGCGTCGATTATCAACAGCATCTAGTACTGATATGATCAAGAGCATCCAATGATAATTTTGATTACACTATACTACAACGAACAAGCTATATACGTAGTAAAATATTATTCAGAATCGGACGAGCTCTCTCCATTGCCTGCCTGCAATGGTCCAACATCCAGCACGTACTGCAAATAACTTTCTAACTCGAGTTTTTCTTCGTCCGTGAGGTCATCGAACACTTGCACGATCTCCTTGAATTTTTCTTCGTGGTGTTGACCACCAAAAGCGTCGACGGTGATAACAGCGGAGCGCTGTTCCTGCAATGCACAGTGAGTACCACTGCCAACTGAGGCCATCACATATTTGATGGCCTTCAGTGGCGAGGCACCGAGAAAGGCTTCGCGGCCCTCGCGCCACACAAAACGAACGACGCCGGCCATGATAAACGCATTTTGAAATTTGGCATCAATGGTGATATTCCCGTGCTGAAAGACTTATAGTTAGTGAAGCGCCAGAAGTGTGAGAGCGACGTACCTCGTCCACAGAATATGCATGCATGAAGAGTAGGGGATCAATGCCCCGTATGAGTTTGTTCACCATTGCGATGCGATGCCTTTGTGCTGCTGTGACGGTGCTCCCTCATGGGGGAAACAGCTTGTATGACACGAAGACACCGTCGCGCGCAAATTGAGCGATTTTCCCGCGTATACTGGACAACGCGTTCAACACTTGTCTCCGATGGGCATTAGTTATAAAGTTTTCAATGACAACTACAATATTAGTACAATTATATGAATGATTTAAAGAAAAACTCACCATCAGCTTCCAAACAACGAGGCGTCGAGTCTTTGATTGCGTCCTCGAATTGAGTGACGCGTTTTTTCCGCTTCTGCGTCATCGCATGTTTGGTAAACATCACCCGCCCAATTAAAACTTTCCCCCCCTTCACAGCGTCGTTGATGTCTTCGTTTGACACCCGTACCGTCTTCAATGTCGGCGTTGAAGGTTCGGCGACGACGGGTGTTTGTGGTGCCGTCGTGTGTGCCGCTGTGCGTGTCTGCGGTTCGGTGGTGCTGCGGGGGGCTTGCGGGACGAAGTATGGGGTTGCAGGTAGGTTGGCCCTGGTACTGCGTTTCTTCGTAGTACGTGCCGGCCCCTTGGTGTATGTAGTTGTTAGTTAGGGTAGCACAATAAACGAAACACTTACATGGACAACCTCTTCTCGAGGAATCTCCCCTCGCCGTAAAAGAGCTAGATTGGTAGCCGGGGGCATAAAGCCCGCCCCTCGGTCTATCATAGCGGCTCCTCCATCAGGGGCTTCGTCGACCCATTGTGGTAAGGGTGTTCCGTGCACGTGGGCACCCCCGGATGTTCCTAAGTTGGATGAGGATGGGCCATCGTACGGCTGGTCCCCCGTGTCTCCGAATCTGTCTTGGTCGTAAGGGTACCCATCATAGGACGTGCCATCGTATTGGGGCTGCGACAGATTGGGTTGGGGGTTGGTGAAGGACGAGCCGTCATACGAAAAATTGGGTTGGGGGTTGGTGAAGGACGGGCCGCCGTGCGGCCGGTCCCCCGTGTCTCCAAATCCGTCCTGGTCGTAAGGGTACCCGTCGTAGGATGTAGTATTGTCGTCGTGAGGGGGTTGTGACTGCGTGAAATGGTCTTCGTGTGATGGTTGAGGCTGTGCGAATTGCGCGCCGAAGGACGTAGAGCCAGATGCGTGCGAGTCGTCATAGTGCGTGAGTCCACGGAAAGAGTGTTGATCTATTTTTTTTTGGCTTGTTAGTTTGTGAATACTCGCGATTGACAAATCACTCACCTGGGCCCCCACTTTGCCACTGCATACTGTCTTCATGTGGATTGAAACCGAATGCTGGCACAGAAGGTTGTTCAGCTGGAATGTTGAGTTGATCAGCGGCTGGAAGTCCTGATGGGTTTAGTCCCGACCCCCTTGCTGGTTTGGGGACGGCAGCCTTGCCCTTTCGTTGTGAAGGACGGTTAGCCATATAGTGGTTAGTACGAGAGAGAGGCGACAATCGATAGCGCACTGATTGTTTCAAATTCGGTGATATTACACACAAAGGTAATAAAACACACCCAAACGTACATAAAAGCATGGCGGTCCGATCACGAAGTGATGTAGTGAATGTGAACAGCCTGGCGCGATAAGTAAGACTATTGACATATATGAATGGCAGGGAAAGGCATGGTGTTCGAGAAGCAGCTATATGAATGGCGCGTGTTCAAAAAGTCGACATGTGAATGGCACGATCCGAACATAATTGAATGTGTGGCTATTTACTGATATATTCATTAGCGAGCGACGAGCTGGCAGTCAAATTTAAATACCGTGATTTGAAAAAGAGGGCACAAAAAGAAGGGCCGTGTGATTGGAGCTACGCATCATGGCCTTCAGATTCTTCGTCATCGTCCGAATCCATGGTACCATTGTGATCATTGCCATCTAAATCGGAGGACGTATGGGAATCACTGGGATCAGCCGAGCTAGTGAATTGAGGGCGATGAGAAGATTCTCCCCTAGATGACAGTAAGTCGTTCTTGACGTTCAGGCCCAGAATCTTTCCCATTGCGTCTGCTTGGGCAGCAACGGTGCGAAGAGTGTTGCACTCGTCATTGTAGGCAGCTTGAAGGTAGTTCCCATTGTCCTCGATCTCTGAACGGTGACGCCCGGTGAGAGCAGCTCTAACTCTTCGGAATTCTTCATCAGAATATTTGAGGCGCATTTTGCTATCCTCGTTGAGCGCCTCAGAAAAATCTAAGTAGTGCTTTGCCTCTTGAATTGCCCATGCTGTAACCGCGAGGCGTTGGCGTGCAGCTTCACGGCCAGCAAGCCTTGCCTTGAATAATTTGTACATAGTCGATAAGTTCATTTCTGCGAGGCCCTTCATCATCAATTCCTCGTGCTTTTACTGTAAGATTACACAATAAACCAAATAAAATGATATTTAAAACGTACCTCTGCAATGTCTTCAGCCGTGAACTCTGGTCGGCATTCTCACCCTAATGCACGAGCCGAGATACGGAGCTCCAACGGAGAAGCAGTTGTAAACTTCCCAAAAAGGGGAGAAGCTGGAGGAGAAGACGAACGAGGGGGAAGGGATGAGTTGGGGGATTGAGAAGACAGATGACAAGAATATGTGGCGTGACGCTTTCTACAGGAAGGAGATGACATGCGATGCGATTCACGAGGGGAAGGGCTACGCAATAAGCTCTCTTTCGTTGCAGGTGTGTGGCCAGGCTTCCCACGACGGGACGGAGATGCGAATTCACGCTTTCCGCGACGGGAAGGGCTATGCAATAAGCCCTCTCTCACTACAGGAGAGTTTGACACCTCATCCACTGGGGAGAGAGGAGTTGGGGGAGAACCGGAATGAGGAGAACCTGAATGATCAGTGCCAGGTCCTATGTCAGAGGTCATCAAACAGGGTGAGTTATCTGCTTTCTTGAGAAAAAAATCAAAGAACGCTGGTTCAACACGGGTTGCACTGCTGGAGTTGGTGTGAGTAGGACTGCTTGGTCGAGGGGGAGACGAAATGTGAGATAAAGGTGCAAAGTCCATCGTCTTGCTGTGTAGACAGCTCACCAGGTGTTGACGGGTGCAGTGAAGGTGCGCAATCCTGCGGACTTTGAAAGACTGCGCAGTTGCAAATCACTGACAAGCACACGTCGAAGCCTACAATGTGAGTAGTCTGTTAAACCCTGATGCCAGCCTGATCGTGCGCACATACCTTTGCAGGTTATGTCCAAACTGCAAATTGAGAGAGTTTCCGTCCATTGAGTCACTTATTACGCACCTCAATTCCCAATCTACCTGCTGGCCACCTGAAGCACGACCACAAGAATTACCCGTCCCTCCTGTATTCCGTCAAAGTCCTGTTTCAAGTATCACTGGTACTTGTCATCAAGATTCCGGATATGTCTTCGGCATTGGTAAAAACATGCTCGATAGGTTGGAAGACGATACATATGCGTACCGGCGAAAGATCAACCATTACTACCCTTTCCACGACGAAGGCGAATGGGAATTAGGGAAGTTCTTGGTCGAAAACCTCACTCAAACGCAAATCACTAAGTTTTCGAAGTTGAAATGGGTAAGTAGGATCGTCTAAGCTGTAGGCACAAGTCTGATTTTAAACAGTTTAACGATCACCCAAGACCGTCTTTCACCACGAAGGATAAACTCTTGGACTGGATGGACTCGCTTCCTTGTTTTACGGAGTGGCAAGTCTCCAAAATAGAGTTTTCAGGCTACAAGACCGTTTATCCCATCGAACTCATTTGGCGCGATGCATTGGATGTAGTCAAGCAACTTTTTAGTGACCCTATCTTTGCGAACCATATGACGTTTGTCCCACACCACATCGGTGTCGGTAATCAGCGTGAATATGGAGATTACATGAGCGCTGATATGGCATGGAAAATCCAGGTCTGTTCACTATATTAATACGTTCCTCACCGAGTCACAGAAAGACTTGTGATTTTCTAGGACTACCTGCCTATTGGCGCAACCCAGGTTCCCATCATCTTGGGATCCGATAAAACTCCTGTCACGCGACTTACTGGAGGACTGGAGATGCACCCGATTTTCATCACCATCGGTAATATCGATTCGGAGGTTCGTTCTAAAGCAACATTACGAGCTTGGCGCTGCATTGCCTACATGCCAATCGTAAAGTTCCGTGTGCATACAGATTATCAGAGTATTCTTCAGGCACGGCTATGGCATAAATGCATGGACCTCGTCTGTGCTAACCTCAAGGCCGCGGCAGCAGAGGGATGTTTCATGCCTGACCCTTTTAGATTTATCCGTTATGTTTTCACGCCCCTTGTAGCTCATGTATGCGACCTGCCAGAGGCCACCATGATCGCTGCAGTTGCTAAAAACGCATCTCCTCTGACTATGGCGACGCAAGAGCATTTTGGTGATGGGATCCTCCACCCCCCTCGTACCGGGAAGCATACATTGGAACTCCTCGTCGGTATTGCCAAGACAGTTGATCCCTGGGACCTTGACAAGTTCCAGAAAGCGGCCAAAGTTCTCAATCTGTCTGGAGTTCACATGCCTTACTGGCGTGATTGGATATATGCATGCCCATCCGTCTTCCTCGCTGGCAAAATTCTACATACCTGCTTCAAATTTTTCGCTGATCACCCGCTCAAATGGGTGAAGGAGACTGTAGGAGCTTACGAGCTTGATACCCGTTACATTGCTCAGCATAAGCGGGTTGGCACGCGCCACTTCGCCAAAGGGATCACGCATGTCAAGCAAATGACGGGCTGTGAATATAGAGATATACAACGCACTATCGTTGCATCAATCGCAGGTGCTGTTTCACCCAGATTTATTCGCGCAATCCGCGGCCTTGTAGACTTCACATATCTTGCACAACACCCAGTTCATTCACCCCAATCACTCCAAGCCATGACGCAGGCACTTTCGGATTTTCACTCCTTCAAGGACGCTATCGTCGCTGCAGAAGCGAGGAAGGGGAAGAAAGGCGTGAAAGAAGATTTCTTTATTCCAAAACTCGAGCTAATGCAAAGTTTCGAGGGTACGATCAGGAGGTTGGGCACGTTGATGCAATTCTCAGCTGATACGACGGAGCGATTGCTCATAACACACTGTAAGGACCTTTTCCCTCGGACGGCTCGACAAAGCAAAGATTTCACGGAGCAGTGCGTTCGTATTCTTAATCGTCAGGAGTTGATGGAAATATTTGATTTATATGCGTTGTTGACTTCTCGGGGAGCATCACTGGTCAATGCCATACACGCTGAAGATGAGGATGTCACAATCGCTAATCCTGCACTTTCTTGGGTTTCCCGCATACTCCCTGACGAGGTGAAGTCGGTTCATGGTCCCAGACCAGTCCGTAACCATTTTCTCAAGGGCATTCTTTCTGGAGACGCGCTCACGGCTTTCCAACTGAATGTTACCCCAGACTATAAATCACTGTCACCGGCTGAAATACGCACGAAATACACTCTCCCTGACTTTGATCACACGCTCACCGACTTTATTCGTCGTTCATCCCTGGCTAGCGACGAGCACACCTGCTGGGACCCCAAATATGGGCGCTTCCAGGTGTGGAACAAGTTTCGGCTGCAGCTGCACTCGGCCTTCCAGCCACGGGTCATCATGCCAAGCAGAGTAGTACAAGCATACCCGCTGAGCAATGATTTCCCCTTGGGCAATTGCGATACCATTCTTATCGATGGCCCGGGCATGGATGGCAACATAAGTATGTGTATTCCCTGTATATTGAGCACTACTGATATCATATATAGCTAGTTATGTCGCACAAGTTCGACTGATTTTTCAACCGACGATTCGACGAGGTTCTGATGTGGAGCTGCCATCGTACCTTTCCAACCCACTTCTCTATGTCCAGTATTTCCGTTTCATCTCTCGTCCTGAAGACCGTCCTGAACTCATGATGTGGACCGTGGAACGCGTGTACACTCATGATGCAAATGGTAACCGCCATAGACATGGAGCTGTCGTGCGACTTACGGATGCAACGCATGCGGTCGAATTGATACCGGAGTATGGTGAGGCAGTGGACAAGAGCATGACCTCTGCGACATGCTCGGAAAGCTATGAGCGTTTCTTTCTGAATAATTTTGCGGACAAGGAGAGTTATCATGCATTCAGTACTGAGTTTGTATAGACAGTAGATTAATCGGTATGTAGTGTAGCAATTGTATCTATTGCTATCGCATCCATCGTATCTATCGCATCGCATCTCTGAGCATATCACATCTTATCGAACTGGGCTTCAGTTTATCAGCCAGATATGGTGTGTAATATTGATGTTCAACATCTCCACCAATCGCATGACTTCGCTACTGAAGTCGTAAGTGTTCGTAAGTGTTCGTAAGGTACATCACGCACCCGCCTGTGTGACGCGTGACCTGACGCGCGGCGCGGCGTGGCTCATTGTTGACGACAATGAGGACAACAGTAGGACTCAACTGAAGGTACCATGTGGATGACTTTTGTGCCGAGAAGAGAGTTCTGAGAAGCCATGTGGATGACTTTTGAGAATGAATTAGAGTTTTGAGAAGCCACGTGGATGACTTTTGGTTATCATTCAGAGATTTTCGGACATAACTGTAAGCTCATTGCTTACTATACGCTTAACTAAGCAACGTCATGTGACGTTGCCCCATATATTCCACCGTTCTTACGACGTTTAGAGGTGGACTCGGGTCTCTTACCTACCATCATCTACCCCGCATACAAAGACTCAAAAATACATAATTTCGTCCTGTTATCTCGCTCGATTCGTTTAGTGTTCCACGCCGTTTCCGCGGCGAGGTTCCAATAACACAACTTTTGAGTTATCATGTAGATATTTTATATAACACGATTCAATTTATTATTGTCTCCTCTGGGCCGTCATATTACACCGTCAGTTTCACGCCAATTCCAATATGCAAAGAGCTGTAAGTCGACCGATTTTTTCCTGATGTGCGTTGAGCAACTCTACAAATCACTAGTAACGAGTCGCACGCCAGTGTCAATATCCATACTCCGCCGACGTGAAAGCAAAAATACGACTCACTACGCAGAAAAACAAGAAGACCTGCCATGCAGGTGAGTCATGTCTTCAAGTCCGGGAAAATATTGATGCTCACACATTGATTCCAACTGCATGCTGAACTGCCGCATTGTGAGTCAGAAGTGCAAGCCCTGAAACATGTGTCTGCGCTAGCTGCGTCACCGGTAGTGGGTATGGCAGAGATTGATGATGCTAAAGCAACAACATTGACAGCGAGGACGATTGCAGAGGAGAAACGCATTGTTTGTGACTCGTGTGTATGTGATCAGGTAATTAGGAAGAAGACGGCTGGGTTTTATATCGTTCTTTGAAATTCTTGTTGCGTGGATGTGCCTCCAAATGGATGCATATCTACAACTAATGCCAGCACCGCGTGAAACCCCATGGATATCGCCAGCACTTGAAGAAGGTCTGTTGGCAGGTGTGGAACTGCTGGATATTTATTCGCATTTCCAACTAGACTCGTAACCAGTTATTTGAGATGGTTTGAGACTCTATTATGTAACGAGGTACGCGCGAGAGAAGGATCAGGTCTTTGCGCAATTGTCGGAAGCAGTACGAACCTTTGCCTTCGTACTGCGACGACGCATCTTTCTCGTCTCAGTCGTCCTCAAACGACGTTATTCTTCCTTTTGTTCTTTTCATCCTGTCAACAGCTCAATCACTCTTGCTAAAAAGACCTCCAAATTCGCCCGGCATATCATGCAACGCATCCCATCTGACCTAGCGTTAGAAGCACAACCATCAGCGGCTTACAGTGGTTGGCTCAATGCCGAATTCATTGGCAATATGCTTACACACTTAGTTAGTAGACTTCAAAAAGTCCAGTTTTCACTGGGTATCATATTGCATGCCTATCTAGATCTTGTCGAGCGTTGTTGAAAGTGGCACTAGATAGCTGTAAAATATGCAGGATCTAGGTAGGTTTTTATTGGGTACATCGTGCGCATACATACTTATATTTGATCTTCAACTTTCAGCCCGTCTATACCACACCGTCGGTGTGAGGCTGAGCTGTGGACTGATCTGCATGCCCCTTGATAATATCTTCGTGCGTCTTATCTTAGTCTAACATTACCTATATTTCATGAAATTTTCATGCCAATTCTAATATACAAAGAGCTGTAAGTGGACCGATTTTTTCCTGATGTGCGTTGAGCAACTCTACAAATCACTGGTAACTCGCGCGCCATTGTCAACAGCCATACTCCGCCGACGTGAAAGCAAAAATACGACTCACTACGCAGAAAAACAACAGGCTCTGCCATGCAGGTGAGTCATGTCATCAAGTCCGGGAAAATATTATTACTCACGCATTCATTCCATATGCATTCTGGATTGCCGCATTGTGAGTCAGAAGTGCAACCCTTGATACATTTTTGTGCACTGGCTGCGTCACCGGTAGTGGGCATGGCAGAGATTGATGATGCTAAAGCAACAGCAACAGCGAGGACAATTGTAGAGGAGAAACGCATTGCTTGTGACTGGTGTGTATGTGATCAGGTAATTCTGAAGGCGACAGGAGGAAGACGGCTGGGTTTTATATTGTTCTTTGAAATTCTTGTTGCGTGGATGTGCCTCCAAATGGATGCATATCTACAACTAATGCCAGCACCGCGTGAAACCGCATGCATATTGCCAGCACTTGAAGAAAGTCTATTGACAGGTGCGGAACTGCTGAATATTCGCATTTCCAATTGCCAGCCGTTGACTATTGGAGTGCTGATGCTCACGCGTTGCCAAGTTGGTATCAATGAAGATAATCGTGTCCAGAGTGAATCCTATCTCTGACTTCGACTATTTCCTCCATTGAATTGGCTAGAGGTTTCCTTTCGAGTGTCGACGTGTACATGCATCAAATAAAAATGGGTATCAGCGGAGTAGACGTGGCTCATGCAAGTATAGGCCAAATAGACAGACATAATCGTGGCTGGCTCCACTTGGTCCAAGGGGCGCTCAGAGCCCTTATCAAAAGTGCGTCACAGGTCAGGAGCTGGTCATGGCATCATTGTTTGCTCAGTCACCTCCATGTTATTCAAGTTGCGAACATTTCACAACTACAGTTGATGTCTAGATACATGTTGTACAAACACACCTTCGCCTGTAATTCATCGGCCAAATCGAAAGCATTAAGAAGGAAATAGCAATACATGCAACCGAGCAAGTGCCGTTGAAAGTCGGTAACGCCGAATCCTAGTAGCTTAGTAATATGGGATCCTGCGCTGAAGAACTTGAAAACGGGTAGAGTCGGCAGAGGTTTTAGGAAATGAAACACGTTTGAGTTTGACGAAAGCCCTCCACTAACGTGGGCCCGGGAGTGGGGAAAGTACGAGCGGAACTTACCGGATTCGATAGGTGACAGACAATGGACATGCTCAGGCTCGCCTCCCCAGGAGGAATCCATCTCGATTTTTAATAGTTCCACGCCATTGGACCTCAACCGGTAAGATATGTTGGCATTGCAGCTTAGGCACAAGCACGTACGCAAGAATTTCAAAGAATAATATTCACCTGTGACACCACTTGGGTCCATAACCATATTGAACCCCAAACAAACAACACCACAAGGGACAATTAGAGCAAGAGAAGACGACGAGGAAGATTAACTGGATGATGATGCAAGTCCTGTTTCGACTCTGGTACGCTGTCAGTATTCCGTGAATGATAAGCACTGCGCAGGAAAGGACGAAGGCAAATAAAGAGACGAATTATCCGTCGAGCCCGACAGCAAAGATGATGGAAATGGTTGATATATGCAGGAAGGATCCCGCATTGCCATATTTGCTAAAGCTATCAAAGGTCCCCAGGTCGTTAAGGTGTCTTTCAGTACTATCTTGTACGTACTTTTGTTCTTAATAGAGACGGAAAAGAACATAGATGTAATGCGTGGACACCGGAAAGCAAAACAAAGTTATCAAAGACAATGTACGCCACTCCTATCGCAGTTAAGGATACAACTGATGCACCAACGCTCTTGTGGTTTGGAATGCTTGAATCATGCAGCGTCAGTACATCAGGAAAACTACCGGTTGCTTATCTCACTTTCATCACCAAAATTACCAAATCCAGAGATGGTCATATATTACCATGTCGGAGCCACCATAACTGCCATATGTATCTGGCGCAAGGTCTCAATGTAAGGCAATGTTAGGAAACTCAATTCTGACATTGCGACTGCCATATGACTATAGTCTGGCATTAGGCTAGTGTACCGATATATCAAACATTGCTATGTACATAATGCATTTGAATTTCGCTCAGATTCATCAGACATTGCAATTGCGTTCGGATATAACAACGTGATGCATTGAATTAATGGTAGTGCAAAGCAGTGAGGTACAACTGAGTGAACAGTTCCGAACCTAGTTCAGAACGCGTTCGAACTCTCGAACCATGGTGATTGCAAAAAAAATCTTACAGTACAAATAGCTACTAGAACTCTCACGACCGTGGGCACCAGCTCGAGGCACCGGTGCTGCTCGTTTCGTTTTGTGTCCAGCAGGTGGAGGAGACGTCGGAGTTTCACTCAAAGGAGAAGGTTTGCGTTGAACAGGCGCTGGGGAGCTGCAAGGAGGTGCCTGCCAGGGGAACTGCGAGGAGGTGTATGACAAAGAGGAAGATGAAGACAGCGGCAAGGCTGCTGAATTGAAGTCGATCATGATCTTGACTTTGGAGATGAGGTGAAGGTTATTGGTGATGGAGAGGCTAGTAGCGAGGGCGAAAACGATGGTGACGAGGATGGTGTACCACCAACGAGTGGAGGGATGGCACCTTGCAAGATTTTGTGGCTAAGTATGGAACGAATGAGATCAAACGGAAGTGACTCACGAAGATGAATGATAAGACAGTATAAAAGCCATAGCCTGGCAGGGCAGGAAATCATTGCAGCAAACATGGTAGGAATCTTGATGCGAGGGAAGTGGAAAGTGCTGATGATTGATTTGATGCACAGCACCGACAAGCTTTAAGTTTTGTTCGAGAAAGACTCGACGGGCGATCTGCAGGGTTTTCGCATCTAAAAAGATATTAGCCTAAGAATAAAAATAGTGGCTCTAACGTACCAGTGACACAAATTCCATCAATATAATCTGGAATGACGCCTTCAGACTCGATGATGCCGTTTCAAAAGGGAATTCGTGATGTCGCTGAGGTCGGGACTGAAATTAGACTCCATCGCGACGATGAAAGCCGCGCTGATAGCCGAGAAAAGACCAGACTAATCAAACATCAGTCTCAAAATGCGCCGAAGATAAGAACGCTAAACTTACGAAGATCAAGACAATGTCCATGTCAGTAGTGTATCGCTCAAGGAACTCATCGTCATGTTCCTCTGCGACTCGTTTGTACACCCCCCAGAAACTAGACTGTTTGTCCTTTCCGATCTTCGACGCAATCGTGGAGTCCTGGAGAATGTTCAATACTTGCTTCATGACATTTGCAGGGCTTCAGGTTTACCTGCCGAAGGGAATGCCTGACACTGTTTCTGGTGTGTAGTGAGGGACATCAACTGAGTCTGGAGAATACTTCGGAGTAACCGATGACAATGGCGCGTTAGAACTTGAGGCAGCAGGATTCAGCACCTCAAACTTAGTGGTTCTGGTCGCCTTGGTCTTTGTCGGCGCGTTGATTTTAAAGGTGGAGGCGGTGGTTTCGTGGGAGTGGGACGATGGGCTTGCGGGATCATCAAAGGAGTGTCAAGGTACGCTTCGACAATGTGGCAAGCTCCCGAAAAACTCACCTGTCAGCGTCCTCTGAAAATCTCTCAAGTTCTCTGATCGGACAGAAAAAGCATGCTAGAAGGATATTTCAGATCCATGTGAGTAGACGATGCTGGATCCATCTGATAGATGAAATAAGTACATAATATATGCATATATGCGCATACACTCACCTAAGTCGGCCATCCAGAGTCCAGACAGATCTCCAGCACGACAATATTGTCATGGGCCAACAGCATGCCGTCAGCCAAGCCAAGGCGGTCTTCAGTGTGAGTGATGGTGACCATTGCAGAGACGTGTCAATTGATTGGATTGGAATTAATGGTGTTGATATTGGTATAGAATAGGGAGATAAGCAAAAATCAAGTGTAGCGCGTCCATAGTTGGTAGGAATTTGCCGGCGGGCTTTGAATAGTCATGTGAGGCTGACGACGGTGTGCCGACTTTCAGAAAATTCATCGTCCGAATCCAATTTACCGGCATTCGCGCCATCGGCACCAGTTAGGTTTACTCCTTGGCTTTGAGAGCAGTTCTACGAAAACGACATCCATGGCTGCACCATCTTGCGACGGCACCTTTGTTACACCTCCGGAAACACCTCCGATAGCTATCCCAAAGTCCAGCCAATGCCAAGCATCGGCTGGTTCCATCCACTCTACCAAAGGCTCTGTACCTTGATTCTTCCCAACCATCCTCGTCTGCTCCCAGTAGTCCGAACATGATGCCCCCGCCTCCACTACCCTCGAGCGTCACATGATCTCTTCAATCGGAAAGTCGACTATCAGAAGTTTGTAATTCAATTCGAGCCCAGCTTGTTGCATCACTGCATGACACTCCGGCCCTTCACAAGTTATCCCATGCAGAACTAGAATCCATTGTAACACAAGTCATCGGAGAGGAAGGTTTTGCTTAACTGGTAAGCGTTCTCGGAGTCGTCTAATCAATAAATCATAACCGCAGATGACGCTGCTAATCGGATTCCCCAGTTTGCTTCCTTGGACACTATGTGGAGAGTGAAAGGTTTTTTTGGTCAATAATACCTGACAGTCTTGAACGCTACCCATTTATTGTTATCCTTTGGAATGTTACCTTGTATGTGTATAAAGTCTCTTCGATCACGGTCGTTACTATCAAGCACCTATCTCATACCTAGCTTTTATTGATGTACCAACAACTTGCAATTCATGAACACTTTCCACACCGACACTAGTGCTCTGGCGGTGGGTGCCCTTTAGGTACTTTACTTCAGTTTCACCCATTTTTCGTTGTATTACTCTATATAATACATTGGATGTATCTGGATATGTCTGATATCTGGCTGACAGCTACTCTACTGGATGACTTGTGTCTGTCAGATGGTATGTTTGATGTCATTGTATCGCTACGATATTTCAAATGTCGGATATCACAGGTATATACAATTGGCGGCGTCAGAAAATTCAATATATCATGTGATCTCTGGATTCGGTAATTTTGGTGATGTTTTGTCCCTTAATTTTTCGCAAATGAAAATCGGAACATTGCTTTTTTGACTTAATAGACTTTCTTACAAGCAAATTAAGTCAGGACCGCTCAAAAAGAGGAAAAAGTAGTATTAAGTACAATAAGCAGAATACATGTAAAAAGGGCCACCAAACAAAATTCATCGTACGCTAAGTGTAAAAAGGGCCACCCAACAAAATTCATTGTACGCTAAGGGTGATAACAATGGCCACCAAACAAAATTCATTGCCGCTCGTGATAAACATCATAGATGCGCAGGTTGGTGAGCGAGAAGGTGGGATATTTGCATGGGTGCGGCCCTGTTACGCTCGCCAAACTTGTTGGTCACTCACTGTTCACCGCAGAAAGGTTTTCCGGGTTGTGTTGCGAGAAGGGGATATCTGCGGCCCTGTTACGCTCGCCAAACTCGTTGGTTGGTTGCTGTTCGTCGAAGAAAGGTTTTCCGGGCTGTGTTGCGAGAAGGGGGTATCTGCGGCCCTGTTACGCTCGCCAAACTCATTGGTCGCTCGCTGTTCGTCGAAGAGAGGTTTTCCAGGTTGTGTTGCGAGAAGGGGGGTATCTATGACCCTGTTACATTGGTTGCTCGCTGTGATACTAATTAGACTGGGTGTACAAGTAGGAGATGGGACGAACTCACATGGGCAAGATGTCTAAGATGCGATCTCGAATGCATGGTGGTCTGCGAACTTGTTTACATAGAATGCTCGGAAAGCATCATATGAGTTGTAGTGCTTGAGGTTGCGTGAAATGTTCTGTGTTCCATAGACTGGGATGAGATGCGCGGCGCGGTAAATAGAATCGATATGAATAATCCCAACAGACTGAGAATTGTCCGAAGGGGTGACAATCCACATCCCAGTGTCCTCATCAGGTCGATCGCCGGCTTTGTCGAACCAGCGCACAACAGCGCATGGGTACAGATTTCCTTCAAATGTGAAGGAGAAAAAACACATTACGCGGGCTATATCCATGCCTCCCATCCCTTCAACGTCTGCATCTGTGTTAACAAACACACAGTCATACCGGGGTGCTTCATTTCTCCAAACAGGACAGGCACGGATATGCTCTCGTCGCATTCCTCCAATCCCACTGCGGTCGCTGGGTGCGTAGAACGTTGAACATGCGGAGTTGAAGACTTCGATTTTGTTGTCAGGTCGAGGACATGCTGTGAGTGGGACCTCGGAGGCAGAGCGCTGGTCATTTGGGTACAGTTTTTCGAATAGAAATCGATGGAGGATAGTAGAGAGATGGTGAATGGCGAGTTCTGCGGATAGCGCAGGTAGAGTGTGTGTGTTGGAAGAAGAGAAGGAGTGACACACGGTCCAGAAGAATGGACGCGTGCTACCAACCTCGGAGGATTAACCTCCGAGCTTCATCAGGAAAACCCTCCCCAGGGAAATTCGTCTAAACTATGATAATATCCTCTAAACTATGATAATTCTCAATAATCATTGAGAATTATCGAGAATTATCGGCTTTAGAAGGACTAGGAAGACTATTTTGTTTAGAAGGACTTTTTTACTGCCTTATTTTTCAAGGATAATTATCACAAATTACTTGATATTAGACTACAATATTGTGAATTTCAGAGAGTATATTTCAAACTTTGCATATTGAATCACACACATCAGACAGTGTTACAAGTAAAACGGACTAATATTTGATCAGAAGATATACATAACACTAGTAATTACTATACAGCTATATGTGCTACAAATGACTGCAAATACCCAATCCCTGGCTTGGATAAACGAAGCCCATATAAATTGTACCCCTTGCAACAAGAATGAGTGCAGACATTTGAGAACGAGCGCGGACAAGCACTTACAAGTGTAGATGAGCATCGGGCGCGGGGGTATACAGATGTCGAAAAACTAGAATGACTAAAAATGAGTGCGAACGAACGAAAACAAGTGCAGATAAAAGCACTTACAAGTGGACACATGGCATGTGTGGACAAGCACATGAAACACGAAAAAAACAAGCTGGAATGAGTGGGGGGTGAATAAAAATGAGTATAGACAAGCAGTATAACACTTACAAGTGACCAGGCTGGGGCAGGGCTAGTGGAAAGTAGGAGCCGATGCTAACACAAGCAACATACCGGCGTGAAGATCATGAACTAGCTGAGAGCAGGACACAGCCGCGGCACCATCTGCATCAGACCCGCAGGTAATACATATAAATATCAAGTTAGAAATATGAAAAAACGATTGTAAAAAAAGATAAACTCACCAAGACACTGCGAATGGTGGGCAATAACTTCAATCAGCGTGGCTTGAGCTCGAAGGAGAATCGACACACTGCAAACAGCAGACGACTTTGATCAGCACGGCTCGAGCTTGAAGGAGGGTTGACAGACTCACTCACTGCGAACGGCAGGGAACAACTTGGACCAGTGTGGCTCGAGCTCGAAAGAAGATCAACAAACTCACTCACTGCAAATGGCGGGCAACAACTTGGATCAACATGGCTCGAGCTTTAAGGAGGATTGACAAACTCACTCACTGCGACTCCCCATCCAGAGTCGAGTCTACATGCGCTGCGTGCGAGCAAGAACGAGAGTGTGATGAGCAAGAATGAGTGCCAGCAATAAACACTCACAAAGATCGTTTGATGGTGGTGAAGAGGCTCGAAGACAGCACTTGGGATGTTGAAGACTCGAATGTGATGTGGTGGTGGTGGAAGAGAGCGAGTGAAAGAATTTCGAACCACAAGTGAGTGTGAGAGTAAACAAGCACAAATATTCAACAAAGTTCTTTGTTTATTTGTTTACACGTGTTGTCCTTGTTGACATCGGATATCACTAAGTCCATCAAATTGTCCTACTCAGGTACCTAATACTACTCACTCGTTGGAATTCCTTATTCTCATATGAGTTATCATCCCACACTGTCACATCCCATGAGAGTGGACTGTTGATGAGTGATTGATATATGATAATTGTAATACTTTTTTTTGTTGAACTTGTATATAAATAGATACACTTTTTGTATTTTCAAATAATTCTCGATAATCACATCATCTTTTGGTGCTTTTTATCCTAATATCTGTAATTACACAGAATTATCTAAATTACATGTTTTATGAAAATTATGTGATTTTGCCCTGGGAGGGTTTTCCTGATGTTCTTTTCCTTTTCCATGTCGTTATCATACTTATCGTTCTTATCACCTTCCACACCACATTGTTTCCCTACCGGTATCGTTGTCACCGGTAGCTATCTTGCCTTCTTGCACTTCTCGTGCTTCTTGACTCTTGGTACTTAAACGCAGTCCCCATCGTACTTTCACCTCAGCGCTGTTCTTAACTGTCCGCTGAGGTATGTATTGACTAGCTACTCGTACTCACCCTTGCTAACTTGTACCCTAGACTCCGTTCTAGGTAGATATAATATTAGCGCTGTTCTTAACCGTCCGCTGAGACTCCGTTCTAGCCTTTAGGTTATGAGCCCTGAGTTGTAAAAAGCAACTCGACAGCTAGGCTAACAGGTCCTCTCTCAAGCGACGAGACACGCTCTCGTCGAACGAACATATCATTTCGATCCTCCCAATTTCCCTCTCCCTCACTATCGTTCCGTTCTCGCAATGGGAAAATTCGACTACATCATCGAACTCACCGGCTCGGACGATTACCCTAGCTGGCGTCACGCGGTCATGCTCGCGTTGCAAGGCGAAGGTCTTTGGCCTCACTGCAGCGCCGGGACCGACCCCAACAACCTTGCCGAACTCGCATCACGCATTCCTGTCCCAGCATCTGCGGGCGCACCCACAGCTTCGGAAAAGCAGGAGATTAAGGATTGGTTCAAAGAAGACGCCCAGGCAAAAGGGATCATATGCCGTAAGCTCTCACCCATCGTCCAAGGACTCATTGGAGAGCATCTCACTGCGCGAGAGCAATGGGACAATCTTGCCCAGCACTTTGGCAGACTCGACATCACTTCCCAGTTTGAGCTACGGGCGCAGCTCTTCAACGAAAAGTTGAAAGATGCCGACGACACCTCCCGCTATATTAGCGTCTTCGAGAACGCTCGTCGTCATTTTGCCGAGATGAACGTGGTCGTCACGGACGATGAAATCACCTTCCTTCTCCTCCAAGGACTCCCTCAGACTCCAGAATGGTTAGTTTTCAAACGTCTGACCATCGGGCAGTACAACAAGAGCTATGCACCGGCAGCTACGTCTTCGACAACTACTACGCCTGCGGCCCCCACGAAGATGACCTTCCAGGAGATCGTCGCCTCTCTCTCTGAAGAAGCGAATCGCATCCGTGGAGAGAAGAAGTTTTCAGTCCCAGGATCCGAGTATGCGAACGCTGTAACTCCATCTCCCGAGACTAAAGTCAACCCGAAGACCGGCGTCAGGATCCACAAGAACAACCCTAAGGGGGTGTCCTGTGAGAATCCCGTATGCTCTGGACTCCCTCGTTCCCTCACTCACGACAAGGAGCACTGCCTTCAACCGGGGGGTGGGATGGAGGGCAAGGCACCATGGTCACGCAACCGCGATGGGAAGAAGCCTCCTGCTGGTAAGAAAGAGTTAGCAGCAGCCGGCACTGAGAGTCCCCCTTCGTCGGCAGCAAGCAACACCACTCCCAGCACGACTGACCCCAGCGCTAGCCACAGGCGCGAGTTGTCCTTCGCCATGATCGAAGAGCTGACCCCCGAGTCCTTGCCCACAGCCGAGAACCTGGCGTGCATCACTCAACACATCTTCTCCAGCATCCTGGACTCGGGAACCACATCGACTCTGATCACTGACAGAAGCAATTTCTGGACTTACTCCACCGACTCAAGTGTCACTGTGACTACAGCCAACCACGGGAAGCTGCTCACCTCGGGCCGAGGCGACTGTGTCGCAGAGCTGACCATCAACGGCCAGGTTCTAAAGATCCGCCTCTCCAACTGCCTACATGCTCCCGGGGCACTAGTCAACCTCCTATCCGTCGGGCAAATGCTTCGCAAAGGTTGGGAATGCAATTTTAAACCCTTCCCATCACGCTGTCAACTCATCTATCGCGGGGAGACGCTGGGTGACATACCTATGTCTGGTAACCTCGTCTTTATCGACCTCAAGTTCGTACCCCCCAGCAGCGAGATCACAGCACCTACACGAGAACTCTCAGCATTTGCGCATGTCCCCCTATCCTGGGATGTTTGGCACGCGAGAATGGGCCACATCGGAGGTGACGCCGTAAAGCGCCTACCGGTATTTGCCAGCGGAGTCAAAGTCGATGCAACAGCACCTCTGCAGAAGTGTGAACCCTGCATTATGGCCAAACACCCGCGCAAGCCCTTCCCACCGTCGGACGAACCTCGTGCTGCTCACATGTTGGACTTGATCCACTCTGATCTCTGCGGACCATTCCCGACAACGACACCCCACGGAAAACTTCACTTCATCCTGTTTCTCGACGACCACACCAACCTGCTTAATGTCCAGCTGCTCGCCACTAAAGACCAAGCACTTGCAGCTTGGCAGATCGTCAGAAAGCGTTGGGAAAACCATTCAGGGCGCACAGTCAAAGTCTTTCGCTCAGATAATGGAGGAGAATTCCTCAGTGCTGCATTCACAGAAGCTCTTCAGGATGCTGGGATCGAGCATCAGCTCTCCGCACCGTATGCGCACCAACAGAATGGCAAGGCAGAAAGAGCCATCCGTACCATCGAGGGACGCATGTTTGCCATGCTTGAAACGGCACTCCTTCCTCCCACCTTCTGGGGTGAAGCGGCTCTCACTGCCTGCTACCTTTGGAATCGTAGTGAATCACGCGCTCTTCCCCCGGGGGCCACTCCGTACGAACTCGTTAACGGAAAGAAGCCAGAGCTCTCTCACCTCCGGATCTTCGGTGCAAAGTGCTTTGCACGCATCCCTTCCGAGTTGCAGAAGAAGTTAGGTCCTCACTCGCGCAGTGCCATATTCATGGGGTACCCTGATGGGACTAAAGGTTACCGTCTCCGGGACAAAGACACAGGTACATTCTTCATAGCACGTGACGTGATTTTCAACGAAAACCTTCCTTCTGTCGCCATCCACCACTCAGACTCCGAGGACGAGGACGACTCTGGTCACAACGTATCGCCACCTTCAGTAGCTTCAAACCCTCTCCATCCTCCACCCACCTCTCCGGCTCATCTCCGTCGCTCATCACGCGTTCGCGTACTCACAGGTGCCGGAGAAGCCTTCAAAGAGCAAATGGATGCGACCAAGGTGAGACTTGAGTCCCTCCGGGAGGCTCGTGCAGAGCGCACTCGCACTATGCTCCTCCCTCCTCTCACTAAGGGGGTGATGCAACCAGAGATCAACGCACCTGCTAACCTTGAGGACGTGGAACCCAACGAGGATGTACCCGAAGCCCTCGCCAACCTCATCGTCGAAGAATATTCTAACGTCGCCATACGCAGCGACAGGAAACGCAACCCTTCTGACCCCAACTACGACATGGGAATACCACCTGCCACCTACGACGAGGCCATCCTTCGTCCAGACCGAGAGCTTTGGCTAGCTGCCATGAAAGCTGAACTAGCTACAATGAAGGAGATGCAGGTCTACAAACTGGCTACGCTGCCGAAGGGGCGTAAGGCCATTGGTAACAGATGGGTCTTGGAATTCAAAGAGGATAATAAGGGGGGGCCCACTCACAAGGCTCGTTTGGTCGCTCAAGGCTTCTCTCAAATCCCAGGGGTCGATTACGGCGCTACATTTGCGCCCGTCGCCAAAACCGCTTCCATTCGACTCATTGCAGCTCTTGCCTGTCGCAACGACTGGGAACTCGACACGTTCGATGCCAGGCGTGCTTTCCTTTGGGGGGTGTTGAAAGAAGAGATATACATGCGTCAACCGAGGGGCTTCGAGGAAGGGGAGTTCAAAGAGATGGTCTGGAGGATGTTGAGGACGCTCTATGGGCTTAAGCAGTCTGCGATGGAATGGTATGAGCAGGTCCGTGCTGTCATGGAGGAGCTTGGGTTCACCCGGTGCGCTGTTGACCATGCCGTTTTCCTTTACGATCGCCCACACAAGGAGAGCACGTTATCCTCCCGCATCGTCTGTCTCATAGCATGGCACGTCGACGATGGCATGGGCACTTCTAATTCTCGGCCATTCTTACTCTGGGTAAAAGGAAAAATAGCGCACCGTTTTGGCATCAAGGACCTTGGACCAATCACACGATTCCTCGGCATGCAATTCAAACGTGACCGCTATACTCGCCAACTCTGGATTCATCAAAGCGAGTACATCACATATCTCCTCGAGGAACATGGTCTACTCGACTGTAACCCCGTCCAGCTTCCTCTCGACCCTAATCATCCATTCGGCAGACCCTCTGATGTCCATGCGCCGATTCCCAACCTTGCAACTGCCTATCGCAAGATCGTTGGTGAGCTGCTCTACCTTGCAATCTGCACCCGCCCAGACATTTCCTTCGCTGTTAACGCACTCGCCCAACGCAACTCAAATGCCACCCCAGCTCACTACGCCTCCGCACGTCATCTCCTTCGCTATCTCGGTGGGACGATCAACATGCGTCTTCATTATGGGGGTGATCGCGTCCAGGAGGGCTTACTAGCTTTCTGTGATGCAGATTGGGCGAACTCAGCCGCTGATCGTCTGTCAGTATCTGGCTATGCCTGGTTCTACTCTGGAGGGTTGATCTGCTTCGTCTCCAAGAAGCAGAACACGCGTGCGCTGTCATCAACGGAGGCAGAATACATGGCCATCACTCACGTCATCCAGGAAGGCTTATGGCTCAAGTCGCTCTTCTGTGAACTCCACATTCCCGTCCCTCTTCCTATCTCCATCTTCATGGATAATACCGGGGCTATCGCGCTGTCAAAGGACGCCAAATATCACACACGCTCGAAACACATTGACGTCCGTTACCATTTCATCCGGGAGCACATCGAAAGCGGGACCTTCCTTCCTACATGGATCCCTTCCCATCGGAACACGGCCGATATCTTGACTAAAGCCCTCCCTCGTCCTCTTTTCCTCAAGCACGCTCACGGGCTTCAGCTGGTGTGTAGGTGAGGGGGTGTGTTGGAAGAAGAGAAGGAGTGACACACGGTCCAGAAGAACGGACGCGTGCTACCAACCTCGGAGGATTAACCTCCGAGCTTCTTTTCCTTTTCCGTGTCGTTATCATACTTATCGTTCTTATCACCTTCCACACCACATTGTTTCCCTACCGGTATCGTTGTCACCGGTAGCTATCTTGCCTTCTTGCACTTCTCGTGCTTCTTGACTCTTGGTACTTAAACGCAGTCCCCATCGTACTTTCACCTCAGCGCTGTTCTTAACCGTCCGCTGAGGTATGTATTGACTAGCTACTCATACTCACCCTTGCTAACTTGTACCCTAGACTCCGTTCTAGGTAGATATAATATTAGCGCTGTTCTTAACTGTCCGCTGAGACTCCGTTCTAGCCTTTAGTGTGCACGTTTGCGTTCTGCGTCATATCAAAGATTGTATTAGAGATGTCTACAATAAATGAGCTAACTCACGACATGTCTTGGCCAACTGAACGTGAGCTTGCACCAGCGTTGGGCTGTCATCAATTTCGCCCTCTTCATTGTCACCCAGTATCGTAACACCTGCCTTGGAGAGTAGCACCGTGCTATCCTTGTTCGACTCATCATGCCGGTCAGTCTCAGACACTGTATTTAGGCGTAGATGTTCTATGTTAAACGTCAGTTGATGATAAATATGTATAGCGCTAGAAACTCACTCAATTTCTCAAGTGTTGCTGACAGGCAGGTACCGTTCAACATTCCACGGCTCTTGAAGTCAACCCGCGCCGCTGCAAGCTTATCAAGGCGCTGATTGGTCAACAACATTTGACTGAGGGCCTTGTAGCGACTTGAGCGTCTCCAAGGCTCTTTGACAGCTTTGATATGCTTGGTTTCCGTGATTGATGAGCAAAGGCCATTAGGCGCACCGAAAAGTCGGATAAGTAGGATATAGTGAGAACATGAGTGTTGTCGAGGGAGGGAGAATGTGGGGGTGACGCCCGTTGACTTAAATATTTCCCTGTACTGATGGAACCGGTCAAGAGCCTCTTGAATTTGAGCTAACGTAGATTCTGTAATAATGTTATGCCGAACGAGATAGCAAAATTCAAGAAATGCGCGAAACGAGCGCACCACGTCTGTTGGGACATGGCCTTGAATGGCAGGAAGGTAAACCTTCATGAGCGCCTTCGAATCATCGCCCGTCCATTGTTTGAATCCTCGGCCTTCCGGGAAACGTCGAAGGCCTGAAAATGACGCGACTGCAGCGATCCTTTGATAACATGAGCTTTGTTAAGCATATTGAATTGAGATAAAGTAATGTACCTTCGATCTATATCATCTTGAATTCTCTCTGCTTCTTTCTCACCGTGCACGAGTCTCAAATATTTACCGACCCATGTGACCAAGTGATCCTTGAACGTTCCTTTGATTAGTTGGTGCAGAAGGTCTGGCGCGATAAGTTCATGGATGTCGCCTCGAGGAAAATCGTTTGTAAAAGGCTAGAAAAGCCTGAATTTCAATTGCGAGAGAGAAAAGATGCGTGGGGCTTACCACAAGGTCACTGACAATCCCATACTCTAGCCATAGAGCGCCGTAGTCTATCTCTTCAACGAGTGCCTCTGTATGGTCGCGACACCGACACAATGACTCGGCATCTAAGTCGTTACGGTGAGACATACATCTGTTTAATAGTAGTAGTGAGGCAAAGGGATATTAGAAATAATTTGAGGGACATACCTAGGACACCAAAACCGCACTATACAGGCTAACAGAACCTGCTCTTCATAATCCGCGATATATGGTCCAAGACCATAGATTACACGCCGGTAGTGGCCATCGCCAAAGCGCACGACCTCTGGTTTTGTCATGCCGGGCTTTAGGTTCTCGAGGATCTTGGCAAGAGACGAATGAAAGAGTTGCCGGCGATATTTTCGAAACCGTGGGTCAGAGGCATGCTCCTGTGTAGCTGTTCAATTGAAATTAGCGCAGAACAATAATAATAGCGTGAAACTTACTTTTTGGCATGGCAAGGAAGCCAATAATGGCAACAGCATCACGATGTGCGCGTCGAACATTGTTTCGAACATTTCCGATAGATACATAGAGGGGATAATAGTCATTAGCACCAGTCGCCACTGAAACCGTTGTCTTGTCACTCCCAAGTATGACTGGCACAAACGTTGAGCCAAGTGTTTCGGGATCTTCAGAAATAATATCCTACCAAAGTGTCAGCATGCATACTAGCTACAGAAATAAAAAGAGAACATACCGCTTGGTTCCAAGCCCAGTCGCCGGACATGAAGTCCTGCCATTGGCGCTCGTCACTATCAGTTGAGTACTCGCGGTAGGGCCGGTAGTCCATTTCTGTTGCGTATTCTGGATTCGCCAACATGTTATGAACGACCTCATGGGGATCGCGGTACCAGACGTCATAAGGTTGATCCATCCAGGGTGGTATGTCGTGTGCCGGCTTCTCCCCAGTATACTGGACCTTGAAAGATTGCCATTTGATATCGCCTACCGGTGTACTGTCGATAGTTTTATACAGATCACGGCAGTCTGCAAATGGTGGCTTGTCATTGTGCTTGAGGAGAGTTGCGGCCCAAAGATCCAATAATATGTTGATGTTCCCGGCAGACATTTGGTTGCGCGTGTACAGGAATTCTGCGGTCTCGAATTCGACACGACTCCGGTACGGGGTCCAGTCATCGGGTGACTTGTCTGGAGGTGGTATTGGAGGCGCTCCATCTTCAAGAAACTGCCCAGTTGCATCACAAGGACGCGCTTATCAACACTTGCATTAGTTTTAATCGATCAAAAACATTAAGAAACATACCATTTAGTTTTGAGTGAAAGTTGTGGTATAATTTATCACGTGGCCCCCAAAATTCGATGTCGACGTTGTCTGGGTTGTCAGGCTCACCAAATGACTGACCCAGGTCAGGGGAACCTGCAGGAAGGTCATATTCACCTGGGGAGAAATCATTGTGGTCAGCGGTGAAATTATCGTCCGGTAGCTCTTCAGAATCGTCTCCAACTGTAGTGGTATGCGACACTGTGAATGTTCTGTGCGCAGAGTTCCAATGTTTTTTTCGGCCTGCCTGAGTCTTGAAGAAGCGCGCACATTTTAAGTAGCCACATGGAATTTGAAGGGCATTGTGATCCCTGCGAGACATGGTAAATGGTAGCGAGAAAGTACTTGATGATGTGGCCGTTGGAAACATGTAATAGTGATATTAAGTTTGAACTATAGACACTGCTGTAACAAATCTGGGTTAGTGAGAAAGCGGTGCAATAGTCGGCCTATATGTTGGGGTGAGACTTACGACTTTTTTTCAGTTCCAAACCACCGCTCTCGCTCCAGCACTAAGACTTCATCGTTGTCTCCCTCATCTCCTTTGTGATGTCTACTGCAGCCACAGAAACAACCCGTCGCACCCGTCCATCGAATGCCTCTACTCGACCTGGTAAGGTAGTGCTGGAGGCACAGGTCAAGAGGCGTTCCAAGGCACAAAAGGCTGCTGACGACCTCGCCCTCAAGGAAGCGAAGGAAGCGAAGGAAGCGAAGGAAGCGAAGGAAGCTCTATTCAAAAAGGGACTTGAGCGCCTCGCTCACATCGAGACTGAGATGGAAAAAAAACAGGGAGAAGTGCTCACCAAGAAGGCCACCCCCGTTCGGCCTAAACCAAGGGCCCGAAAGGTGATGAAGACGGCTGTAGTAGAACATGGTGATCATCAGGGTGACAGCATGTTAGATGACTTACCAGAGGCCAATGAGATAGACAACCACCAGAAGACCCCTACTAAGGATATGGACGATGGACCTGCTACCACAGGGAAAGGGAAGAAGAAGGTGGTAGGGAAGAAAGGTGGTGCAAAGATGTTGATCCGTGATGCCATCAGTAACGTGCAAAAGAAGCACAACGAGTCATCGTCGAATGTGGAAGGTGATAGCATCAATAATAAGGTACCACGTGCTGATGGGAAAGACACGCCGTTGATGTGAGATTCTTCTCTCACACAATCATGATGTTGCTCCTCACCGAATCAACTTTGTTTTTCCTTAATCTTACTTCCAGTATCAATGCGACCGCTCAGAAGCTCACATTAGGCGGCCGAGTGACCAACTGGGCTTTAGCAATCACTGAGTACGAAAAGCCGGAACCATCACCCCGTGCATCCAGCCTTTCGACTCGAGAGCCTCCCTCGACTATCTTTTCACACAACACTGCTTCCTCTATAGCAACTTCGGCCACTCAGCCCCCGACTCAGATTCTTGCGGCTCAAACCAAACACGTGACTGACGATGCTCTTACTGGTGCCTTCGGAGACGAAATTGATGATTCGTTGGAGTATGAGGCTACTTGCGAGGAGAAGCAAGACAAAGGCAAAACTAAGGTAAGTGGCAATGATTTATTGGTGCCAGCGTTTAATTCCTTGCTTAGCAGGTCGTCTCAATATTTGATGAAAACTCCGACTTTGATGAGCCTCAAGCACGCCAAGGACTTCTGCAATACGATGACTCAGAGCCTGAGTTATCGCAGGAGCCTAGGGCTCCGTTCACGCAGGCACCGAACCTGAAATCCTCCAAGCACAAAGCTAACGAAATTCTTGTCTCAGCCGAGGTGTCAGAGGCTGAGTCTATGGTGTCCGATTGGTCCATGGAAGTTGAAGGCGTCAACGACCCGATCATGTGTGCTGATGAATCATCTCAGCCTGAACCTATTGTGGTGACAAAGGAGAAGGTTTCACGTACAACAACCTCGGTAAGGATAATGACTATATCACTGCTCATTCTGACACTTGTACAGACGTCTGTCACCACTTCTGTTGCCGATAGTGAGCCGCCTGCTCAAAAAAAGGCCAAGATCGAGCCTTCTGCTGCATCAGTTCGCGGTGTATCTGCCAAGCTCAAACGCCAACAGAATGTGCCGGTGGACACTACGCCAGAGCACATGAAAGCACGTGGTGCCTATCGTACAGTTGACTTACCTGCAGCCATGCAGGCAGACCAGCGCTGGACGAAAAAATATCTCCCTACCATAATGCTGTGGGCTGGAAGTTATGAAGACATCTGGGTTATCCCAGACGATGTTCTTCTCCATCACGCTCAGCTCATTTTCAATGCAGTATACAAAGATCTTAATATTGTTCTCGTTCACAATGGTGTGGTACATTCGCTTGTAAGTCCCCTGTTATATCCAATTTTATTTATTAATACTATATCAATCATTAGACTGCACAGCGCATCTCAGAATGGCGCAGTAATTTTGGCTCAACAGCCATAGTCATTGTCATGGACTTTATGACATGTAATCCTGACTGCCCTCCTAGCGATATGGCAACGTCCCTTGTCCACGATTGGGCCTTCTTATATGAGAACCCTGGTAGTCCATCTCCTCTCACAGCTTACCGCTCTCCCTTCATCTTACAGCTGCTTGGCATGGCACACCTCAACGCCATCAAAGGGTATGTGGAGGTTCCCTCCTTCGACATGCATGAGCTTGTGACGAGCAGGATGTCACGGGTTCTCGCCCTCTCTGCTGTAGCGGTGAGTTCGATTTAAAATGGCTTATTCACACTAATTTTTTTTAAGATCGAGCGTGCCCTTGGGTTGATCAAAAATAAACAACTCAAGGTTCAGGATGTTTTGTCGTCCGCATCACGCAGTAAAGTGGCCATCAAACTACCGAAGGTTCTCAACAAAATGACGGGGAAAGAGACCAATGTTCCATTTTTATTTTCGGCGACTCTCTGGTCCAAACCAACCAAGGCGTTTATCAAGTCGATTTTGAGCAAGCCTGCTGGGTATGTGGAGGCCACCATAGAAATGGCACGCACTACAGCAAATGATGCCACTGATACGGCATCGAGCTTGCTCGATGATGAGGAGTCGGATGAGGACGAGCGAGCTATGATTTGTGAGCATGGACCGAATCATCTAGGCTTACTCTCACTGACAACCGGGCCCCTGCTGCAGGATATCGTTTTTGTGGCCGTAGCCATTCAATTTGCGCTGGAAACATTGTCATTAATCTTCCCCTGCTACTGCATACTAGTATGTCTCACCTCTGCCAGTCATGTTTTCCGCTATATCATGTTTTCTATTGCGCTCACTTTTTTGCTCGCGTCGTTACTTAATTTTACGCTTATCACGCTTTCTATGTATGCTCTTTTTTCCATTATTGAAGATTTGTGTCGCTTTTTTTAAGTGCAATAAGCGTGAAATAAGCGAAAATCCAGACGAAGAGTGGGCTTAATTAAGTGGCTCCCGCTTTTTCACTCAAATGACTTTCATGTCCCTTTTCACGTAATTAAGTGACAAATAAAGTGAGATAAGCAACCGGTAGTTTTCCTGATGTAAGTTATGATTTGCATCTGGATAACCACGCACCAGCTGCCTTTTCACTATGGAGACGAAAGCCAATGACTATGTGGTTATGTGACGAATGTATACATACCAGTGACTCGGAAAAACCATGGACTTATGGTTATAGATCTTGCATCTATCAGTAGTTGTGTCGTCCAGACTTGGCAGGAGGTATTCTGCTTACCTCACATTGTCACGCTTGATGGAGATGGACACAATAATTCGACGATAAACAATGAGCAGCTCATTCTATTTGATACCCTCCCAACTACCTGGAAGCTAATGGTTTCCAAATATGTCAAAGCCAGGTCAACATGCTCGTTTTGAGTGCAAATATGACTTTCTCACCTCTTCCGCTAGGTTCGTATGATCCTGAAATTGCAATCGTTCTCGATGGTCCTGGAGCACCGCCCAAAAAGAGCGACGGTTCGGATATGTACACCGTGCACGTCTTGAACGATCTAATACTGGTGCTCTCATTGACGAATCCTAGAGAAAACCTACTACTCAAAGCCCATCTCCTGCACGTGTCTGAGATGCCCATTCATGTATTCGTCTCTGCACATCTTGACGAAGCACACTTATCATGACACCGTGAGCGCAGTCTTTCCGCCAAGCTCGCTCAAAGAGATAACAACCTCCTTGGGAAGAAATTTCACCCGAGGGTCCGGAGTGCGGTGGAGATTGGGCATCTCTGGAGCAAGGTTTCGATAACGAAGTGGCATTACGCGAGAATAGCGATAGGCAGTGGGTTATGGGAGATTCATTCCCTTCATCATGACAAAGTCAGCCGTTTTTGCCAAGGGTATCTTGAAAGATGCGGGGGCCATGATAAGTACTTGGATGGATGGAGTAGTAAGCGGAGGTGCTGATTCATGTTCAGCAGAAATTTCACCTCGCTTAAAGACTGACAGCTTTCACGGGTCAATAGACCGGTAACTTGAGTTGCCATGACCGCACACCTTGCAGTTACAGATTCCAGGCAATGTAGATTCGCATACCAATTACAGCTGCCAAGAAGCCGGCATACTGACACACTAAACAAGCTTCCCAAGAAGTGACCGGTTGACCGGGGGCCCAAGCTGTCAAGGACGCCGCGATGCTGTGCACGTGTTGTCACACCTTATGCATAGGCCCCCCTCGCTAGTCAATTCACATATTAGTCAGTGTCAGATTCTGCAAGGAAGTTGGGAGTTCCACATGAAGTTATATAGCCGGAATTTTATATTACCGCAAGCATGAAAGGCGTTGGCACATTTTCAACGGCTGGGGAAGCATACACTTGCCGGTTGAAGACCCACACCAGCGCAGTGGCCTCCGAATCCTAGTCACTAGTAGTTACAAGTGCCAAATTCTTCGACAAAGCGGCGCCCCTGCCTGCTCTGACCATATCCCGCGGGACACATATACTCGTACATACCTCATATGTATCAGTACGGTCTTGGAATCGTGCTTCACATACCTTATTGCCAGAAGGCACAACGAATTGGGCTGCAAATGCGCTCAAGAAGGGCCTTGGTGTGGTACATATGAATGGTAAATTCAGAAAGCGGAGGGACTCCAGTGGGGATTGTGGGAGATGCATTTTCGTTTGCGGGTTTCGTGGTAATTTGTTGAATGTTTGGTGGGGCACTAGTTTCACTTTTGAATGAACAAGAATGCCGGAGATCCATGCCTTCGAGCTGACATGGGGGAGAAGGTAGACACGTCTTTTGATGGATGTGAATTTCGAGTGCAACATGGATTTAGGCTCCCGGCCATAGGTTATTATTTTCCCGGATTAGCTAAGCAGGTAGCCGGTACGGTGTGTCATATTTTATGTAACGTTGTCCCTCGGATTACCAAAGAAGTTAGAACATAGTGCTACGATTCACAGATGTTGTTACAAACGACGGTCCACGGTGCCGCTTGAACCTAGCACACACCCATCGATGATAAAGATGCGAATCCTGTCATGATAATAGCTTCAGAAGAATCAGATCCAAAAGCAGCACAGACTTATCTTATTCCACCGGTCATCAAGATTTTCGCTTGTACTTCAGTATGCCGAGCGACACCATCACGATGTCCGAGTCAGAGAGCGGTGGAGCGCATGTGTTAGCTCACATTTTGTAAACAAGGTCGACGATTTATCCAAGTAATAAGCTGATGTGCCTCTAGACGTAAATGACCTTAGGTCTGCTAGCTGTCGAGTGCATTCTGCGTTCCTTTGCGTGCTGCAAAAAATCCCTGCGAGCCGTAGTATGCTGAAGGAAGCTCGGATGTAGAACCAGAGTTCTTCAGTAAGAGACAGGAACCCTGCTTCAGTCTCCATTTCGTAGTCTGATCTCTTCACGACGGCGCCGACGCAACCAGATATGAGTAAGAAGTTATGACAGGTGCAGGTTGTGAGCGAGTAGAAGCACTTGACACTGAAGAGTAGCGAAGCCAAACAATCAAGATCCAGAATGACTGCGCTATATATTCAGCGTGTAGGAGAGCTCTGTACGAGTGTATATGACATGTCAGATGTATGTTGGTTCACCAAAGATGTGAATTGCTTCCGTTCCGGTAATACTACAGAAAGCTCTATTTGTACAAAACCTATCGACCTAAGTAAGAACTGTTTGAAGCTGTAAAACATAGTAAACTGAACCTCAAACACCCCCACCACTCTTCTCAACGGGTATCCTCCTCCTTTGGACACCCTTCTTGCTCACAGCAGGTGCGATCGAAACGTCTTTCAAATCTCCACAGATCTGCAAAATCAAGGTTTGTGAGCATGAGCACGAGATGGCATGAACTGACACAAGGAAGATGAAGTGGGGGATGGAATAAAAACGAACCTCGACAAATTCCTCAAAATCTACATCTCTTCCCTTCCCTTTTCCTTCAGGCAAATCAGGAAGCCCCACCTCCCTTAGGACGTAGCGGAAGTCCGACTCCCGCACACCCTCGTAAGCATACCCAAGCCCCGCTACAGACTGCACAGCTTCTCGTATCATCGATACAGGCATCCTCATCTGATCCTGCGCCCCCAAACCAAAACCAGGCTTAGAATCGGAGCCAGAACCAGAATCGCCACACACACGCGCATACCGCCCAAACACCTCCCTCAGCACCTCAATCTCCCCCAGCTGAAACAACGTGCGCGGATACGTCGCCGCACCCGTTGAAGACGGGCGTAAAAGCGCAGGACAGAATCCAAACAGTGCACACACACGCCGCTGTACCTCTCCTATGCGTAACCAGCTTTCTCCCGACGAAGCTGTACCCACTTCGATCCGTCCACCCGCACCCATCCCGCGCAGCACCTCCTCTGCCTTCTTCGTTTCTTCCCTCCTCTGTCTCGTATCCCACCCCAGGGTATCGCCCATGACCTGTACAACTTCTGATAGTGCACCGAGTGCTGCGCGTGCGTCGACAAAACCTAGGCGTGTGCGCCGTAGGAGCACATCGAGTGGTTTTTGTGCGTATTCATGCGTGAGCGCGTATGTGATTTCGGAGTGTGTGAAGGGATACGGGGCGGAGAGAGCGCGGTGTGGGTCCAAAGCGGCCGTCTGGGCCGTTGACGAGAGGAGCGTCCATGCTTGTGAACCGTATGATGAGGAGAGGTGTTGTGCGACTTCTGGGTGGAGGCCGTACTGCAGTGCATGTCAGTAAGAGTAGTAGTATTGGAAGGCAAAGGGCTGATACTCACGCGTTGAATCAGTCCGATGAACATGTTGCGATCCCACCCTTCGCTTCCAACAAGTCTTAGCTCCTGGGTCTGACACTTCCGAGCCTTTGCCCTCAGCCCGGGGCACACTTCAATCGCTTCATCGACTGCCTCTTCCGCCATCGCACGATAGGTAGTCCACTTCCCACCGGCGATGGTCACCATTCCACCCTCATCAACCTTGACTACATGACTTCTGACCAACCCCTCCGTACTGCCCACCGCGCCAGATGAAATAAGCGGACGCAGTCCCGACCACGCTGAAAGCACATCCCCGCGGCGCACCTTGATGTCCCCACTCAGATACCCACGCACCTCATCCATGACCCACTGGACTTCAGACTCCCGGGGAAGAATGTTATCACCGCTTAGATACGCGTCTTTTTCATCTTGGAGTTTGATATGCTCACGCATGTCGTAGGGCTCGTCAGTGGTGCCTGCTACGACGCCGCCTTCCCACGGAAGGAAGAAGACGACGCGGCCGTCGCTTGTTGCAGGATCTAGGAGACCCATGCCTTTAGGGGCGTAGTAAGAAGGAAGGGCGATGTGTACGCCTGAGCTTGCGCGCACGATGGGTTTGTGTGTGGGAGAGGAGAGGGAGAGGAGTGAGTCGCTGTATGGGCCTGTGGCGTTGATGATTATCTGTTGGGGTGTTAGTTATTATCTAGGGCGGAATGGCAGAACGCGCCTTGGCTTTAACGTCGAATTCGCCTCCGGCGATGTAGTCCTTGACGCGTGCGCCTGTGATGAGCCCTGTGGTAGGGTCTTTGTGGAGGGAGGTGACGCCGCAGTAGTTGGCAACGGTTGCACCTGCTTTAATAGCTGTGAGGATGAGGGCAACGTTCATGCGGGAGTCATTGTGTTGGCCTGAGGGCGGTGAGAATGAAAATGGGGTGGAACAGAAATGGGACGTACCGTCATAGTAGACCACAGCTCCCACAAGCCCGTCGCTCTTGAGCATGGGAAACTGTTCGAGGGCTTTGCCCTTGGACATGAGGTACGAGGATTCCATGTTTTCCTTGCCAGCAAGGAGGTCATAGAACTTGCACCCGGACCAGTAGTACGGGACCTGCCAGTACCTGATTATCCGTCAGTGAAGATGATCACTGGAGGCGTGAATAGATGGGGGAGTTGGATTTGGGTTGGAAACGAGAGATTGGAGATAATGACGCACTTATAAATGGGAAGCATAATAGGGAGCATATGACTCAAATAAGGGGCAGTCTGTAGGAAGACCCTCCTTTCGCGCAGAGCCTCGCGAACGAGCTTGTACTGCTCGTAGTCAAGTTCGAGTATGGCTTTCTGGAGGTAGCGCACGCCACCATGGACAAGCTTCGTTGACTTGGAAGACGTACCTTTCGATAAAGTATGTAGCGAGGTTGCATGAAAGGAAGTGAATAGACTTACCACTAGCGAAATCTTCTCTCTCGACCAAGGCGACTCGTAGACCGCGACTTGCAGCATCGACAGCGACACCGGCACCAGTTGCACCTCCTCCTACGACCAATATATCAAACTGGGCATCGTCGTCTTCGCCCGGCTTTGGACCAGTACTTTGCTTTAAAGCATCGATCATGGCTGCACGAGGAGGAGGAGACCATGATGGTGGTGGGCGTCGAGACTCGTGTGTTGTTTGTGGGTAGGCAGGACCGGAATTGAGGTAGAGGTATCCAGCGCCTGCTGCTGTTGCGGTAGATAGGGTAAGAAGGGTAAGCGTGCGCTGAGTTAAAGCGCGCAGCCGCGCAACCATCGATACTACTAGAAATACAGTTTGAAGATCTAATTAGACAATTGGTGACGATGACTCAACGACTTGGAGTCTACCACGATCATTGCCAATGTTCCCGCGCGGGTCAGTATTACTAGTACAACTGTTCTCGAAGCACAACTTCAACAAGCCGAGCACTTTCTTTTCCAATGGTCGTAGTACTATCCTCGACTGGTCATCGATGTTATCTTTGGTTTCTGCTCGTTGGTTTTTTTTGGGACCACTTCACATTTTTGGTTTCCCGAGTGCGGGCCGCATCGCGTGACTCATCGGCCCGCAGCTTCAAGCTGAATACTCTCGGCATTGACACGTTCAGTCACTGCTTAGCGCTTAACCACCCTGCGAAGGCTTGAAGAGCCAAAGGTTTCATGAACAAAGCTTACAGCTGGTACATCCTGATCGTTTCGGGTCATATGATTGAACATAGTCGGGATGCACAACTTGGCCCTGTCAAGCATTAACGAGAAGCATTCATTTATGGATCGCGTATTTGTTGCGACTTGCTCACGCACTGGGCGAGAAAAAATATGCGGTTTACGTTGAAGTAAAAATATTGTTGTCGTGCTATCATGTCGTAGATCACCGCGGTCTCATGAACAGAAACAGAACAAATGTTTTTAGATCATTCTACTTAGCTAGCAATGACCTGGTCTCATGAGTTGTGTGAAAAGGGGCAACGGATGGGTCAGACGTTCTTCCGTGTTTGTAGGTCTTGCCGCTGACGTCGGTCTAGTGTGTATGGAAGGAAGAAGCACCACTGATAGCTTCTTGTAAGGCACACGAAGACATGCCCGATGGGAAACAGAGAAAGGACGAGCAGCCTAAGGTTGCTCAGGAAATGCAAGGACCATCTAAATTGCGTCAAGGTAGTGATCACGGTGAGCAGGGTAGTGCTGCTGCTGCTGCTGCTGCTACTGCTGTCACTGCTAGTAGCAACAGCGAGGAGGGCGAACGGAAGGAGAGTGTGAGGATGCTAGCAATCATTTTGATGATAGAAGGCTGGTTGAGAACGATGCTCAGTGGGAGGGCCAGTGCAACACTGGTAAAATCCAATGCTGCGACAGCATGAGTTCCGAATCATACAAGACGTGCGACGAAAATCTGACCAAAGATTTGTAGTATGATTCATACGCCGCACCACCTGCTCTGGCATCAACGTTGTCGGCACTTCCCAAGGCTGTTATGCTCAACAGCAGCCACTTTGCTGCGAGGACAACTCATACGTAAGTACCGCATGTGCGAACTTAGGATGCAACTAACGTACCTTTCTAGAATGGTCTCGTCAACCTTGGCTGCACCCCATCGATGTCAGCGCTTGAGCAGCGGATTATCATGGCATAGGGTTATCGGCGCTCAGTGAAAAAATATGCTATAGCATACTTTTATTAACGTTGTTATACCCTTCTTCCTGCACATTCATCAGCAGAAATACCATTATATCCGCATTTTTTACCTACAGAACCTGTTGCTGTTTCCTTTTATTTGTGATTTGTCCCGGTTCTCCAATACATTTCATAGCAAAACTGGTCAAAGTTAGTTGCACCTTCAATGTCCATGATGTATCGTTCATCAAAAGCTTCCACACACTTTTAGTTGACTTTCGAAAGACATCGATCACCTTCGTGATTCAGCAGCTGGACAGACTCGGAGTGTCGGACCCAACTTGGTAAAATGAAATTCAACTCAACCACAACCACCGTGATCCGATTGGGTCAGCTCTGCCGCACTGGGGGAGACTAGAGCCGCTATAGCGTGACCGTCAGCCTGAGGACGAAGACATCAACCGCGAGGTGGTTATCAGAAATATGCACGCACTTCCGAGTCAGATGACTTTGCGATTGTGTATATGACGTCGAAATGCACGAGTGAGGGACCCATCGTTGACTTTGAGGAATATATGAATCATAGGCCAGTAGAGCTTTCATTTGTGGACGGTCCGGTATAATCAACGTTGAAAGCGTGGTTCAACGTTCGGGTCTCTTTGCCGAGCTAGGCTTGCTATATTGGAGTTATCGCCGGTTCTATTATGTTAGTTTTGTGTTGGTTAGCAGGCTGAAAGTCGACGACCTTCTCTAAATGGTTATGGTCAACTCAATGATCGACCACCTGCAAGCTTTCTGACGCAACCCTTCGACCACTCGTACCAAAACCACAGCCTGCGTGGAGTAATTAATACTCCGTCTATTCGGTTCCAAGCCACTCGCTCTGTGCATGCACCTGCTTGATGTCTGAACTTTCCTTCGCAGAATTCTCGCAATCATTTTCTCCACCAACCCTCGTGCCGACTTTGAATGCGCTCCTCGCCGGCCTATCTCTCCCGTTCGTGCTCAGTTCCCCGACGGATTTAGCACCTTCTTTACTCCTTGCAATCCTGGAGTCTGTACTCGAGTCCCGCCTCCCTATCCCATCTTCAATACGCGCCTCTCGCTCATCTCTTGCAAAAGTAGAAGCGATGAAAGTTTTTCTCGGCGTACTCGAGTGCGACGTCCTCCCAGCAGACGAGGACATCGGTCTCGCAGACCTTGATCCACGGAGACTAGCAGATGGATGTTGGGAAGAAACAGTTTTCGTCGGTGAGCTGCTTTGTTGGCTTGGGAGGAAACGAGGGATCGTCGAGGAATTGGCCGGTGATGATAGCGAGGGCGAGATAGATCTTACAACTTCGACGCTGTTGCGTCCAGAACCTTCTTACAACATGGAACTGTCGCATATCACAGACATCCCGCGACATCCACGCGTTACTTCTCCCTCCACGCGGTCCACTGCCACCATGAGCGCGCAGACCGATCTATCCATGCATAATGCCCCACATACGGAGTCTGACACGAGCATGGCAGATTCTGAACTCTCAGATCGTACAGAGACGCAGCCACTCCACGACAGTGGTATATACCACCAGCCACATTGTATTCACGAGCTCGACGACCCATCATATTTTCTCGAGCGCGATGCTTCCTATGCATCCAATATCGATGATTCGATGCAAGGCTTAGATCTCGATTGCTCTACCCAATCGACCTCCTCAGGAGAACAGCCCCCGACTCCTACACCTCAGCCCATCCGTCTGAAAGGCTGGATTGGTGTTGTCGATTCTGAACTTGAAATGAAAGCTTTCGCAGCAAACAAGTGTAATACAAGCACGCCTGTCAAGCCCAAGAGTCGGTGGCGGAGTTCTGGTCTTTATCCCGGAGCAAGTGGGAATTCTACCCCTCGCATGCCTATAATGTCGATGCGCATTCCTGCCAGTGCACCTCCGGCACGGACCCGGGTCGATGACTTCTCTATGGACGAGGACTTTGGGACATCCCCCTCCCTCTTTGGTGCGCTGTCGTCATCGACCCACATGCGGAGGACAGATTATTGTTCTCCCACAGAACGCACGGTTGCACTTCTAAACGAGCGAGCGAAACTCTTGAGTGAGCTCGCTAATCTGCGTAGGATCAGACAAGCCAGTCGATAACGGGCAAGGGGCAATGCCATGTTTGTCCAGTATGTGGAGCGTACTCTCGATTTGTTACGATTTCTGGTCAGTTTGATTTACTTATTCGAGCTGTCAGTTGTTTGTATAGCTCGCTCAATAATTCAAATTATTATTTAATTACTTTTTGTGCAAGATTGTTTACTCATGTTGAATTCCAAGGATTACGGCAGGCACAAATTCCTGAATGGGAAGTCAGCGGTCTTGACGTACCAGATAAGGACGGAGCCGGGAGCAAATGTTCTAGTAAGAATTCGGGCTACACGGCAATGATGTGACGAACGTAATAGTGATCAGCGCTCAGCGTAGACTGATCTTTCTAATTCATTGCAAGTATAGTAGAAGTGGAAGCTAAGTCGAGGCGGTAAAAGAATCGCCTTGATCAAGAAACCAAGCATAGGTGGGAAGGCTGGATGAGGCACGTTTCAAAAATCGAGGCAAGGCACCCAATTGTAATTACTAAACCCTTTATAGACGAAGGAAGATAGTCGTTCTAACTCGAGAGTCGAGACTAACTTGTACAGCCGCAATTCGCCCGCGATGATCGTGCGCACTGCGCACATTGCCAATCGGTTTTTTTACTCCGCATGTGTCCAGACTCCAATTAATGAGACCGTACTGGCGCAATGTGCCTCTGCGATTGCTCCCTCCAGCTGAAAGCCTAATGCATCGCTGGAGGTTCCCAGCCCTGCTGTCAGTGTCAGTGTCAGTATCCTGAATGTTAAAATCGAGACAAGCCCTAGATTATCAGTTGCGAACGGAGATAGTCCGTACGGGGACAGACGGGGACCTGTGGAAGTACAAGATCGATCAACCCCGAGGAGCCCGGCCTGGACATCAGAGTCTCAGATATCGAATGATCAAAAGGGGTGCGGACCTGAAGATGCGGGGTGCCAATAACAAATATCCTGTGACAGCTTCCGGTGCTGGTAAATGAAGCGTCTGCATACATGTGCGAACTTGGCGGGAGTTCGCCGTTGGTGGCGAGGGACTTCTGAGCTTGCAACAATCCATGTGCAGGCACATATGTACCACGCAGTCCGAGGATAGCCGGGTGCTATTCAAAGCATATCTGCAAATTCGACTACCAAAATACGCACCATCATAGTCGTCCATTCCACCACGACATGGTTCATATCATGACATTGGTCCAGTCACGATAGCTATCATACAGGAAAGACAACATTCTTCCAGTCATCGGAGACAGCAGGTGCTTGCACTACTTCTAGCCATGTCCCTCCATTAATATTGCTCTCAAGTTAGCCTGGTCAAAGCTTCGGTCACATTGGGTCGACGTCATCTGAATTCAACGGCCTTTGTCGCAACTGTTTCGTCACCGAGCTTCCTGTCATTCCCACCGTAGTACTGGTATCTGAAAGCGCAGACTCCGCCATAAGAGGACTGGTGAACGGATGAGAAAGTTATTTAAAGTAGAGCATTGCAACAATCTTCGTATGTCTGCTGACCGTTCATGGGGAATATTCGGTCTTATCGAAGAAAGAGCACACTAGCCTAATTATGGCGTTATGAGCTAGATCCTTTTAAATTCGAGTTTCGAAAGGCCGCTGGGCAGTCACATGAACTTTAATACTGAGAGGGAGGTTGCAATGTACTAAAGTGAAACGACGCCCCCCTAGTGATGCGGACGTACAGTATGCTAAAACACGGATGCTGGAGCGCTCAACAGACACCACTCACTTTTAGACTACACGGGTGCAATATCATTATATCGTGGCCATCAGAATGCAACGTTCATGTATATCTAAATAAAAATTAGAGCTGATTGCAAAATTATGAACAGCGTCTCGGAAATGTCCTAGGTAGGACCCCATAAGCACATGAGACCAGGATACTGCTTACTTTCCTCACCTTCTGAATCCCCAACCCAGAAATACCTCAGTGGGAGGTGTAAATCTCGATGTATACTCGACAGAAAGCAACACCAGAGCCAAAGTCGAGGTCACTGAGAAGAAACGATATACTTTGACTGGTCCTGAGCTGTAAATGAAGCAAACCTTGATCCACATCAGTTTCCGAATCGAGGAATCAATAATGTCCTTTCATTTTTCGTAGTTTCAACATCGAATATCAACATTAATATTTCCGGGTCCGAATGGTTCATGAAGATGATACGTCATTCTTTATCTCGCTCGAGAGCGCAAGTAGAGATACCCTTGATTGTAGCTATAATGTAACTTGTCAGTATGCAGGGTGCAAAGAAGTGTATGTAGAGATACGCACCATGGCCGCCGTGCTCGTAATTCCCGCTGTAGCTCATATCTTGACATCGAGTAAATGGCAGATACTTGCGACAGAATGTGCGCATCGATGCAAGACTAGTATGCGAACTTTTAAATCTAGGGAGACTCGATGTGGGTGGCCGCCGTGGTGGTACAGTGAAGTGCTCCGGGTATGTGAAGTTTAATGGGGTCCCAATTCGGACCGCAAGTTCAACTTTTGAGTTTGCGCATAATTTTGCAATCAGCTGCAGAGAAATAAACAAGTGTGCAATGACTTAGTGACCGTGCGCGTGATACTTTATCGGTAACTCATTGCCAATATAGGAGAGGTATATATTTCCCACGACTCCGGACTCACTGCTCACTGTGGAGTAGTAATTCTATATCGAAAAGACACACGCTGTCATTTAGACCCGTATGTCGAGGTTAAGAGTTTATTGAGATTAAAATATCGACCTCACAGCCCAGATAGTAACTATAGAAAATTTAGTTGTAATCTTCACTCACGCTGTCCGTTAAAATGCCAAAACAACAAATCTCTCTTTATGGACCCACGCTGTCATCTCATCTCATCTAATCTCATCTCATACAAACTTGCACACCGAGCCTCTATCAAGTTATTTTCCAGCTCGTCCAAGTCCCTCTTCGATAGGTTATTGTATTGTATTTCTTTTATAATATTGAATAAAATGAAGGTGGTGAGGTACGAGCAAGCGATGACCTTCTTCAGGAACCAGATGGAAGGTATGTCTCATGACAGAAACTGTCGATCCTTATCAAATTCTTATTAAGTTGCGTCTATAATCGCACCCTTAGTCACCGGAAAATTCCCTCGGTCACTTGATCGTCATTCAGAACCATCCGAAGCCTGTCCAACTTCCTCAGCCCATTCTTCCAATCGTTAACACGGACAAGTCCCTGGTCACACTTCAAACATCCTTGTCACAAACTTCATCTGGGAGCGCTGTATAGCCTACTCACGTCATGTCGATCAAGGTCAAACAGATGCTCTGCAGCTGGTGATAGTAAATACGCCACATAGCACCTGCTAGATTCAAACAAGACAACAACTCTAGTAGCACGGCGTTTCAGAGTTACTAATTATGTAACGCATCTTCGGAATAGGACATTCTGTCAAGGAATGGGAGAGACCGCGGAGGTCGTCACAGGTTGGTCCCCTTCCTCTTCGTCCAATGTGAATATAGCAGCTGTTTCTTCTCAATCCACTCACTCGGATGTCCTTTCCCAAGCCTTTCATACTCAAACTTTGCACCATTTGACCTATCCACTCTATTTTAAACTTTAGGTCCTGCGACTACCCCGGCAACTCAGCCTGTACCTAGCACTGTACCCTCTACTATTTAACAGCCAGACAAGTGCGTTTCATCCCTACAACTCGTCGATCTCCCTTGTTCTACTTTGCAAAGGTGAATAGCCTCATTCAACCCATCCACCTATTTTATTGACCCGCTTCTTACAAAGGTATACCACATCCCTCCAACCCCTTTTTACAATGTCAATCCAAACTTCCCCAACTGTGGTCGTACCTTTGTTTCCTGGTCAAGGGTCTTCACCTGCTGCCCTAGCTTTGGCTCTTCAGCAGGCACTCCGTGACATTCGCTCACCATCTGGCCAATTACTTTTGGCTTCATGTCACGAGGCCTTCCATGCAGAGGTGTTGAAGCTAACAGCTGACGAGCTTAACGAAACCCGCATTTCCCTGGAAGATTTCCAGGAAGCCACCTCGCTTCTATCATCTTCGAGTCTTTACCAGAACAATTCCGTCATTTCCAGCACCTCCCTCTTTCTCTTCCAAGCTCTGAGATATCTTGCTCACTTCTCGGGCTCACCAACGGAACCTAATGGCCGCAGTACTTTTGCAGGTAACGCCGATCACAGTCTTGGGGTGACTGGCTTCTCGTCTGGTATCATCACTGCATGCGTGGTAGGAGCCTCCAACAGTATCCTTACCTTCATGTCGCATGCAGTAGAGGCGTTCCGCCTAGCATTTTGGATCGGTGTCCGGTCTATGCAGTACAGAAACAAAGAGCTTCAATCTGCTGTAGGCTTCCCTGACACAGGACTCCCTTGGACCATCGTTTGTGTCGGCTTGAGTAAAGCCGATGTCTTGGGCTTCATTTCTGATTTCGAAGCCAAGGTGAGAGACTGTTGCATATCGGTGATATTAAAAAAAGCTGAACGAGGACCATCAGAACGATTGCAATTCTTCCCTCCACCTGACGGCTATTTTAGATACACAACACGTCACCGTTTCGGGTCGCCCTGATATCCTACAACGTTTCTCGTCCTCAATCTCAATTTCCAAATCTTGCACCATTCATCCAACAACTGTAGATGCTTTATACCATGCGCACGTCCTCCACAATGTCCACGCCCAAGTCTTGGCTGATGTCGGGAAACATTCCATTCACTTTCCTGATTTCTCCGACCTTAAATATCCTGTATTTTCGACCGTATCTGGGCAGCCTGTGTTACCCAGTTCTGAGCACTCCTCTCTTGTGGACGCAGTCCTTGACATGATAATCGTGTCTCCTTCAGACTGGCTGTCTGTGGTACAGGGGCTCAGTAGTGCGGTACCGGCTGATGTTCCCCCACAAGTATTAAATTTCGGCCCTAGCTCTGGTCTTCTCCGAATGCTGGAGAAATCACTCTCAACCAAGAAAGCTACTTTCACGGACGCGGCCGTTTCTGATTCCAGCAGCACTGGTGGTCCGACGGGGAACTTCAAACAAGAGCCGATAGCAATTGTTGGAATGGCACTTCGCTTGCCTGGTGGTGCAAGAAATGCGAACGAGCTTTGGGAACTTCTCGAGCGAGGAATTAATACCATTTCTGAGGCATGTTGTTTTTGTGTCTCACGGTATTTCACACATTAAACTTTTCCTGTTGCAGATTCCAGCAGACCGTTTCGAATTAGAGCGCTACACGTCTGCTAGCGCTAAAAGCGGCCGGGGGATGAAGGCTCATACTGCAAATTTCATAGATTGTCCTGACGAGTTCGACTACAAGTTCTTCAAGGTATCGCCCAGAGAAGCCAAGAGCATGGATCCACAGCAAAGACTTCTTTTGCACACCGCTCACGATGCCCTTGAGAGTGCTGGTTATGTTGCGGATGCTACCCCGTCTTTCCAGCGTGACCACTTTGGTTGTTTCATCGGTACTGCTACCCATGATTATGCAGACAATTTACGGGAGGATATTGACGTGCATTACAGCACAGGCATGCAACCTTTTTTCTTCTCTATGTATTACTTATTCTGACAAATATTCAAGGAACCCTCAAGGCTTTCCTTAGTGGCCGCATATCATACGCAATGCAGCTTGGCGGCCCTTCCATGACGCTTGATACGGCTTGTTCATCATCAATCGTCGCAATCCATCAAGCCTGTCGTTCACTTGTGAATGGGGACTGCAGTGCTGCAATTGCAGGTGGAGTCAACGTTATGTCGAGTCCAGATGTAAGCTAGACTTTTGGGTTCTGCATATCAATCCCTCAACGGATTCTCCCCTGCCAGATGTTTATTGGCTTAGATCATGGGCATTTCCTCAGCCCGACCGGGCAGTGCAAATCTTTTGATGCATCAGCTGACGGCTACTCTCGATCGGAGGGATGCTCTCTCTTCGTTCTCAAGCGTCTTTCAGACGCAGTTGCAGAGAACGACGACATTCTCGGTGTCATCCGCGCCATTGATCTCAATCAGAGTGGGCAGGCACATTCAATCACCCACCCGCACGTACCTTCCCAGGTTTCTCTGATGAACAGGCTCCTGAAGAACTCCGGCATCGATGCGTCGCGCATCAGTGTCGTAGAAGCACACGGAACTGGTACCCAGGCTGGAGATTTTGCCGAACTCCAGAGTATCCGTGCTGTTCTTTGCCGTGCTCGCGATAGCGCAAATCCCCTTCATGTCACTTCGATCAAAGCTAACATCGGTCACTTGGAAGCTGCTTCTGGCGCTGCTGGACTTGCCAAACTTTTGCTCATGTTCCAACACGAGACCATCCCCGCTCAAATCTCCCTCAAAATATTGAACCCACGTATCACGCCGCTAACCCAGGATCATACAGTCATCGACACGGTTCCAACACCATGGGTGCGCGGATCGTCGCCCCGCATGGCGCTGCTCAACAACTTCGGAGCATCAGGTTCAAACGGAGCACTCATAGTGGAAGAATATCAAAAGCAAGCAAAAGCTCCAGCGAGTGGTGCATCTTACGTCTTTGGTATCTCTGCCAAGACTCGCGAGGTTCTCGAAACTCTCCGCCTTCGCTACTTTGACTGGCTTCACGACGCCAGAAATCGCTGGATTCCCATCAGCGATATCGCATATACTGCCACCGCAAGAAGACAGCTGTACCCTTTCAGAATTTCAATTGATGTGGGAGGCAAGGACCAACTCGTCCAGGCTCTTGCGAGCGCTGAGGTGTCTCATGTTGAGGGAGAGTTCGGTCAAGTCGTCTTTGTGTTCTCTGGACAAGGCAGCTATTATCGTGGCATGGGGAAGCTCCTCTATTCGAGCTCTCCGGTCTTCCAGCGCTGCATTGACAGATGCCACCGGTACCTCGTGTCCAAAGGCTTTGCGGGTATCCTTCCAAGCATCATCGGAGGGGCCGCGGATAGTGGGTCAGATGAAATGGAAGAGTTCGAAGCGTCTCAAACTTCTACGATGGCGCTAGAAGTCGCGTTGGCGACTGTGTGGATACATTGGGGTTTGACGCCTGCCACAGTTGTTGGGCACAGGTGAGAATTTATCCCAATACATAACTGGTCGATATCTAATATTATCTTACTAGTCTCGGTGAATACGCTGCTCTGGTCATTGCCGAGGTCCTCTCGCTCGAGGCAGCCTTGTTTTTGGTCGCATCACGCGCTCGCCTCACATGGCGCGGTTGTGTGCCAGGTGCAACAGGCATGTTGGCTGTCAGGCTCGGGGAGCAGCAGATCAATACCGTTCTGAAATCTGGTTCATACCCGGATCTCTCTGTCGCTTGCGTCAACAGTGATCGTGCTTGTGTCGTTTCCGGCGCACTGGCTCAGCTGCAAGCTCTGACAAAGGAGTTGGCGAATACAGGATCCAAGGCCCGTCTTCTGGACGTTCCTTATGGATATCACAGCAAAGCAATGGACCCAGTTCTGGATGAGCTTACCCAGCTGGCACGTACCGTACCCTTGTCTTCGCCAAAGGTGTCCGTCGGTTCTACCGTTCTTGGCCGACTCGTTCCCGCAGGAGACGCTTCCACCTTCGACGCAACCTATTTCTCTTCGCATTTCCGCCAGCCTGTCCTTTTCGCCCCAACTGTTGATGTCCTGTGCAAGCACCCCTCGCTTCCACAGGTAGGTGCCTGGATCGAGATGGGACCCCAAGCGTCATGCTTGTTGATGATACGCGCTTGTGCATCTGCTCCCACCGAAGCGGCGCTATTGCCTTCGTTGAGCAAGAACGACAACGCTACTCTCACATCCAGCCTCTCCCAGCTCTACAGAACAAGTGCTCCTTTGAACTGGCGGAATGTCTTCTCGGAGTTGTCCCCAGCGAAGTGCGCTGATCTGCCGCCATACCCGCTTGAGAGGAACAAGATTTGGGTACCATACAAAGAACCTTCCTACGAACCTACTGCACCAGCTAAAACCGTGGCACCAGCACGAAGCGCAGCACCGCAAAAGACCATAGCACCTGCACCTGCACCAGTACGAAGCGCAGCACTAGCACGAAGCACAGCACCAGCACGAAGCGCGCCTCCACAACCGACCATCCCGAAAGCCGATATGATATCTGAATACACCATGCTTGGGTGGTGGGTGCAGTACCCATCGCGCGAGAACGGCAACTCGGCCAGTTTCGACACTCCCATCGAAGTTCTAGGTCCGTTCATCGAAGGACACAAGGTTGCAGGGCACTTCCTATGCCCGGCATCAATCTACCTTGAACAAGTCATTTCGGGTGCAGATCTTTCACGCCGCCATCGCAACTTCGATTTCGGGAAGAGCTTCGCTGTCCTCAAGAACGTCACTTTCGCGAAACCGCTTGTTTACCATCCCCAAGTCAATCGCGTTGTTCGTACGCATGTGACCATTCAAGAGGATGGTACTGGTTCCTTCACTGTTACATCTAGACTGCAGTCTTCTTCGGATGAATCGGCTCATGTCCGCGGAGAGATACGCTTCCAATCCACCAAGGAGATTGGTGCCAATCTCGACAATGAATTCAGCCTCATGCCCAAACTCAGTGTTTCGGAGGTTGGTTCACGGAAGGAAGGTCAAGCAGAGGTCTACAACACCCGAATTCTATACGAAGTCGTCTTCCCCCGTGTTGTCGAATACTCCGCGAAGTACCACACCATCCAGTCTCTGACAGCCAGCGCGAATGGAATGGATGGTGTAGCGCAGGTCAAGCTTCCAGATGCCCCACGACACTCCTTTGCCGCTCATCCCGTCTTTGCCGATACCCTCCTCCACTCCGTTGGATTCCTAGCGAATACGCAAGGCGCTGTTGGTGATGCTTATATCTGCAGCGACGTCGGATCATTCCAGATGCTCTCCGAGTTCATTGATCATCAGCAAACATACACTTTCCATTGTCGCGGGTCGTGGACGTCCTTTGAGAACGTCTTTGTCGCTGAGGCTTTTGCTGTCCAAGACCAAGAGCCTCGCCGTGTTGTTGCGCTTATGAGGGGTATTCAATTCAAGCGTGTGCGCATGAAGGGTCTTGCTCTAGCTTTGAAGATGGCAGCAGACGCTGTCCCTGCGCAGTCACGCAATCGGACCGACTCGACCAGCGATGTGCAGACAAATGACTCCAGCAGGCCATCTTCGCCGGAAACTCTAGTGTCTGAGGATGACGTTAGCGTCCGCATTAAAGATATCATTGCGCAGGTACTCGGCCTTCCTACTGGCGATATACAAGATCATTCCGACTTCAAATCGCTCGGCCTTGACTCCCTCAGTTCATTAGAAGCTCTACACGCACTCAAGACCGAGCTTAACGCTGACCTTCCTCATGACGCATTCGAGTCTCATTCCACGATTGCATCCTTGACCGCTCTCCTCGATAAATCACCCTCCCCCAAGAAGTCGTCGGTAAAATCCCAGGCATCGCCAGCTAGATCCGTTGCATCGACAGTAACAGTGTCCGGTGATGACAGACGCGCCCGCATCAGAGATGTCATCGCGGGGGTACTTGGCCTTCCGGTTTCCGATATAGAAGATGATTCTGACTTCAAATCCCTCGGCCTCGACTCCCTCAGTTCATTAGAGGCTCTGCACGCTCTCAAAACCGAGGCCAATATCGACCTTCCTCATGATGCATTCGAATCTTTTTCCTCAATCGCATCCTTGAGCTCCTTTCTCGACAAATCTAGCCCCTCTGAGAAATCCGTAGAAAGATCCTCACAGAAGTCTGTGGAAAGATCCCAACCGCCAGCAGCTGAGACGACCGAAACAGTGTCTGGTGGTGACAGAAGCATCCGCATGAGAGGTATTATCGCGGAGGTGCTTGGCCTTCCGGTCTCTGATGTAGAAGATGACTCCGACTTCAAATCACTCGGCCTTGACTCCCTCAGTTCATTAGAGGCTCTGCATGCGCTCAAAACCGACCTCAATATCGACCTCCCACACGATGCATTCGAATCTCACTCCTCAATCGCATCCTTGAATGCTTTTCTCGATAAATCCTCCTCTCCCAAGAAGTCCTCGGGAAGATCGTCGGCGAGAACATTGCAACCCGCATCGTTTGATGCTCGCATGTCACGACTCCAATCCGGCAAGGACGAAAGCGCTGCCCCGCTGCTTCTGATTCACGATGGCAGCGGCTTGATCAATCACTATAGCCGTTTGACGCCGATGAATCGGGATGTCTATGGTCTCTCCAATCCCAGTCTTATTACCGGTGGAAAATGGGAGAGTGTTGAGCAGATAGCAGAATCCTACACCAACGCTGTTCTGGCTGAGAAAACAAAGCAGATCATCATTGGCGGTAAGCAGACATTATTATTTTTCACCAGGACATCACTAACGGCGCAATACAGGATGGTCATTTGGTGGCGTTGTGGCTTTCGAATCCGCTAAGAGGCTCATTCGGAATGGCGTACGCGTCCGCGGCATCGTTCTCATCGACGTTCCTTGTCCTGGCAAACACGTGCCCCTTTCATCATCTGTGATAGACCACGTCACGAATTCGCACTCCCAAGGAATTGACTCAGCAACCATAAGTCTCATCGGGGAACAATTCAAAGAAAGCACGCGACTCCTTTCTGTCTACAAACCATCTCTTGAAAAGCTTGACATTCCGGTAGCCTTCCTTCGCTCGTCTGAGGGGTATGCTCCTGCGGGTTTGGACGTTCCTCACTGGTTGCAATACCGTGGAAGCGAAACTGCCGTCGTTGGCGAATGGGAAGCCCTCACACAGTCCTCTGTAAAGACTTGGGCGATTCCCGGTGACCATTTCGCACCTTTCACTCCCGAAAACGTAAGCATCTGATACCATCACGAAGCACAATCCATTAACACTTGATTTTATAGATCGAACAAACATCCCAGCAGCTCAAGGATGCGTGTCAGTTTGTGGAAAGGCTATAGAGGATACCCTGCATTTTTTATTTCACTTGCTCCATACCACGTTAGATTTTGTTTGTGCATTGATCTTTTGAATCCACTCGCACTGCTTGCTCCATACCATTGTTTATGCATAGATATCTCTTCTTTTTCCGGGTCCTGCTTGCATCTCATAAATTCCTTTATTATTACGCATCTCTGTATTTATATATGCGACTACGATTTCGGTCTTCCGTCTGTCAATGCAATTAAGTTTCGATGTATACATTTAGGCCACAGATTGAAAGGCAATGGAATAAATGACTTTGTTTAATAATTCTTTTTCACGCCTGCTCATCTGTGTGGACAAATGAGACTTCCACTGTCACTCCAAAATCAGACGTTGCAAACGCAGACTTCATCAGGGGAGGGATCTAAGAATAACCTCGTCTAATATGACATGTTCTCTATAGATCGAGTAAAATGATATACAGAAAAGGTTCTGATAAACTTCAGCGTCAGATACAGGAGGGAGAACCCCTTGATAAAAACGGGGCAAGAATAACCCAGTTATCCATGAATTGCCAGTGCTACAGAAATGGAAGTGAAAACATATTATATAAAACAAGATGAGATGTACAAGTAATCCGGAGAAGATATTTAGTGCCAACGGACCTCGAAAATGTTACAATGGTATGTTCTCCTTGCTTGACAAGACATTCTTGTCTGGATTCTCCGACCTCATCACTGCGGACTTATGCCTCACAGACTCCATCTCGAAACTTACATCGTCCATGATACACCAATCCTCCTCGGGCATTTGATCCAAAAGACTTGGCTGCGCCTTCAAACTGCTAAAATCAACGCGGGCGGGAGAGCATTCTGCATCTTCGATGATTGCAGGCGCCACGTTTGCGGCTCGGCTCTGTTGACGTTCAGCGAATGCTGCTGATGCACCTCCCGGTGTTGGTTTTGCAGGCTTGAGTTTTGAAGGCAGTGCGCTGCTACAGCCAAGGCCCAGCGAATCGAATTTGCTGACGAAAGATGCAAGAGCACGACGTTCCTCCTCAAGTTTTATCCTTAGCTGTACTCGATTCTTAGCACCATAAAAGAAAACATGTCAACATGCATAAGCTGACCTTCTTTTCTTTATCCAGCTGCCTGACAAGTTCGGCTGCCCAAGCCTCCTTTTCTTCTCGCTTTTTTACCTCTTCTTCAAGCTTACCAACCCACTCCTTCTCAACGTCCTCTCTGACGGCTCTCAGAGGCTCCCCAAGATTGTCCTCATACCCACACACTACGATTTCAAGCTCACGAATCGTCTTCGCTTGCTCAGCAATGAGCTTGTCTTTCTCGGTTTCTGAAGCATCCGGTGGAAGTTCTGGGCGAGAAAGGAGAGCAGCTTCTAGGGAAAGAATTTGACTCGACTGTGACTCGAGTTCAAGGCGAGTTGCGAGAAGCTCTTGTTGCAGCTGTCATGAATCGCCAAAGTTCAATTAAATAGGATGGTCTAACATTATCGAGCGTACAAACCTGGTATGGTGACATATCGAAATCAACTTTGGATGGGCTGGCGGGACGTGATTCGTCTCCTTTACTTTCATCAACCGTTTGAGATGTCAAAATGAGCTTCGTAAGCTGCTGGATTCTAGAATTAAGATCCTTCATCGCTTTTGATTCATCGATTTGCTGTGACAAAAATCAGTCTGAGAATTATGTAGCGGGAGGCCGATATTACCTCGCGTGCTGAGAGCCTGCGAGTTCGAGCAGGCGCGTCTGCTTCTCGTTCTGAAAGTTTATTCTTGAGCTCCTCAATCTCTTTCCTGTATCGTTCTATCAAAGCATCAGTATCGACAATCTCTTTCTTCTTCGCATTAAGCTAGGAGTACAGGAAATCAACATCCTGGGAGCAATACACAGGAAGGACACGACGAACCTGCACTCGTTTAATCCTCTGAGCAAATAAAAGCGTACTCGTGCTTTCTGCCACGGCAGTCGCATCGGGATTGATGGTGCATATGACAGAGATTCGAGCATCTCCTGATAGTGAAGGCTGAAGCAGCCGTGTTAACTTGGAGTTACGATAAGGTACGTGGTCACTGAGAAAGACAGTTTAATTATTCCAAGTATAGCAGAGGATGACGCCTCTGACTTTTTATTCTTCGCAGCGTTCTCTGCAAGAGTGCCAATGACGCTCCCAAGTGTCAACAAGCTGGTGTTAATGTACTTCCCCTCCCTGGTTCTCTCTTTGTCCGAAGTAGCTTTTTCGGAACCAGCAAGATCAATCAGGCTCTGGATGATGATTTCCAAATATTCAACGACCCCACTGAGACCGTAAAGAGAAATGAAACCCACCAGCACCGAAGTCTGCACGCTTCTTCCTCCGATGGTCTGTAATCGAGGACCGCCAGGTGTCGGTGGGCGCGTGCCGGGAGTTTGACGGCCGCTTGGTGTCTCGCTCCTTTTCTCTCCCCTTTCTCTGCTCTCCACTACAAGTCGGAATACGCTGTGGCTTCGACTACTCCGCTCATTCCAGTCTGTGCTAGCCGTTCTTCTGTTCCTTTCTCCTCGCTCAAGGACTTCTTTGACGCTCTTCAAGCTTGTCACGACTTCTTCTCGAAGTGGTACTAGAATACCCGAACCCTGAATTTGAACGGGCTGAGCGGCAGACATTGAAGGTGGCGCGAGTAGGTCATATATCGTTTCATTGTAAATTTCGAGATAAGAACACCGAAGAAGATATTCACGAGTGGGTGTGCGGCGGATGTAACCAAACACATCCTTCATTGCACGCGGTATTATGCCCGGTTGATCTTCGGTTCCAGACTAAATGAAACTATGAGAAAATTCGAAAGTGGATACAAAGGCGCGTCTCACAAGAGTGAATGTTTTCCCGCTGGCTGTTTGGCCATAAGCGAAAATAATAGAATTGTAACCATCCATGGCAGCGCAGACATGGCCACGCGCAACAGCATTGTAGACCGGCCTATTCTCGGAACCAGTAATGACTTCGTCAAAATTGAACTCTGGTGGTGTGGTGGCAGTTGACTTTGCGTATTGAGGGAAAAGCTTTATAGTGCGTTTCGCGCTATGATCCCATGCAGCATGCGCAGAGGTAGTAGGGCGGATTCTGTATATTGGAATGGTTTCAGTGCGTGTCAAGAATAAGCCAGAGGAGCAAAATCACCTTATAGATACAAGAACCTTGTCTTCCTTTCCGTAATTAGGTCCAAGGATAGTGGCCTCATCGATGTCTGCAGAAACATCACCGGGTTCGACGGTCTGAAAATCGACTAGTGCATCTTCTGGATCAATCCGACTAACATCCATATCACTCGTGGTAACATGGGAGGTTGGAGTCTGACTCCTAGGCGTTCCAGGGGTGCGAGGGCGAGTTCCTTCGAAGGACTTCTTGGCTGGAGTTGCAGGCACAGCTGCAAGAGATGACTTGGTTGCGGCAGTGGTCCGCAGCCGGGACTCAGAAGATAGAGCTGCCTTAAATTTCTTTGCTGTCGAACCAAGAACGCTAGTCTTTATTGTAGAGGGGAGTTCACTGCTGGATGCAAAGGAAAGCGGACGTTTAGGTGTGAAAGGTACTGATCGTGTGAGCTTGCTGGGGGCAGGTGTAGATGCCATCGTTAACACGTATCTCGCGGTCGTCGTCGTCTTCAATAAAGGTGCGAAGTATGTATTTGCAGATCGGTACAACAGACGTAAGTTGTTCAACCCTGGGAATGGAAACGCGTAGTATCAAGCTCACGTGCCAGGTGGGACGCGTCGCACCACGTGACTTAACAAATTGGTTGAGCCATCGAGATTCGAAAGTATTTTCAAGAGCTGGCATGCCATGTCGAAAAGTCTGTGCACCACAGTCCGCCACTCGCATCGGACCATCGGGCATGGTGGAAGAATTGAATGTCGTATGGATACATTTCATCTCAGGACTAAGCGGTCATACAAATTTCTAGGCATGAAAGACTGACCGACGTATGAAGGACCTGAGATCATCATCCTCCTTCCTTCAACTTTCCAGTCGATTGGTACGGTATTCAAGTACATATAGCCCGACCAACTTAAATCTTCGATTCATTCTGCCTTGTGTTTCCTGGCTGAGTTCCGTGGCGCCCACCCAATGCTTAGCGCCTGAAGTCAACATAGCAGCAAACATTGCCTCTCGGAGGCCAGCGCCCAACCTTCCTCCAACTTCTTCTTGTCTTACACTACTTTGATCAACTATTCACCATGAACAACCCAATTCAATTGGGGAACCCCGAGTTCAGGTCAGTTCCTCCTCCAGACATCGAGACGCCCAACGAAACAAATACTGCTGAGCGCCGTGTAAGTGGTTCGTAGTTGAAACTCAATGAAGACCCATCCTTTCTCTAGGGCCGACCCCGTGGCAAAATCTGTCGCTTGCTGGGCAAGGTTAAGAATCGTGTTGTCAAAAGGATTTCTGTAAGTCGAAATCAATCCTCAGTCCGGGGATCAGGCTGATAACTTACACGAGCGCTCAAAGTTCAACAATTCACGCAGCCGTGACCCCGTTCAGGTAGGTGACATTCTGATGTCTGCTCTGAGTGCTCTCTGTCTAACTTCTACTGCCTGCACCGGGCTCAGGATACTTCTACTGTTATGCAACAAGGCGCCGATCCCCAATCTGTGAACAAGGCACTTCAGGATGCCGGTCATGGTACAGATCAGATGGAATCACTTTTAGGACTTGCGAGACCCGTATTATCCGCAGGCAAAAATGGATCAGCAGCACTCGATGATGTAGACAGTATAGAGACCACTTATCTTCAACCCCTCAGGATATTCGACACTGTGATCGGGACGATAGCAGATGTATGTTCTCTCTCTTCCTCTTTAGAACTAGATTAACAACGTTCTCCAGGTGCATCCGTATGCAAAGATGGCATTGGGGGTGCTTTCTTGCGCATCAAAAGTACGTTTTTCTTGCCGTTATTCAGATTTCCTGCTCACTTGTTCTGCACGCAGATAATTCTTGCTCAAGCGGATCGTGACGAAGCAATACTTGACCTCTACAAGGAGTTGGGACAAGTGTATGGCTTCATAACGCAAGACGACATGCTTCTCAAGATTTCGTCGATGAGGGACATCTTGGGACAGATCTCTCAGCAGACCCTAGAATGCGCCAATTTTATCAGGGATTATTCAGAGAAGAAAAGCTTTTGTGAGTCTCTCCAACAACTCGTTCTTTGCCGATTTTCAATTGCATCATAGGGGAGAGACTCGGAAAGAACATCATCTCGGAAACAGACAAAACCGTACAACAGTATAGAAAAGTGTTGGATGTACTCATGCAACATTTCCGTGACCAAGTTACTCGCGACGTAGCGATCTACATTCACCATACAAGTAAGGATTCGGACGTGCTTCTGATTCGACGTCCATTCATACTTCTACAGGCGAAATACTGGAATTTAATGGTATGGCTTATGCGGATGCCGCAACACTAGATACTACGAAGCAATGCCAATCAGGAACACGCACGGACATTCTCTCCGACATCATGGGATGGATCAACGACAGCAGAGATGATGTTCCACGTGTGTTATGGCTATCCGGCCCTGCCGGAACGGGTAAATCAGCCATTGCTCACACGATCGCCAGCTCGTTCATCGGGGTGGGCGGACTTGGTTCTTGTTACTGCTTTGACCAAAATGCAAAAGATCGGTATAAAAAGGTCTTCACCACTATCGCGCGCGACCTGGCTGACCGTCATCCGGAGATGAGACGAGCGTTAGCGGATGCAGTCAAGAACCAGACTGCGCTCAAGACTACACCGGATATCGTACAGCAGTGGCAGAAGCTTCTTATAGAACCGTTAGGGAAGCTTTCCGAGTCACCCGTGGGGCCTGTAGTGATCGTTATCGACGCACTGGATGAAAGTGGAGATGCAGCGGAAACACGTAGCAACCTTCTTCGCATTCTTTCCGGCAAACTTCAGAACTCTGCCGTTCCTCAAATCACGGAGCTCCCAAAGAACTTTCGGTTTATCGTCACCTCTCGCCCACTCCGCGATATTCGGAATGCGTTTGCGGGCGCTCAACACATTCGAAGGATTTCCATGGACGACATTCCATCAGAAGTCGCAGAACGCGATATCTATGTTTATGTGTCGGAGACACTCAAAGAGCTTCCGCATTTCGGGAAGAAAGAGTTTACAGCCCTCGCCAAGAAAGCTGATAATCTTTTCGAGTGGGCACGTCTTGCTTGCAAATACATCGAAGCGCCTCTTCCTGGCTTATCTTCCGATCAGTCGTTCAATGTGATGGTGTCTCGCGATGGCGTCGAAAGGGGGCACTTGCTGTACCATACGTATGAGACAATTCTGAAGCAGATCATACCAAAGGATGGATACACAGACCGCGAGTCTCAGCTAGCGACGTTTTGTTCCGTGATGGGACAGATTCTTGGCACAGCCGAACCCCTCCCTTTGAATTCCCTGAATGCTATACGAAGCCATTTTCCAGATAAAAGCGAACGTTACAAGGTGGAGGTCATAACAGATCACATGGGTGCCCTCTTGAGCGGCACTAACAACTCATCCACCCCAGTCCGACCCCTTCACGCATCCTTCCGCGATTTCCTGACAGACCCGTTACACGCTAAAGAGTTCTCCATCGACGTGCCGAAGGTTCAACGAAACCTTGCTTTCGCCCCGCTTGGAGTGATGAAAGATGAGCTCTCCTTCAATATCTGCGATTTAAAAACATCTTATCTTCCCAACTCTGAAGATCCCGATCTGCGAGAACGAGTCAAAAAATGCATTTCCCCACATCTATCCTATACCTGTCGATTCTGGCTTTCACACGTACAAGCAACTGACTTCGATCCAGAACTCGCCAAAGAAATAAAATCACTCTTCGAACATGAGCGACTGTTCTTCTGGCTCGAGGTGCTCGGCCTTATCAATGCGCTCAGCGGCGCAGTCCACGCCCTTCCGCTCATTGCCAAGTGGTTGAAGGTGAGCATACGGTTATTGAGCGTCAGATAACATACTCACTGATACGCAATCGCAATTACAGGGTCACGCCGGATACGAAGATGCCTCGTCTGCTGCAATGGACGTGCAGAGATTCATTCAACTCTTCGCCGGCATCATCTTGCGCAGCACACCTCATCTCTATGTATCAGCACTTCCATTCTCGCCCGTTAACTCTGCACTATCCAAAATGTTTTCTGCACGTTTTCCGAACTCTTTTCGTGTAGCATCTGGACGTGATATCAACTGGACGGCCGTTCAGACTGTGATCAGCGGACACACTGATTTTGTTAATTCAGTCTCGTTCTCGCCCGATGGGACTCGCATTGCGACTGGATCGAGTGATCGCACTGTGCGGTTGTGGGACGCAGCAACGGGGCAGCCAGTAGGGCAGCCCTTGCTCGGGCACACTGAGTCAGTTACCTCAGTTTCATTCTCGCCGGATGGGACACGCATCGTGTCTGGCTCGGTCGATAACACCGTCCGGTTGTGGGATGTAGCGACATGGCAGGCCATTGGTGAACCCTTATCGGGGCATACTTCTTCCGTTAACTCAGTCGCATTCTCGCCGAACGGAACTCGCATCGTCTCAGGTTCATACGACAAAACTCTCCGGCTATGGGATGCAGCAACGCGGCAGCCGGTTGGTGAACCCTTGGAAGGGCACACTAAATTGGTCACATCAGTCTCATTCTCTCCGGATGGGAAACACATCGTTTCTGGTTCGTTCGATCAATCTGTCCGGCTGTGGGATGCAGGAACGGGGGAGCCTGTCGGTGAGCCCTTGCTGGGGCACACTGGTGAGGTTATGTCAGTCTCGTTCTCTTCGGATGGGACTCGCATCGTCTCTGGTTCGAGGGATCTGACTGTCCGGCTGTGGGATGTGGCAACAGGGAAGCCTGTCTGTGAGCCCATGGAGGGGCACACTGATTGGGTGAGGTCAGTTTCGTTCTCGCCAGACGGAAGTCGCATTGTGACAGGTTCGGACGATCATACTGTCCGGTTGTGGGGTCCAGCAACAGGGAAGCCAGTGGGTGAGCCCTTACTGGGGCACACTTCTTCTGTCTTCTCAGTCTCGTTCTCTCCGGATGGGACTCGCATCGCGACCGGTTCTGTGGATTTCACTGTCCGACTGTGGGATGCATCTACAGGGAAGCCAGCTGGTGAGTCTTTGCGAGGGCACACCAATTCCACCTTCATTATCTCAGTCTCGCTATCGCCGGATGGGACCCGCTTCGCCACTGGTTCGATGGATGGCACTGTCCAGCTGTTGGATGCAACGACGGGTTGTCCAGTTGGAGGGCCCTTGTTGGGGCACGCTGGTTATGTCCGCTCAGTCTCGTTCTCTCCTGATGGGACTCGCATCGCGACTGGTTCGCAAGATTGTACTGTCCGGTTGTGGGACGCAGGGACGGGACAGTTAGTGGGTGAGCCTTTCCGCGGGCACACTGGTGAGGTTAACTCAGTCTCATTCTCTCCGGATGGGACTCGCATCGTTTCTGGTTCGGATGATAAGACAGTCCGGTTGTGGGATGCAGGAACGGGGAAGCCAGTTGGTGAGCCCTTGGAGGGGCACACTGATTTGGTTTGGTCAGTTTCATTCTCGCCGGACGGAACTCGCATCGCAACTGGTTCTAGGGATAAGACTGTCCGGTTGTGGGACGCAGGGACAGGGCAGTTAGTGGGTGAGCCCTTCCTTGGGCACACTAGTGAGGTTCGCTCGGTCTCGTTCTCTCCGGACGGGACTCGCATTGTTTCTGGTTCGGACGATATGACAGTCCGGCTGTGGGATGCAGTAACTGGGAAGCCTATTGGAGAGCTCTTGGAGGGGCACACTGACATGGTTTGGTCGGTCTCATTCTCACCAGATGGGAGTCGCATTGTAACTGGTTCAGAAGATAAGACTATCCGGCTGTGGGATGTAGCAACAGGGCAGCCAGTCGGTGAACCATTGCGGGGGCACACTGCGGGGGTCAACTCAGTCTTTGTCTCGCGGGATGAGACTCGCATCATTTCTTCTTCATGGGATGGAAGTGTCCGAGTGTGGTATGTTGTGATCGGAAAGTCACTGCACAACCATGCCGAAGAAGACCGTTCAGCATTTCCCCCGCACGGCAGTTGCATCCCAGATCCAACAGCGGCCATCCCCACACCCAACACTGCAAGCGATGCCTTCATTTCCTACTCATCAAATCCTACTCATGCACTGCGCAACACTGCTGAGCTACTCACGGGCACCTCCTACGACGACCACACATTTGTGCTCCGAGAAGATGGATGGATAATGGGACCCAATCGTCAGCTCTTATTCTGGGTACCACCCGCTTCTCAAAAGGCACTCAGATATAATCCTCGGACTACATTTGCGATACCCAGAGGTGTTGAGCTTGATTTAAGTCGCATGGCACATGGGACACACTGGCAGGACTGCTACAAGGAGTGAGTCTCCAGTATTTTCCATTCCTCGCGGTTAATCAATTCGATCTTTATAGCTTCTCACCACGATAGCCTCGTTCCGGTAAACTAATTGGCGGAGATGCCAGAGACACTTTGTAGAGTACGATATGGAGTGTACAGTTAATCTACCATCTGTTATGTATGTACGAGGTGGTTTGAGCGAACAATATGTTAGAAAGATGATTGTGTGTCAGATTTTCGAGAGCATGGAAGATTATAGGACAACGGAAGGAAGTCATCTGAGAGAGTGATAGGACATGCGCAGTTGGTGTGGTGAATATGAGTATGGCCTTGATCCAGTTCGGAAAAGCACAACAATCACCTGGCGCCATGAGAGGCCAAGGCCCGAGATTACTACATTGATTCAAGTTATACAGGCTCCAGAGATTTACTTGCAACGAGACGACGATAGTGCGTGATGTCATAAGTACTTCTGATCAGTCACAGTCAAGTGTTCGAGATGTTCCTCTAATTTGTTGCCTTCAGCTCAATGCTCGAACAGGGCGAAATTTGTTCACGGTGACAGCCGAGCACTGATCGATCGATGAACGAACTGCTTAGTACACGTGTCATCAACCAGTGACAACCACACTGCACCAAGGCGAGAACGGAAACACGACTCACTGCAGCTCAGTGGTTAACGTTTAACGTTCACCGTTGAAATAATGTTCTGTGCACCCGAAATGCTCCTTCAGACAGATGTTTATTTGTACTGCCAGCAAACCTCCAATTTTCTAGGCGTGAAAGACTGACCGACATATCAAGGACCCAGTGAGATCATCCTTCTTCCTTCAAATCGATTGGTACGGTATTCGAGTACATGATGTGGCTATATATAGCCCGCTTCCTTGTATTTCCCAGAGTTCCGTCACGGCGCCCGCCCAATGCTTAGCGCCTGAAATCAACATAGCAGTAGATATTGCCTCCAGGCCCGCTGGTGCCCACCCTTTATCCAACTTCTTGTCTTACTTTGATCATTAAACTCAACTATCCACCATGAACAACCCCATTCAATTGGGGAACTCTGAGTCCAGGTCAGTTCCTCCTCCAGACATCGAGACACCCAATGAAACAAATACTGCTGAGCCCCGGGTAAGCGGTTCATGTTCATGAAGTTGAAACTCAGTACTCAATGACGACCCATCCTTTCTCCAGGGCCGACCCCGTGGCAAAATATGTCGCTTGCTGGGCAAGGTTAAGAATGGTGTCGTCAAAAAGATTTCTGTAAGTCGAAATCAATACTCAGTCCGGGGATAAGGCTGATATCTTACGCAAGCGCTCAAAGTTTAACGATTCACGCAGGCGCGACCCCGTTCAGGTAGGTGACATTCCGATTTCTGCTCTCTGTCTAACTTCTACTGGCTGCACCAGGCTCAGGATACTTCTACTGTTGTGCAACAAGGCGCCGATCCCCAATCTGTGAACAAGGCACTTCAGGATGCCGGTCATGGTGCAGATCAGATGAAATCACTTTGGGGACGTGCGAGACCCGTACTATCCGCAGGCCAAAATGGATCAGCAGCACTCGATGATGTAGACAGTATAGAGACCACTTATCTTCAACCCCTCAGGATATTCGACACTGTGATCGGGACGATAGCAGAGGTATGTTCTCTCTCTTCCTCTTTAGAACTAGATCAACAATGTTCTGCAGGTGCATCCGTATGCAAAGATGGCGTTGGGCGTGCTTTCTTGCGCATCCAAAGTACGTTTTTCTGGCCGTTATTCGGATTTCCTGCTCACTTGTTCTGCACGCAGATAATTCTCGCTCAAGCGGATCGCGACGAAGCGGTGCTTGACCTCTACAAGAAGTTGGGTCAAGTGTATGGCTTCATGACGCAAGACGACGCGCTTCTCAAGATTTCGTCGATGAGGGACATCCTGGGACAGATCTCTCAGCAGACCCTAGAATGCGCCAATTTCATCAGGGATTATTCGGAGAAGAAAAGCTTTTGTGAGTCTCCAACAAGTCGTTACGCTTGGCAGATTTTCATTCTTATCACAGGGGAGAGACTCGGAAAGAATATCGTCTCGGAAACAAACGATACGATACAACAATATAATGTTGTGTTGGATGTGCTCATGCAAAATTTCCGTGACCAAGTGACTCGCGACGTAGCGATCTACATTCACCATACAAGTAAGGATTCGGACGTGCTTCTGACTCGACATCCATTCATACTTCTACAGGCGAAATACTGGAATTCAGTGGTATGGCCTATGCGGAGGCCGCAGGACTAGATACTAGGAAGCGATGCCTGCAAGAGACGCGCACAGACATTCTCTCCGACATCATGGGTTGGATCAACGACAGCGGAGATGATGTTCCACGTTTGCTATGGCTATCCGGACCTGCCGGAACGGGTAAATCAGCCATTGCTCACACGATCGCCAGCTCGTTCATCGGGGTGGGCGGACTTGGTTCTTGTTACTGCTTCGACCGAAACACGGAGGATCGCCATAAAAAGGTTTTCACCACTATCGCGCGAGACCTGGCTGATCGTCATCCGGAGATGAGACGAGCGTTAGCGCATGCAGTCAAGAACCAAACTTCGCTCAAGACTACACCGGACGTCGTACAGCAGTGGCAGAAGCTTCTCATAGAACCGTTAGGGAAGCTTTCTGAGTCACCCGTGGGGCCCGTCGTGATCGTTATCGACGCACTTGACGAAAGTGGCGAGGCAGTGGAGACACGCAGCGACCTTCTTCGCATTCTTTCCGGCAAACTTCGAGACCCAACCATCACCCATATTACGAAACTCCCGAAGAACTTCCGGATCATAGTCACCTCCCGCCCGCTTCGCGACATTCAGAATTCGTTTGCGGGCGCTCAACACATTCGAAGGATGTCTATGGACGACATTCCACTAGAAGTGGCAGAACGCGATATCTGTACCTACGTATCGGAGACATTAGAAGGGCTTCCGGATTTTGGGAGCAAAGAGTTTACATCCCTGGCCAAGAAAGCTGATGGTCTTTTCGAGTGGGCACGTCTTGCTTGCAAATACATTGAAGCACCTCCTCTCGGCTCATCTTCCGTTCAGTTCTTCAATGTCATCGTGTCCCGCGATGGTGTCCAACGGGGGCACTTGTTGTACGATATGTATGACTTAATTTTGAAGCAGATCATACCAAAGGATGAACATGCAGACCCCGAGTCTCGGCAAACACAGCTAGCGACGTTTCGTTCCGTGATGGGACAGATTCTTGGCACAGCCGAACCCCTCCCTTTGAATTCCCTGAATGCTATGCGAAGCCATTTTTCAGATGAAAGCGAGCGTTACAATGTGGAGGTCATAGTGGAACATATGGGATCCCTCCTCAGCGGCACCACCAACTCGTTCACCCCAATCCGACCCCTTCACGCATCCTTCCGTGATTTCCTGACTGTCAAATCACACAGTAAAGAGTTCTTCGTCGACGTGCCGAAGATTCAACGAAACCTTGCTTTCGCATCACTTGGAGTGATGAAAGATGAACTTTCCTTCAATATCTGCGATTTGAAATCATCCTATCTCCCCAACTCTGAAGATTCCGATCTGCCAGAACGAGTCAAAAAATGCATTCCCCAACATTTATCCTATACCTGTCGATTCTGGCTTTCACACGTACAAGCAACTGACTTCGATCCAGAACTCGCCAAAGAGATAAAATCACTCTTCGACCATGAGCGACTGTTCTTCTGGCTCGAAGTACTTTGCCTTATCAATGCGCTCGGCGGCGCAGTCCCCGCCCTTCCGCTCATTGCCAAGTGGTTGAAGGTGAGCATACAGTTATTGAGCGTCAGATAACATACTCACTAACGCGCAATCGCAATTATAGGGTCACGCCGGATACGAAGATGCCTCGTCCGCTGCAATGGACGTGCAGAGATTCATTCAGCTCTTCGCCGGTATCATCTTGCACAGCACACCTCATCTCTATGTATCAGCACTTCCATTCTCGCCCGTGAATTCTGCACTATCCGGAACGTTTTCTGCACGGTTTCCAAACTCTCTTCGCGTAGCATCTGGACGTGATATCAACTGGACGGCCGTTCAGACTGTGATCAGCGGACACACTGGTTGGGTTACCTCAGTCGCGTTCTCGCCGGATGGGACTCGCATTGCGACTGGATCGGATGATTGCACTGTGCGGTTGTGGGACGCAGCGACGGGGCAGCCAATAGGCCAGCCCTTGCTGGGGCACACCGACTCAGTCACCTCAGTTTCATTCTCGCCGGATGGGACACGCATCGTGTCTGGCTCGTATGATAAGACCGTCCGGTTGTGGGATGTAGCGACATGGCAGGCCATTGGTGAACCCTTATCGGGGCATACTTCTTCCGTTAACTCAGTCGCATTCTCGCCGAACGGAACTCGCATCGTGACAGGTTCATACGATGAGACTCTCCGGCTATGGGATGCAGCAACAGGGCAGCCAGTTGGTGAGCCTTTGGAAGGGCACACTCAATCGGTCACATCGGTCTCATTCTCTCCGGATGGGAAACACATCGTGTCTGGTTCGTTCGATCAATCTGTCCGGCTGTGGAATGCAGGAACGGGGAAGCCTGTCGGTGAGCCCTTGCTGGGGCACACTGGTCTGGTTATGTCAGTCTCGTTCTCTCCAGATGGGACTCGCATCGTCTCTGGTTCGAGGGATCTGACTGTCCGGCTGTGGGATGTGGCAACAGGGAAGCCTGTCTGTGAGCCCATGGAGGGGCACACTGATTGGGCGAGGTCAGTTTCGTTCTCGCCAGACGGAAGTCGCATTGTGACAGGTTCGGACGATGATACTGTCCGGTTGTGGGATCCAGCAACAGGGAAGCCAGTGGGTGAGCCCTTACTGGGGCACACTTCTTCTGTCTTCTCAGTCTCGTTCTCTCCGGATGGGACTCGCATCGCGACCGGTTCTGCGGATAATACTGTCCGACTGTGGGATGCATCTACAGGGAAGCCAGCTGGTGAGTCTTTGCGAGGGCACACCAATTCCACTTTCATTATCTCAGTCTCGCTATCGCCGGATGGGACCCTCTTCGCCACTGGTTCGATGGATGGCACTGTCCAGCTGTTTGATGCAGCGACAGGTTGTCCAGTTGGAGAGCCCTTGTTGGGGCACACCGATTATGTCCGCTCAGTCTCATTCTCTCCGGATGGGAAACACATCGTGTCTGGTTCGTTCGATCAATCTGTCCGGCTGTGGAATGCAGGAACGGGGAAGCCTGTCGGTGAGCCCTTGCTGGGGCACACTGGTCTGGTTAGCTCAGTCTCGTTCTCTCCGGATGGGACTCGCATCGTCTCTGTTTCGGATGATAAGACAGTCCGGTTGTGGGATGCAGGAACGGGGAAGCCAGTTGGCGAGCCCTTGGAGGGGCACACTGATTTGGTTTGGTCAGTTTCATTCTCGCCGGACGGAACTCGCACTGTGACTGGTTCTAAGGATAAAACTGTCCGGTTGTGGGACGCAGGGACGGGGAAGTTAGTGGGTGAGCCCTTCCTTGGGCACACTAGTGAGGTTCGCTCGGTCTCGTTCTCTCCGGACGGGACTTGCAT